CTTTGGACAGTTCACCGCCATTCACACCAAGTGTACAAATGGATCACTTTGCGAAATTGTTGTTGTTTTTAGTCTTGTTGTTGTTGCTGTGATAACTCACTTTTTTCTGCAACCATTCGATTTCAAAGGTTCAATACTTAATATTGAGAAGGCCGCTAATAGTATTTTGCTTTTTTTCTGCGTCTTACGGGACTCGATGTTTTTCACAAATTGTGCCATTTTTGCGTATTGTGCGCCACCACGTGGCATTCCCTCTTGCTATCTCACTAACATTTCGGGCTTCGGCAAACCCGGTGCTCAGCCAAAACCTAACGTGTACGGTGATCGGACTTAATTTGTAATTTTGATTTGAAGCATGTGATTGATCAGATAATAGGTTTCTGTAGGTCACATGAGATAATGCTGTAATAGTAATTTGTATTTCATGACGGTATATTTGAGCATTTCTCTTTTTGTTATTTGGACATTATTGATATTTATGTACGCTGCGCGACAAAGAAACCAGCCAAAGGGCACATTGAAAGATATTTTCTTATTTCAATTTGCATGCCATTCCTCAAAAAGAAATTCACTCAGTAACCAATCTCCTTGTTGCTTTGAATCTACTATAGTAACTATACTATAATAAAATGAGTTCATCACTTTTTTACATGCTGCGTGCACTGGAGGTTCAAGATATACAAGCATACATACATACATACTTTGGAGTGAATGCCTGTGTCTTGCTGCGGACTATGTTTTAGAAATTCATCGTAAAATTCTTGGAATAGATTGGGGCAAGCATACTTTTTTGGAAGTAAATTGTTGCAAGTGTGATTAAAGATGAACCATGCCATGAGCCATACATGTCTCAGTAATTGTACTTCGTGTCTCAGACAACATCGTAAATTAGATGGGAAGCCTTTGTCTGTCTGCTTATATCTCAAAATCTTTTGTGTTTCAAGTGCATTGCGGTTCATATCAATAGCTTGGAGTCGTTGTCTAAGATTAGCATTTTCGACAAATCTGACGATGTGGTTTATTTTCCGACCTCCACGCGTTTCTTCTATGAGCGCACACTTATTTTTTTGTTCTGCAATGTTATAATTAGGGACGCGTGGAAACCAGGAAAACGATGAACATGTAACACTTAATTTTACTAATTACTGGCTATATATATGAAAATTGAAGTCAATTTCGACCACGTTAATAACACGAATTTTAATTTTGATCTATATAATATACTAATTATGCTGTGAGGGATACTAAAATGACGGGTTACTTAATTAAGAACGACATGATTATAACACATAAAATTCTACCGGTAAGAAGTCATTGTATGAAATGAACGATTGCATATTTTTATTATAGTTTATTTTGAGTAGTGCCAATAAAAACAACAAATTGAAGAATACTTTTTTTTTCATTGCTGAATATCTAAAAAAAACTTGGTTAATGGCACCTAAGATGAAAGGAAATTACCGAAAAACACTTGATAAGTGATTTATAAAAAATTTATAAATTACTGATTTTAACTAGTTTTTTTCTTGTCGCATTGAACGGTGAAATGATTATCCTCTTATAGGATCGTGACATAGATTTATCCAGGGTGCTACTTAATTAAAAGGATCCACGTGTTGAACACAATATCTCGACTAATTTTGCGTCGGATTTTGCGGTTTTTGCATGAATGGCGACTAAAGACGCCTACTTAGGTTTAAAATTAGATGTTCGCGAATAAAATGGAAATTGCTGTTTTGCAGTAAAATTAAAATGCGATAAAGTGAACCAAATCAGGACAAAGGTGCCAATTTTATGCTGTCGGCTCAAAAACAGTCACGATTTTGAAAGTGGAAATTACGGATGGTCATGCTATTGTCCAGAATGTAAGGCAGATTTCCCGAATTTTTTTGTATACCTGTAATTATTTGTAATTTTAAATGAACCCATCTAAACACCAAAACAACTTTTTGCGCTTGCCGGCTGATGTAACGGGTTTGATGGATTATACGTAATCAAGAGTGCCTAGTTCAAAAGTATGTGTGTGAGTTGTAAACACACTTTCATTTTAAAAATCGGTGATTTGTGCATTATAAACTAAATCGTTTTCAACTTTGTATCTCAAAAACATTTTCTGTAAGAACAAGAATATAAAATAACCTTATACAAGATAATTGAAGCAGATTCTAAAATCGCGAATGCTCGAATTCGATCCAACAATAGGAAGAAAACATTACAATTATTTAACAACTGAATCAGAATATTTAGTTTGATGATTATTTGCGAATAAAACTGCACATTGATTCCAGGTGAGTTTCCATGATTTCTTTGTTTTATATTCTTCCTCAACATGTCACTTTACGAGGAGTTGGCACGCAATGTTTTTGACTCCAGTTGCTGGATAAATAAGAGTCACTTTTTCACAAACTCGACTTTATCGTATTCGTCCAAGCGAATTAAGAAATATTAGAAAATAAAGTGTTTGACGATATCGAGGTTTAAAATGTTTGCGGACTACAGCATATGACTCTGACACCCCGACATTCTGTTTCTATATGTAATAGGCCTACATGGACTCACGATATGGAATCATGTTTTGAATATTTACATATGATGCTGCCATCTACCAGAAAAATATTGATGTGATTTAGTGTTCAAGAAAACGTTAGTTGTTGATAGCAAAAATGAGTTTTTTTTTCTCTTTTTTCAATCAATTTAATTAAACTGTATTTTCTCAGTGCTGTTGGATATTTATTAGAATTTCAAGATTAAGCTCGACGTGCGACTCAAATAGTGTTGGCCACTCACTTCAGCTGGAGCATTTTTATCCTACACGTCTAACTATCATTAAAAGAGCAGACCACAAACAGCCTACGTTTCTCTCTGCAGTAAAATGACCAATTTATCATCTTTTGTTAGAGATAGGATGTTTTGAAATCGGCGTGTTATGCTATTTGGTCAAAGGTTTATGCCACCAATGAAATTCCCATTGACGCCACTAACCCAGCTGTGCGCCGCAACAACTTGATAAGTGCGCCCTGAAAATTGAACAGAATTGTGGTAAACATAACTAATGTATTTACTGTAAATGTTTAATTGTTTATTATTTTAGATGCTGTGTATATGAATCAATAAATTCTTTTTACCTTTCTATGTCGTTTATTTTCGCTTCCATCTTGTCTGCCCCTATTGTTACGTAACCTTTGCGTAACAATAGATGTAGACAGTTTATTTCTTCTGAATTTAGCGAACATGAGTGAGTTTTTTAGTATTTTTTTCAATAGAAAAGCAAGCAGACATTATAAAAAAGAAATGACCTTTTGCCTTTATTCCTTAGGCCTACATGTTTGCAAACTTAAAAAAAATAAAGTAAACATTAACGATCACAAAATTGAGTTTTATTTAAAGGCAATTTTTTTTCGCGTAGGTGCGCCATGGTTTTTTTTTCTGATGATTTGGCACTAACCCCTGATTTCTGCACTAACCCATTTGTTCAGCCCGAATACTTCGACTTTGGGTGGTTGCAAACACAAAGCCTGCAAACTACAGTACATCACATTTGGGTTAAATTTTGTGAATTCGTATGTGGCCTCGTTTTCACAATAACGTAATCCACTCTGTGAGTTTACTAATTACTGGTAAATTCATTATTAGTGGTTTATAAACTACTTAAGTTTGCGCCAGAAAGACTATCCATGTTTCGCGAATTTGGAAAGTTTCCCTCCATTGCAATTAACTATTCTGATCTGAGTGGAAGCAAACGTGAAGCCTGTTTTTTGAAAATGACATGTGCCAGTGTCGCAGACTAACCACATTGGTGGTCTCCGCTAATGATGCTTAATAAATCACTTTAAATGTCTGCTTTTCGTTGTTGTAGAGTGAATACGAAGAAACAGTCAATGTACTGTTTATATTTGTATGTTAGGTTTGAAGGCTTTTGTGTACGCGCTAAACTACATTGCTTTCGAATTTGCTCGTAGCTATAGTTACGATTTTGAGCAATATATAATTAAAGACTGCTGTTTCATTCGTAAACAAACCTCGAGGTTTGTTTTACTTTATAAATGTCGTAATTGCCTCTTTTGTATGCAATTTTCTTTTAAAATTATCATTTAAGAAATTCCAACAAAATTGCCCACATAGTTTCAAAATACAAACGAGTCGGAAATAGTTGAACGTTGATTCGGTTTAAAATACTACAGCAGCACTACTAAAATTGAACCTAACTCGTCAAAGTTTGTTGTAAATAAAAATGTATTTGTATAATTTTGCCCAATGTCACCTAGAAAATATTCAACAGATTTGTCACCACGGACGCAATCAACTTTTTGATTTGTGCATTTCGAAATACGGGGTTATTTACAAGCAGTCATTTTCTCATCATATTCAATATATCATCATACATCATTCACCATCCGCTCTTCGGTAAGTCAATTCAAATAGTACGAGTCAAAGTGAACATGCTATCTTTGCTAGACACACAAACCTTTTACAGGTCGTCTCTTTTGTCTGAGTTACGTGAGCTTGTAGGGAGATCGTTTTTTGATACTCCGTCGGTTTCCTCAGACGCAATTATAAAAAGTCATTGATAGATCAGTCTCGGTGCTCTTTTAGTAATACTTGCTTGCTTTTTGCAACATATTGAATCTATATCTACAATCTGACATTCAAAAACGATGGATAAAAGTGCAACGTCAACGCGCCTGTTCTCGCACATAAATTTCGCGCCCTCTATCGAACGTGCGATTTTCTCACATTCTGGAATTTTCACTTTAAAATGTAGGGATATTTACTGAATTATACCATACGGGAATGCCCAAATCATGCAATTACAGTACTTTGTAGTTTGAGCAGGTTGTAGTGACGCGGTAATAGAGGTAATCAGTTGCCGTATTTCATCTAACAAGAAATATAATATGCGTAGGTAGAGCTCATGAAAGAGAAATAAACCCGTACATAGGATTAAAATGATACAGTCAAGATTGAATGTCTTACTCAAAATATGTATTTTCACTTAAAGTCTAGCCGTTTCGGTTTTGTCATTCTTTTGCAACAGTTTCCATGCATCGCTTATTGATCACTAGCGCCGCAAGTGCAGGAACATTTCTTTGTTTATCTCTTGCAAAATTTGTCTGTCACAGTGGAGGACGTGTCGTTCGAGAATATAGCTAATTTCTGAAGTTATTTGCCCCTAGTTAATCTGAAATACCGAAACGACTGCTTACAGTATTGGAAAATTATAAATACCTCAATTCAATACAGCTTGCTGTCGTTTTTTTTTCAACGCTAAAGAGAATCTGACAGCAATATCCAGATATCGCAGAGCTTGAATACCGGTACGGATTGTAGAGATGGATGGGGACATACTCACAACTTTGAAAATACTAATAATCGGAGAGAGTGGTGTTGGCAAATCCAGGTGAGAAACACTGTACAATTCTAAAATACGGGTACAGGAATGTCAATGTGAAAATTACTACAATGTCTCTAGATTCAGTGATTTTAGGATTTCTAAATACTGAAATATAAGAATAACAAATCGACTAATGTCACTAACATATCTAGATCTCATGCATCTGTAACACGTTGAATCGATTTGTCTGTTGGTTGCTACAGCTGTACTGATGCTTATTTTGTATATACAAAAAAGTTTTTTCTTTCAGACTTTACCTTATTTCTGTATTTTGCGATATTCAACATTGCAATACAATAACATTTCATATAACTTAGACCCAAAATTCAGGAAAGAAGAACTGTAACTAAACTTAATAAACTAAAATATTGCTGAAACCCGATAGGATAAAAAGTATTTATGAGTGTATTCATTTGTGCGACAATTTGTGAAGCCTTAATTCATTTTTATCTTTTCATTTCAGCCTTCTCCTACGATTCACAGATGACAAATTTGACCCAGATCAACCTGCTACAATTGGTGTTGATTTTAAGGTTTGTTGGTTTTTTAGATTCATGTTCTTGTCTGGTTTTACATGTATGGTCACATAAAAAGCTAAAAAATATTGATGCTAAATATGTGAATGGAATTTTGAGATTGTTCCTTACCTCGGAGCCAAGGTTCTTTTTAAATTGGTTCAGCATTTCAAGTAGAGTATGGTCCAATAATCATCCAATAACTCCCAGTACGCCTTGTATGGTGCAGGGTCAATTTAAAAAAAAGTATGTATATGTTTCAGGTGAAAGCTCTTACTGTTGATGGAAACACAGTGAAATTAGCAATATGGGACACAGCCGGTCAAGAAAGATTTCGAACTCTAACACCAAGTTATTATCGTGGCGCACAAGGGGTTATATTTGGTGGGTCTGCTTTATGGTTACATTCTGAGGTCTTCTTGTTAATATTTTTCAATTATTTCATAGACATATATTTTCAATAAAAAGGTTGTATTGTCATAAAATTTGAACTGGTCATAATTTAATTTTTAAGATAGGAAGATTGTTTTATTCTAGAATTACTTCCATATAGCTTAATATTCAAATTTCGTTCCAATTCAATCCTAGTTCATTATGCTATTTGTCAAATCTCATTTTTCTCGTTTTATATCATCTACTTGAAAAGCTTCTATTTGGGTAAACAATCTTTTCATAACATGGTTTCCTCAAATTGTTCTTAGAGTTAGAGCTTTGGACTCGACTATGCATGAAATCTCATATTCAATCCCCATGCTCTGCACTTAATCAGTGATGTAATTATTTTGGAAGTCAATGCCAAGCTGACCCCTCTTCTAAATAAATAAGTTAAGTCGTGAAAATCTGTCATGAAAAATCTTCAAGTATTTTATTGCACTGAAAATCCATCTCAATTTTTATTTAATAAATTTTCTCTTTCATTTTAATTTTGTTTATAGTTTATGATTGCACAAGGCCGGATACATTTTCGAGGATAGGTGCATGGCTAACTGAACTCGATACATATGCTACAAAAGCAAATATAGTAAAGATGCTCGTCGGAAATAAAATTGACAAAGTAAGAAACAAACATCAAAATTCAATTTTAGTGCATGGCATTTAATTACCAATATTATCTGGAGTGATGCTTTATAGATTGTAAATGCATTTCACTTCAGACTAGACATATTTTCTGCAGATTCTGTTTTCCTTTTTCTCACATAAAATGAGAATTTTGTCATACAATTTGCCATATTTGCTCAATTAAATCAAAACTCTGTCTAATTTTTTCTGATTGGGTAAAAATTATTTTTTTATTATCAGGACTTTAATTCTATTCGAGTTTCATGAATGCTTTTTAAATTTGTCCTGCAAATTTTTTTAAATTTTGAGTTTTTTTTTTATAATTTCCTTCTTTTTAACAAATTAGGAAGACAGAGTGGTTGACAGATCAGATGGTTTAAAGTTTGCAAGGAAACATGCTATGCTTTTTATAGAAGCCAGTGCTAAAACGAAAGATGGAGTACAATGTGCCTTTGAGGAACTTGTTGAGAAAATTATACAAACTCCAGGACTATGGGATAAAGATGGACAAAAGGGTGGTACTGTAAATGTTACTTCTCAAGGTTCAGAGCAGCAAGGTGCATGCTCATGTTAGTGAATGTGATCCTGCCAACATTCCCATAAGGGTTATTGTTATTAATAATAGTATTATGACCAATACCATGCATGAGCCTTTCAACAATGATATTCTGATCGCATGCCAACCATCATTGTTCGATGCAATAGTGTTGTCTCTATTTAACTTCGTAAATCATGTGGCTTGTTACTGACTAATTATAGCATTTGGTATTTGTTAATATAAGCCAATACGATCGCAACAAATATGAATACCCCTCTAATTAACTGATTCGTGCATTGCCTTATGACTAGCCAGATTGTCCTGAACTAATGCATGTCAACCTATAATTTTTACACACTTTGGTTTCAGGATAATTTTGAATCGTTTCTCAAAAAATTCTGGTAATTCAGTAGATCCCATTGACTTCATTCAGAGTTTTTTTTGTGGATGGTAAGGGAAATAATGAATCCCAAAATATGAAAAAAGGGTATTGCTTTCCATTATCAAATTTTTCTATGAATAAGTTCTGTTTAGTTAGACAAATTTTCGGAGTAATTCTTACTGCAAAAAGTTCAATCAGATCGTTGGAAAATTAGTTCGCTTCATAAATTTATTTTTAGGGATGCCACATTTATTTTATCTCATCTAGCAAGCTCTGTGATAATTTTCACTATATTATTCTGTGCTAAATCTGATATATTTGAGTGAATTATTATTTTTTTGTTCAGTTTTGGTGGTTTTAACCAATTTTATATTATTATTTCTGTGAGCCTTGTATATACATTTCAGTTCTGATTTGAACAAGCTTTCAATTGTTTGCCTTTATTTTGCCCCTTTGCGACCCTTTTGAGTGGAATATATACTGCCTGCTCTATACAGTCTCTAATTTCGATAACATTTCATTAGTCATACAAGAGATATATTGATCTCAATATCATGTATACGTTTTATATATGACATGTGTACTTAAACGCACCTTTCAATTGGCTGCCACCGTGAATTGATCTGAAATACATACTTAGTGGCCTGGTTTATGTTTCTCAGCAACAAGCAATGCTTTTAAACACACTGTCAATTACTGTCACACTTTGAATTACAATCTAATTGAGAAATTTGTTATATATCCATTTTTTCCCAAGTTTATTTCACTTTAGAAATTATTCTAAGCAAAATTCCTAATTTAGTTTTTTTGGAGTTAACATTGGGGGGGATTCAACTGCAAAAATACTAAATTTCTCATTTATTTAAATTTCTATTAAATAATTTTTTGCCAATAGCTTGCTCGATGGGGCTTGAGCCTTGCTTCTGGTACCGATATGCGGGTGACGGAACATAAAAATTGTATATATATATATTGAACATAAGGAATATTTATTTCTTCCGTTGCTCAAGCGTTGTTTTGATCATCGATGGGGCTTGAGCCTTGCTTCTGGTACCGATATGCGGGTGACGGAACATAAAAATTGTATATATATATATTGAACATAAGGAATATTTATTTCTTCCGTTGCTCAAGCGTTGTTTTGATCATTTCAAATAAAGATTATTTCTTGTACAGTACTGTTTTTATGTTGCCTGCAAAGGGTTAAGAAGGCATCAAAACGGCAACACTTAGTGCAAGATGTATGTGTATGTGTGAAGCATTTTTGCAATTAAGTCGTAAACAGCGACATTTTCTCGCTTATAAAATACAGTTCATCTTGAAAACACAAAACTCGATGAAACGGGCAAAACATAACAGAAATGCCCCAAAACTTGAAAACAAAGATTATAGTGCGCAATGAACGTGCTCGTTTATCAAAAGTAACACAAATAATATATTTATAAATAATAACAAAATCTTGATGAGCAGCAGTAGAAGCCTCCACGGGCATTTCATATAAAAAAGTTAGTCACAAATACAAGTTGAAAAAAAATAATAATAAAATTGATAGTGTGTCAGACACGAACACGTTTCAGCCAAATAATGTATTTGGGCAGTAATTACATGTGATTAAAGAGAGTGCAAAACAAACAACACAACCAATAAAAATCTAGAACACGCATATGTGCAGATACCAAAATTTGGAGGCAATGAACAGTCAAAGTTTCTATAGATTTCGGATGAATCATTCTTTACATTGAATAGAATCATATATTGGTTTACTACTGCCACATGCTTCTTCATTATTTTGACCATTTGACTCTTTTTGGCTCCATCCAGTTACCGGTACAGTTCTTAAATCAGATTCACTGGAGTCTGAAATATTTCATATTTCAGTAATTCCATCACCCATTACCACCTTGTTGAAATGAGAATGTCAGCCTTCTAAACAAATATTTTAAAAGCCAATACGACTTCATCGGCACGATTCAATTGTAACAACGCACGGCAAGCGAGCGGGATGAAAATGTATAACTAAGATGTCCTGGTTCATTTTATTTGAAGGGATGCACAACGCAGGGAGATCACCCCAAAATAATGTCAATAGTACTGGAAAGAATGTTATAACCAGTAGTTTTTTGAGTTATGTTAATAGTTCGCCTCCTCAGTAGCCCGGAATCACATGAAATCCGGCTCCGAATCTGCAACAATTTGAAACAATTTTGACTCCGGCCTCCAAATATAAAAGGTGGTTGCTTATCCACAAGTCTGGTCGTCACACGTCCTCCTTCGCATATCTAATATCTATGTATGTCGTATGAAACTATGTTTTTGTATTTCGACTCTTCGAAACATACATTCATCTTCAATACAGTTACAGCGCATATGTGGAAACACAACGAATCTAGCGCGTATTCTATAGTTAAATGCACGTGATACTAATCAGCGTTGCCAAGCGAGACGTTGATTCAAATTTAGCAATCAAGTATAATCGTTGTTTAATGTCATTGGCATAACTCTCGTCGGCAGCGGTGGCGTAGTGGGAGCGAAGAGACATGGTGAAACACCGGGCCAGGGGTTCGAACTTCGAATCCCATAGCGAGTGTAGAATGAGTAGTATATATATTAGGTATATAAGTTGAGAGTCAGCCAGAGCTGTCGGGGGGAGATAATGGGGCGAAAAGCGTTGTGAGCTATCCAGAGTAGTCAGACAGGCTGGAGGTTGAAGGGAAGACGGGTGGTCATGACGGTCTAGCGCGGGGTAAAAAAAATCAAGACGATGAACGGGGTGAATGAAAAAGATGGAGACAGGAATAATCCCACAGAGACGCCCCAACGGAAGCGGGGCAGCAGAGGCTGTGAGAAATCCGAAGCAATCAGGACGGCTGTGGGACAGAATACTCAGGAAGGAGCAGAGCCCAGAGACGGGGAGAAATATCCGGTTCCAGATAGAGATTGAGAGTATTAAATAAGCGAGAATGGAAGAGGCAGGAGGGGCAGTTAAAATAATCGAGACTGAGCTCAAGGGGGCAGAATGGAAGAGGCAGGAGGGGCAGAAAAAAGCCTGTAACGACGTCAAGAGTAAATCAAAACGAAGAAAACCAGCCAAAGCAGCAGGGGTGGGCAACTTCTCTAGTCGGCGGGCCAGATGTGGGAAAATGAAATCCTCGGCGGGCCGGATTATTACAAAAAATACTTCGGTATCCAATCTTTGTTAAATGCTCGACACTCTCTGTCAATTTTACTTTTCTTGGGATATTTCATGGTTAATAAAACCTAATATTAATATAAAATCTAATTTATAAAATCTATTTATATTTAGAATCTGAATATAAATATGACTGATAACAGTAGCGGGGAATGTTTACAACGCTCTCTGCGCTTGTTTAACAAGTGTGTTAACGCAATGGACCTTTCTCTGAGCATCGACTTCCTTGTTTAATTCGTGACATTGGCCAATCAGCAAGCTGCAAAAGTGACGTAACAATGCTCTCTTTTCGCATGCGCTCAGACACTTTTTTCACTCAGACAGATTTTCAGGCGTAGTCGTAAACATTACCTCGTTTTCGCGTTTTTGAAAACTCGTATTCGTTAGTTTTCAGTTGTGTTTCGGAAATTCGGAAATAATCAAAGAGAAAAGCGACTTTTTAAAAACGTGTCAAAGAACAAGAACAACAACATAATATTGAAACGATCGCTATGTCCACTACGTGTCCTAAAACATATTGTTGTATGCGATGAATCATAATGATGGTTTTAAACACATATCCCATTTCACATGCGCCAACTCGCGAGACCACTCTTAAAATAAGCCCCGACAATTTTGCAATGGTAAAGTATAAGAAGACTTTTTCGGGGGTCAAAGGTCGGGGAAAGATGCATTGTTTGTTCACTAAGACAATCGTTTATTTCCCCAGCTCGCACTGACAGTGCGGTGAGAGTAGAGCGATCGGCAACTTTCAGGAATGATGCGTCGGAGTCGTTGGTCGGAACACATCACAGAGTGTGGTTGGATACAGTCGGCGGGCCGGTCAAAATCTCGTCGCGGGCCGGACCCGGCCCGCGGGCCGTATGTTGCCAATTTTTTAGTTTTCTATATAGTATGTTCATCCTCGAACCAATGTATGTTGTTTGATAGTTTTGTGTGATTAATAAGAATTTTTTATTTTATATGATGAATATTTTTCCTGGTTTCGCGGATCAGTATTTCCTTCTCTGTGGGGACTGACTACGGGATCGACCCACCTGACACTTTGAGCCAAACAACATACATTGGTTCGAGGATGAACATACTATATAAAAAACTAAAAAATTCCTATGAATCACATAAAACTATCAAACAACATACATTGATTGAGGATGAACATACTCTTTCAGATTTTGTGGCTACTTTGGACATAAAATCAGAGTTCATAATATCCGCAATCCCGAAAAATCCCAAGAATCTTGACAAAAAACGGAAAATCCAGTCGTGACGCGTTGAAATATCCTATCTTAAAAACGAGCAGTTTACCTGAACCGCTGGCTCGCGCTATGGAGCATAATATTTAAGTGGTCATTTTGCAGGAAAATACGGTACTTCGCGCGTTCGAACGATTTAGGAAGGTTTGGTTTTGTTGTTGGAGAAACATTTTCTAGCTACTATAAATTTATCAGTACCGGTACATGTTTGAATTCAATTACGGTACTACCGGTTACTTATTTCAGTATTTATTTACCGCAATCCTGAAATTGGTTCCTACATACTGCAGTACTGACACGAAGTACCGGTACCGGTACGGTACTGGACTTCAGTCTGGCAAGGCAGCAGGGTGAGTGTGGGGTGGGGTAACTGGGTCTGGTATAGTTTAGTACCACATCCAGACATCCACTTCTAGTTGGCCTGGCTCAACAATTTTTGCATATGTCAATCCTAACCCCCACCTGACTACGTCACCGAAAAATTACGTCATTCCGACGTCCCAGTGGCGTAATAAGGCCCACCGAAGTATGCAGATGGTCGTCCAAAACGCGCAGACGATAACTCGAAATCGAGCAAGCTATTTCCCTCGTTTTCTCCTCGAAGCGATCACGATAGGAGAGAGATCGCCGGCTTTAGCAAGTTCTTATCGGCGGCGCAGATGCCATTTCGGGCGATCTTAATTATACTTTGGCAATCCCTATGACGTGATGGTGATGTCGTAGTGACGTAATTTTTGGATGGCATAGTCAGGTGAGGGTTAGGAATAACATGTGAAATAACAATACCGGTACTAATTCCTATATTCCTAACTCCTTTATCCTTGCAGAAGTCAATATCTAAGAATGAAAAAAAAAACCTTATAACCTTATCAACCAACATATTCCTATACCCTGTATTTCTACCTTAATTAATTATAATTACTCATACTTATAAAGTTACTGATAGATTTAAATACTTATTGCAATCTGGACTACAATTTGGCAATAATAGGCTCTAGTTTGGGCAATGAAGTGGTCTAGCCCACCTCTTCATGCACCCAATTCTGGCAACTTTGGTTGGGCATTTTGGCATTTGACTCCATCTATATTCAGCTTGACAATATATTTTTTTATAAAAGTTTATCTTTACTGTTCACTCCCATTTATAAAATTGATCAATTTGGCAGTGGCAATCATGATAAATTTATTAATATGGTGTGGCAAGTAATTTTTATTTATTTATTTTTTATTAACTACCAGTATGTAATTTTTCATGTTCCCTTTACTTAATAACTTCTATATGGTTGTGTGTGTGGGTGCGTGTGAGCGTGTGTGAAATATTTCAATTATTTTAGGTGAGTGAACACGTACCACATCTTTTTGGCAAAACCTTCCATCTTATATACATTCTGTACGTTTTAAACCTTATCTAAGGTTTTGTTCGCTCTCCTGATTTCATAATCAGTTTTTATTTATTTATTTTTAGCATTCATTTTATTGTTTTGCTGATTATGGAGTCGAAATAAACTTATACTTATAAACTTATACTTATATGCAAAAATCGTTATGCTTCGCCCACTGGAAGTACTTGTGGTACTAAACTATACTAGACCCGGGTAACCTTGGTGTCTGAAGGACGGGTCACAAAATGACGAAAACAGTCATCATTACTGCATTTTGCAGATTCGATCAAATGTCTCATGCTTAAGAACTGCAATATCCCAACTGTTGCTGCGTTTTTGCTGAAGGTAGTCCCACTGGTCTGCGCTGAAACTTTGCCTCCTGCAACATCGTTCATGTTTCCTCAGCACCTTGTAGATTTGTTTACAATTTTTATTTGTTAAGTTGGTAAATGTTGTCAAGTTTCATGGTGGAGGGGCAAAAATAAATGATTGATTAATGTCAATATACCACACCCGTACAGATATAAGTACAGAAGTATGAGCTAGTTAATGATATTATGATATGTAATTGATATTATGTTATAATATGTTAATTATGCTGGGTGCTGTGATTATCCCTTTTTAGGCACATTATATGATTTCCCAATTTGGCTTCTGAGTCTAGTATTTAAAAAAAAACATGGTCTCTGTAGGCTACTTATAGATGAAAAAAATATTTTGATTGTTTTTAAATTTCACTTCATTGATGATTGTTTTGTGTGTGTAGATAGCTTTTGTGGTGTTCACCCTACAGCCCTAATATTCAATGCATAAGTTACATGCATTATAACTGGAAACCATTGTTATGCTAGGTTGTTTAGTGTGTTGCTTCAAGTTGGAAGGTGTTTCCAAAAATGTCTCAGAAGGTCTTTGATGAAAATGTAACCACCGACTGATTACTAATTAAGCTACTGTCACATCTTCTAATCATCATTGGAGTCTGGAAGTATATAGCAGTGTAATTCCGTGTTTTAATCTAGGATTCACATTGTGATACCAATGAAAATTACTCCTCTTTGTTCTTAGGAGAGTTACTTCATGAGAGTATTCATCTTTGCATGAATATGTGGATATATCGTTGTTATTTTGACCATTGCCGCAAAGTAGTATGCCTGCGCAAGTCCCTATAAATTTTCGCTAATGATGACTTCACAACTTCTAAAATGATTCTGTACTGGTAATCAATAAACAATTACATATATCTTCTCATTTCCTCAACTAGTAATAATCTTATCCATAATATCTAAGTACGCTAGTTATACTGTTTATTTCTTTATCCCTAGACAACAGAGACACATTATTTGTATGTGATGTTAAATTGCAAAGCCTACAGATACTCGCGACCCCACAACTAGAGACGTTAAGCAACTTCAAGAGTCAGTACTGTATATCAGTTTAATTATCTCAATGGGAACAATATACCTTTATATCGTCTGCAAGTGAACATTGACGGTGAATATTGGCCCAAAAATATATATGAACGAGTTCGGCAATGCGCTGGAAAAACCGCAGAAGCTTTGATAACAAATAGCTTCAAATGAAAACCATGTTGTAAAAATGTCTTCGATCAGAATTATAAGGGTTCTTTGGCGAAACATAGACGGCGAATGTGGTAGATTGTAAGGAATCGTACGATACTTCGGAAATAGTAAGATTGTTTCTGAATATACATAAATTTAAAATCTTATTTAGGTAGTATATTCCAACAGTATCTTTATTATTTTTAGTCCAATGTTAACATATTACAGATTGCTCCATTATTAATTCGAAAGTAAAACAGAGCATGAAAGTAAGATAGGAAAAAACATGTACGGAATCACATCTTTTAGATACCCCCACAATTATGCTAGAATTTGTTGTGGTTTTGTGTGTGACTGCTCAGAACGCTTCATAATAATGTATGAGACGTCGAAATACATAATATTGCAATACGAAAATGTTCATTTTTATGTGGAGGCGATGTGGACAAAACACGTAGCCACTCGTAGATTTTAGACTTGAGCGTGAAGTAACAAAGCGCTTTCGCAACTGATCGAAACCTAAAGTGTAATTACTTGGCCAAGACACTGCCTGGTAATTAATACCAGACTTGGCAAACACCTAATTAATGGCCAATTGTCAAATAAAACAACTTTGCTTTGTATGTTCGATAACCACTGATACAAAATAACAAACCAACATAATTTCTCGCAGTCTGGCAAAAATCCGATTTGTGTACCAGTGAGTCAACTACTCATTCGGATGTAACATGATCAAAAATGCTATAAAAAGAAAAATATTATTGGCGCTCGTAACACTGTCACTCAATTACATTTACTAATATCAGTACCTGCCGACCAGCTGGAAAGGTTAAGAGTCACATGAAAGTTTCACCTAGCAATTTTTGGCGCCGATTGGACAATAAATTGTCGAGTTATTGCTGAAAAATCCGAAGTTAGACACTTTTTCCTGTACCTGCCGATCACCACTAATTTCACTTTTCAACTTACAAATCCTATTCACTTGGGTGCGCATGTTTGACAGAAGTTAGGCGACCCCGGAAAATATTCATGCGACCCCAGCAGTTGGGAACCATTGCCCTAGATGAGGTGGTGGGCCATCGCATAACTGCTAGGCCATCGCACCCACAAGTTATCCGAAAAGCAGAGATAATTTTGTTACATCAGTAACATTGTTTTATCTGGCGAAAGTGTGATCACTTTAAAGGGGAGAGTTTCATTTCATGAGGTGTGGTTAGCAGTAGACTACTACCGGTAGTTACTACTTAACCTAGTTATTTTGGTAGGAGACTATCTTTATCAGTCTTATTGGCTAAGTTAGATGTTTGGAATGCAATGTAATTAATATGCAATCCGGAGAGTATCCTGTTTTCAGGTCCGAAAAGAGGAACCGAACCGATGCTGTCATTCTACAAACATACCGGTACCTCATTGCAGCATTGTGACTCATATTTCATTGTCAATTGGAAATTCAATTACTTCCTACATTTCTCTATTAAACATTAACTCGTCATTTATTAACATACAGCATAATAGTAAATTAAATTAATGCATCCTTCATAATGTGATACAAGAGTTGGAAGAATGTCATCAAAGGTTCAATATACTTCAGGATTAAGAGGTCGTTCCTCAGCCACCTCTTATTCTGTGCGGATGAAAACGTCTTCAAGTGAGTTATTGTGGGAATATTATTTATGTCATTGCTAATAAATATTTCATATTGGAAAAGGTCAGAGGCTACAAGATTCCTCGCTTTAAGTTAAACTGATTTTTTTTTAAAAGATTGGGCTAAAAGCAAGGTTACTTGCATTCACTAAGAAGTAAAGGAGATTCATCTATTCAATGTTATGAACAACTACTAAAATACTATATACTGTAGATATAATGCAGTGCATTATGCGTCAAAAAGGCTGGTTTGTTCGTGACTCCAAAAAGTTCGACTAGAGCGATCAGAAAAACAGCTATCAGAGCATTCCAACGTTTGCCAAATTTTAATATATATGATTTCAAATTGAGAACATACCTATCAATGTTTATTTTAGCATTCGTGCATTTCAAAATTCCAACTTATTGAATATATATTGCGTAATTGAAAATCACCTAATTTGGAATGTATTGCTATTCCGGATACAAATAAATTGTTTTAGAATGTGTGTATTCTTTCCGTTTATATTAGTTGAGAACATTTTTTTCTTTTCAATCATATGCAATATCAATAACATTTTTAAATAAAAATTAAACTTTTTTCAATTCAAGATGAACATGACAGAATACAAAAGAAGACATTCTTGAAATGGATAAATTCTCAACTTTCCAAGGTTAGTGAAATACTGATACAAATTCTTACATGAAGATAAAGTTATTAGCTGTCAGTCACATCAATAAATTTTTTATTATGCTTCCATACAATGGCACTAAAAAGTATATTTGTATTAGAGAAGGTTTCTTGTTGTTGGAAAATTATTTTTTTTTTGAAACTTGTAGACCATTTTTTTCAGTAGTTTAAGATTGGCGAGTCATTGCTTTTTATTGTTTTCGAATTTCCACCAAGTCCTGCGGAGCTCAATATCTATCCAAAATTTTGAATAATCTGCTGCCGTTGAGCATTCCTCAGACCAAACGTATAGGCAACTTTTGAAATATGAAGCGAGATTATTATTAAAACGTTGTTTAAAAAGTTATGTCTGCGATATGGGTTTCCGCAAATTCCATTTAATGAGTGATATTTTTATATCAATATCAGCATAAGAAGAGAAGTTCCAGCATGCTGATTTTGTTACGGTATCGGCTATTTTTGTGTTCTGGTAGTGTTACTGGTATAATCTCAATTTTCCAACGGCAGAATATAATTTCTGGATTAATTTTTATTTTAATCAGGTTGGAAAACCAGTGATAAAGCATCTTATTGATCTTTCTGATGGAAAAATACTTCTTGATGTACTGGAAATTCTTTCTGGAGATAAATTGGTAAGTTTAGGTAAATTTTGATGGAATTTGTAAAATAAATAGAAATATTATGAACCTAATTTTATAATTGCAATTTTTTATAGCCCAGTAATTAATTAGATATATTTCAACTGTGAAATATAAAACATACTTAATAAACATAATTTATTTGTTCATTTTTGAATAGAATTCTGTTTAAATTTTAAATTAAAATTAAATTCATTTAAACTGATTGCAGCATAATACTTTGACTGCCAGCGCAGATTATAACAAGGTTTGCTTCTTGACATAATTTTGACATCTGCTTCAATAGGCTCAAATTTTAGTAGGCGAGGCCTTTCATGTTATGTGGTGTGACCATATAATAGCTCTATTGTTTATTTTATTTAACTATCCAGGTATGCGAGAAGGGCACAATGAAATTGCACAAGATAAACAATGTCAATAAAGCATTGGAAGTACTGAAGAAACATCAGGTTTGCTGACCTCTCTTCATTTATAATCAGATAACGATATGCGGGAGTTTTTTTTATACAAGTGATCAGGGATGGTCAATACCAATTAATCTACTGTTCCGAAGACATTCTAAGATAATATTTTAGAATTGGAAACATGGAATTTATCCTAAATTGGGTCTTTCAATGACGAACACGTAGAAGTCAATATTGAATTTGAAAAAATGAATAAAATTAAGATTAGAAAGGATTCATTTTTACATTTTTTGTAGTTTTCTGAAATAAAATGAAGTCATACTGTGAGACTTCAATTGTTAAAAATGGTTGTATGATTATGAATAATTTCTCAATCAAGAATTTAGTGTAAATACTATAAAGTATAATTTCCGTAATTTTGAATCAATTATAATTCGATTTAATAATCATCTCTGCAAGCAACCCGTTATTTTGTAATATGTAAGAGTTACAATGTGTCATTTGATTATATACAGAGTGTTACTTTCTAAAGTTCCAACTGTCTAATATGGTTTCCTTTATTAAATCTATGTGGAAGCTCCAATCAATAAGAAATAGCTAACTGTAATACTTTTATATTTTTGGTATTCAGATCCGGATTGTTAATATTCATCCTGAAGACATTGTAAACTGCAATGAAAAAATTATGCTTGGACTTATATGGACCATCATCTATCATTGGCAGGTTAGTGCAAAAGTGATGAATAACGATAATTCAAAATTGTTGGTCTTGTTACCAGAAATTCGTTTTAACAGTGGGACTTCATATTGCTATCCCAATATATAAATATACATTGCAAACTTTTCACTTAAATCAGGACTCGAGAATTTTCAATGTTTGATTTGTGCTAACTTATCATGATTAGTTATAGGCAAGTGAATAAACCTGATTGTAATGCATCATATTATGATGAATAAACTCAGAGGCTTAAAATTTTAAGTGTATGGATAGATCATAATTTTAAATACTGAATTATTTCAACTTTTATTTTAATGAAGAACATTGTTATTTTGGTAGTGATATTCTCCTATAAACTGCTGGTTTAAGTTATCTCAATTCTTGGAAACTTTCTTTCAAAACATTCATGATTGAATGTTTGTTGTCACATAGTGTGCTATTCCGCATATGCTAGAGATCTTGCTTTCGAATCCTGTTAAAGTCCATAGTTCAATATAAATCTAACATCCTATGATGATTTTTATTAAAAATTAGAAAATTTTCGCCGAAATGAACAAAATTTTAAAACGTGTTTTTTTTTTTTTGAAATCCAACCTCACTTCATTCTCATGAGTCTTATTCAGAGTAAAGTTGCCAAACACTCTTTATTTGTTAAATATATATATTCGGATTCAATCTTTTCTTGGTTTTCTATTTAACAATTCCCCAAATTTAAAAAATAAATATATGAAGTATATTTACAAATGAATGTCTCTGTAAAAACACTTTGTACCTGTAAAATAATTACTGATTAAGGAAAAACTTTCATTTTTGAAGTAGTTCATCTCTGCATATAAGCTTTCCCAAATGGGAGTTGAATTGTTTTGAAATGTTATGCCCTCTCGAGAGTGACTTTGAAATGCTCTTTAAGATGGCATAAGTGACTTTTGTTATGCCAATCGTCTGGAAAGCATCAGAGATGTCTTTGGCGTAACGCCATAAGATGTATTAAGATTTATCTGCTTTTCTGCTGATATCCGCTTTAGTGTTTAAAACTGATTTGGTGACTGTTAATAACAATATCCTTGATTTTTTTAAAGTTTTCTGAGAAAGTGTTATGATTAAGTTTTGCAGTTTTTATTCTGTTTTTTTTTTCGGTATAAGTTGATATTTTCAATTTATTAGGGTATTGAATACTTTTAGTTTATCTATCAACAAATGTTGGGGCATACATTATTTTTTTACTCTGAAACAGTAAAAATACCATGTTTGAATATATGCTTTCAACGTTTCATTCGAAAAACAGTTGATACTCAGGTATGGAGGTAATTTAAAAAAAATCCGCAAAAAAAAAATGAATTTCACTTAGTCTCTTATTAAGATTAGGTAGGAAGAAGTAATATGGAATAAAACAATCATATTGATATGTTTCTTACCTTACTATGTTTAACATGACACAAATTTAATTTTTTTGTTTTAAATTATTTTTGAGAGTATATCAGGAATGGGAATTCACTTTTCTAGGCCGGGGATTCCTAAACTTTTCAAACTCCTATTGCATTTACTTTTTGTAGTACAAATCATGGCACACTGGAAACATTCATTTCACTCAATTAACATTAATAAATAACTACAGGAAAAATTGCCTATAATATATGCTTATTTTGTCAATGCGTTACATCAGCTTGTTTCCATGGAAATAAACCATCATAAGGCAGATGCTGAATTTTTAATATCGGCAGTCATAATTCTCTATAATTTTGATAATAAGTGGTTTTAACCATTTTTAATATCCTGAATGCAGACATATAAGATATATATTCTAATAAATGGATTAATATTTTGCAACGCAGCTGAAATTATCACACAATAGGCTACACAGCTTTTCTCAGCATATAGTTGAAGGAATCGTGGTTTCATTTATTCCTAGAAATCTTACTTTGGCTTCGTATGATACAACTTATTTGTATTTAGATAATAATATACAGTAGGCTATATTGTTGAAAATATTGTTTTCATTTTCTCATATTAATTTCCACTCATTCATCTTGTTATATACTTTATTTTGCTCTTTTGTTTGCAGTAACATTCCTTTGCCAGTGGCATTTTGTTTCCATTATTATCATATTATCTATGCACTGAGAGACAAGATTGCATAGTAATTATATACAAATGTTTCCTTAGTTAATTAAAACAAAAACGGTGTTGTCCTTGTAAACCTGAAACTATGTCATAAATCACATGCTGTAGGTATAAACAAACAGATAGTATCTTTACTTTGCTGTATATAGTTTAACAGTGTGATAATAGATAGGAAATAGCCAATCAGGAAATCTCTTTTTGGGGTTATATATAACCAATCTTGATCTGGTGATGGAATGGACTAGTTAGGCATGGTCCATTTATGACTAAAGTTCAGCATGAATTGATTTTACAATTGGGCATGGGCCAGATATAGCCAACGTGAGTTATGAATCAATATTGTATTAAGTTTTTCGATTTTTTTTTAAGAATATATGGTAACTGTTTTGATTCAGTAATTATTAAAACGCTGATCCATTCAATACAATTGATTTTTGAAGCGCTACACATTTTTTCTACTCACCATCGATATATTTTATCAACAAATTTCTGTATTAGGCTATCTTCATTGCAACCTCAAATCTTGATATTATTTTCTATATTTGATTTTATTCTCCCTCTACGGGTGTATAATAGTGACACTGAAACACTATTTATCCACACCATATTCTTAGTAAATGATGAAAACTCTAACTTGACCAACCAAGTTTAATATCAAGTTTTCATCTTCATTAATAACTAGATGATTGTTATAAAAATATGTGGCAGGCCTAATATGATAATTAATAAACTCCATAAAATTTTGGTCTACCTGTTGTTGGATTATCAACTTGTAAAATTGAAATTTTTTAAATGTTTATGCAAATAGCATATATTTTTTTTTCTCAAGTACATCATAATCAGATCATAATTGGGCAATATATAATTTCGCCTTCCAAGGCTTATTTTCGTTAGATATCCCATTACCAAGCTTGATTTGTCGTGATTTTTGAATGTGCTTTCTAGTTATCAATTACTGGGCAACGTTGCGAAATTATAGTACTGAAATTCGCTTTTCTAGTTTTCAATTATCACACTGTAATTAACTATCTTAATTCGAAACTAGTAATTAGAAGGTCAAGTTTTATCTTACTTACACATAGCCTATGAATAGACACTCCCAATATCAGTTTGTCAGTGCTCAATACAGGTGAAGCATTTTTAGGTTTTAATGACTGTGAAATTGTTTTTGGCCTGAATTGGCCAGGATGGCCTGAATTGAATAATTCATTATTCCGCATACATTTTGAAATATTATTTTTAAACATGGAATGCAGAATATATTCTAAATTAAGGGTATGTTCAACAGATAAATTTAAGTTTAGTGAAGTAAATTTATAGAAAATTAGTTTGATCATGCTAAAAAGTTAGATAAATGTTGTTTTGAATGATTTTATTTTTATTTTTGTGCTATCAGAAGTTGTATTTTTTGTCTTGAACATCAAATATTAAATGCTTAAGATAACAAATTTTCGAATGAAACTATCTGTGTTTTAAATTATTAAATATATACAGCTTTGGATGAATTTGAAAAGTTTATTCATGTTGAACTTCCCTACTAATAGAATTGTTGAACTAACTCCGTTTAGGCATTGCTTCTGTTTATTAGGATGAGTTTTAGTTATTTAGATTGATGGATGAGGTAATAATTCTTCATAGACCTGTTATGATTGAGTGATTGATCTGTATTTCTATGTTGAAGCGGTTTCGTCAGATCGTCTTTGAAACTTATTTTCTAACACATGAATAAATATATTTGTTCATAATAATGTGTGCTTAGATTTTATTAATAAGTAACATATATTTAATAAGAGCATTGATTTTAAACTATTAATAATAAATTACTGTCGAATGCTATAAAATTTTATTCATATATATATATTTTTTAAATATGTAAGAGATGAGACATCAATAATGACAATGAAATTTTCAAATACAATCGAGAGTAGATATATTCAATCAACAATCAAAATGACCATTGGATATTCAAAAATATTTCGGATTATTTCACCAAAAAATTTACTTTATTTCATTTCTGTTAATTTGATTATAAATGTCCCCCTGTTTCTACATTTTAAAATTCTAAAATATTTATTCATTTATACAAATATTTTGGTTCTTTTTGAAAGTTTTCTCCAGAATATATTATTCATAGAAAGTTATTTTATAGGAGAATATAGAAACAGTTCTGTTTGAATATAATCCAAAATGATTTGCGTGAAATTTTTGTGGAGTAGGCCTACATTTAGCAGATATCCTAAACTGTCAAGTAAATTCATTTTGGTCGTTTAAAATTAAAATTTAACTAGAAGATGCAAATCAAAATGAATTTCAAGATTTAATTCTGGGATTTCCAGCTATTTGGATATGAACATAGCTAGCATTAGAGCAACGAAAGTTCGCTAATGATTATTTTTTATTACTGTGAGCTGAAAGTCTTACTACAAATAAAACATATTATCAGATTAAACGTTTGAAACAGTAAAAAATTTATTGTACAGTATAGTATTATTACATCATAGTAAACTGTTTATTTTCGATTTGGCAAATATATTTTGAAGACAGATGACTGCAGATTGGTAATATGTCATACTAATTGCGACTCGTAAAATCAAAATTTATCACCGAGTTTATGATGTCGTAACCTGGAAGGAATTTTCTGCTTCTTAAGTTTTATCCTATTGGGGTTATATCGTAATTGGATTCCTCCACTAAAATCGGATTAGAGTGTTTGATGGATCTGCACTCTCGTAAGATTTCCGTATTGTGTGATTACGATTACTGATTGCGTATATAATGTCGTAGTTGCGGAATCTAAGTGCTGTCTGTTCTCCATCTTCATAAGTTGGGCTTCATGGTGCGTGACCTATTCGAAACACTTGAGATTGGTCATTCATGAATTTTTTGATGAGTGGTTTTGAAGTTCATAATCGAGACAAGTATGGCCTAAGAATATTTAATTACCACATTATCATCCCATGCTTGATCATACATAATTATTTTCCTAATATACCAATACTTCATGATGGCAGAATGAGACCATAATGCTATATTTTAAAATCTGTGGTCAGACAACATAACAATTTAGGAAATGTCAGTTTGAGTCATACACAGATGTATCGCATACTTCATAAATCATATGGGTGTGTAGGTCTGTGGAGTAAATAAATAACAGTTTTTAATATTATTTTCACTTTTATTATGGATTGCCATATATTATGTATACTAGGATTTTCAATGTTTTTTTCATTGATTATTCATATGTTGTTAATAAATATATTCCGACTTCAGAAATGTACATATATATTTATCGCAAAATTCTATATTGCTATCACATTGCATGTACTCCAAATATAATCACATTACATTTTCACTGCATTATTTATAATAATTTCAGGTCTTTTTTTAAGTAACTTTTTTGAATGGCACTGGTTCGAAATTCTTGCATGTTTCGAAGTAAATACATTCCATATAGTCAAATGAGTCACTATTAGTATTAATTAAAGTTAGTATTTTTAAAATTGAAAAATTTGGATTTTGAAATTATATTTTATTTTGGTAAAACTTTTTTTATTTAAAATTTAATATGAAAAAATTCAGTCATATAATACTATTCGAAATACAGACTTCTATAAGAACAGTATACATTTTTAACATTGTAAGGTATGCAAGTAACCCACTGCCCTGACATTGAACAGATACAAAATTCACTATAATGACTCTAATTATATTTAAAATACCATTGGTAGCTTATTATTCTTTGAAATCATTTTCATGCCTACTTATATTTAATATTAATGGTAATTTTTAAATCATATAGAATTTACCGGTAATATAGTACATGAAGATATCAAATAATATTTAGATTTATGGAATTTTGTAATTGGTGTTACATGAAAGAAGTGCTTTTTGATTGAAATAAAGATTAGATCGCTGGATTTTTGCAAAATGTTTGTTACGTATCGAAACCACAATTTATTTTGAATGTTGTTCATATAAAATAGGGCATAAATCAGTATTTTACAGCAGAAATAAATATATTAATTCAAATTGCAAAGCCATAATATTTAGGTATGGTCGTTCTTAGTATTGAGCAGAAAAAATATCCTATATTTATTCAATTTTTGAACCCAAAGTGGTTTGGCAAATCGTTCTGGTAAATTTTTGTTGTTGTTGGGATTTTGGTTGGTATTAGGGGAAAATCTCCAGCTAGAAAAACGTGCGAGAAAACTATTACTTTTTTTATTTTCAAGTTTTCTCTGGTCACAAACTAATATACTAAAAATTTTGCGGTTTTTTATTTTCTTTTAAAAAGATTTCATTTTGTAATTCTCAACCTCCCTCCCTATGTTGCTTATTCAATTTTTTCATCAAACAGTATGCTCTCTGGCCTTACCGTACCAGTAATTATGTATGGCCTTCTTGTCTATATATTTGAGCTTCTTTTATCAAATATTTCGTTTTTCTCAGGTTAAAGACGTCATGGCGGAAGTTATGGAATCTTTACAACAAACTAGTTTTGAGAATACATTGTTAGGTTGGGTTCGTCAATCAACCCGAGGTTATAAAAATGTCAACGTAATCAATTTTACATCAAGTTGGTCTGATGGGAGAGCATTATGTGCACTGCTGCATAGATATAGGTATTTACGGTTTTTTATTGTTTCATGTTGTAACTTGTACAACAATTCTGATTTACGTTCTGGTTATGATGGATGTGCTAGAATATTTTATTTATTTTTTTCAGTTTTTGTAAGAGGGGATTTTAATATTGTTACTGTATTTTTTTACTATTCTAATTTCATTAGATTTCACATAGCTCCAAACATATCTCTTCACAAGCAGACCCTAGAATGTTAAAATTTTTGGGAAGAATATGATACACATACATGTTGCTGTAAATAAAAGCTGATTTATGCATTGATTTATTCTTCGTATCAAATCATCAAAAGTCTTACAAATAAATGGGATGTCCAGCATACATAATTCTTTTCTGATGGTCAAAATTTCTGAATTGAGAATTGCTCAAAATTTTATTTTGGTATTGGAGTATGTCTCCATACACATACTATGGTCTGCAGCAATTTAGAAATTCAAAACATAATTTAGAATGCCAAAATGTATTGTTTTTGCTTATCAATTATAGCTTTTTCTTATATATAGTTTTTATTTTATCTTTTATTGGTATTATTACGATCCATTTTTTTTTCAATACTTCAGGCCTGATTTCTTCGAATTTGAAGACACAGAAAAGCTTTCTGCAGATGACAAATTGGACAAAGTTTTCAAAGATGCGTATAAACATCTCGGTATCGAAATGTTGTTGGATCCTGAGGATGTTAATTGTAAAAGCCCAGATAAAAAATCAATCATCATGTATGTCACATCGTTATTCCGAGTAAGTATAATCAATTATTTGCATGTTTCGAATTCTGATTCTAATACTGTTACCGGTAGTTATTCTTGGACAGCTCTTTAGTATTTGTATAACATAGTATATTGTGTGAAATAAGCCAATTTCGTTTCACAGTGAGTATTATCAAATTATTCTTCAAAGAATTAATACACTAACTGTGAATTTTGTATTGATTTTATATATTTTTTTATCTGTACAGGTTTTGCCGCAACAAATAACGCTAGAAGACATTGAAGAAGTGAAAAAGATTGGACAACAAAGTCATCACGAGGTCAGTTGATATTTATCATTAGTGTTCATGAATATAATTGGCTTAATTCCTTGAAGTCTGGATAAGATTACACTCAACTCTGAGTCGATTTTTCATTAATTACCTGTTGATCGCTCATCTTCCCAATGATGGCTCATTTCTAATATCAATTAAAACACTTCAAAATCGACTACAAAACAGACTACTTTGTGTGCTTATATATATATTATTAAATAAATTGCTTGACTTCTTTGCTGAGAGTTGTATTTCGTTTGCCCCACAATTCAGTGTTCTAAATTTTCCTGTGTTGACTCATTTAAAAACTAACGTACAAGGTTTACTCTATGTAAACATATTCGAAAAGAACATGACTTTGTGTGGAGCGTCCTAGCTAATTATTCGACATAATTTATCCAAAATCAATAGGCTTCTGTTCCGAGATATGAGGAATGCACATGCGAAATTTGGAGCAGATTCAACCTCGCTTTCGTGAGATATAGCGTGCATCTAACAGACAAACAGACAAATACCTATCAACATACTTACCGATCTAAAGATCGATAAGTAATTAGGTACCAGACTACGAGTATCATTTTTTGACTGTTACAAAATTCTGTTTTCTTGTTCTAGTCTGCAGAATCAGCAGATGACGATGGATCTTTATCCGAATTTCAACTTCGTGATTTAATTGGAGAATACAAGAGACAACTAGACATTGTTAATGACTGGTTAACGAAATCAGAAAATGTTTTGCAAACAAAATCACAAAAAACGGAAGAAGATTGTCCGATATCAGAACAGTTTCATCAACATGAGGTAATGGTCAGTGGGTAGTTAGAACCAGTATTCTACAAATTTGTTTACTTCATATGAAAATAAAAAACTATATGGGGTGGGGTATTTTCCAAATCAGTATAAGTTTAATAAAACAGTCTGAGTGAAAAAAATCAAAACGGGGGTTATGTCTTCTGCCACCCCCACAGTCTCAAATCACCTTTTCTTTTTGTTTTGAGTGAGTGCGCATGAGCTTGCTTTGAGCAGATTTTCTTGTAAAAAAGTAGGCGTCACTTGCTCTATTACATTAAAAATCACAATTTTCGAATTACAATTTATCAATAAAATATAGAATCTTTAAAATTTTTGATATATAAAGCAAACAGTTGTTCAGAGTCTCTGCAAATTCGCTAACCCATTGAATAAGCATTATGTCTGTTCTATCAATGTAGTCTAGTATATTGTGGAATTTTCAATGTTTACATATCGGTCCTAAGCATGCTAGCTCTCCTCACCACTTATCTTCAGCAAATATTTGAATTCTGTAACCATCTACTCTTAATCAAACATGAAACGAGTAGCGTCAGGAAGTTTTAGTCCTGCTGCCCTAGTTTGTAACATTTCTTTTTTTCTGTAAATAATTACTTCTGTGAAGAATTTTCTACTATTTGAAACGCATTCTGAGAAAAATATTATAATAATATGAAACTATGTTAAAATATTTAAAAAAATAAGGTTTTAGGTATTGGATATACAGGTAATAAATATGATTAAGGTATTTCATCGGCTTCCCTGGGATTAATATGTAGGCTAGATCGTATCTGACCTGAAATACCAACATGGTTGATAAGAATTTGCTTTAAGAATAAAGTGCAACCTGAAGATTTTTTTTCTCGTATAGGCCTTTATGCTCGAACTCATGTCAAATCAAGAAAGAATTGGTACAGTGTTATCCACTGGTCAAAAATTACTTGATACCAAAATGTCTACACAAGGAAATGTAAAAACTGAATCTGGTTCGCTCCCAGAAAAAGAGAAACATCAAATTTCAAAACAAATGGAATCTTTAAATTCTAGATGGGAAAATCTACGCAAGAGGAGTATGGAAAGACAATCAGAGTGAGTGACATAATTAACTAATGATGGTCGATTTGTTGTTGAGTGTTTTGATAATATCTGTCCATATGTTGCTGTAAAGTTTTGTTGGTACTCCCGTAGTGTGTGGATCAGGTTAAGGTTAGGCCATAATTTTATTTCGATTTTCCTTATTTTAGTTCTGTTACGAGCTCGGGTACTGTCTGTGTTAGCCAAGTAAATATACCCCATGCTCATGGGTTTCAGGCCCTTTACACAACTTGATGTAAAGTAGGCAAACAAAATTAGTTACCTCCATATTGATACACACACTTCTGGAGTGCCTTTGAAGTGACTATGTTTGAATTTTTATATTAATAATCTATGGCCAACACAATATAAAAAAATTATTTCTATTTTTTCAGTCTTCATACGAGATTGGTTGAGGTTCAAAAGAATCAAATTAAATCATTGGAAGAATGGCTGAAGTCGGTTGAAGAAAAAATTAAAAATGAGAAAAGTAATAATTCTCTAGGAAGTTTTGATGACGTACAAAATAAAGTTATACAACACAACGTAAGTCTATAAAATTCATAATGCTTGAGAATTATACACTTTTTCAGTGTTACCTGAATACGGGGTTTCAAGGCAAAAAGCGAATGTTAAAATTTCGAAAAATTTTTAATTGAAAATATTACAAAGAAATAGGCGATCTTTATTAAGTCTCCTGATTGTAGTTTGAAACAGTATTCACCAAAGAATTTCGATAAAAGGTAAAAGGTAAAAATCAGAAAGATACGTTTTCCTTATCTTTTCAAGACTTATATTCCTATGTCCTTCCATTCAGTGTTTTCCTTTGTTTTCAGAGTTTCTGTTTGTTTTCATTATGCTAAGCATTATCAACCCGAAATTCACTTTCATTGCCTTGTTATGAGCAGAATTGTGGAAACTTTCTCAAAAATCTTAAACATTTATGTCTAGGTCTTGCAAGAATCTGTGAATGATAAAATGACAGAAGTTAATAAATTATCACAAATCGTTATCATTGTTGATGACAAATCGGAAGATGATTTTATGAAAAATCTTGAAGAAAAATTACAGAATTTAAGTGACAGGTTGGTAGTAGATTTTTTGTCAATAAGGGGATTCACTATTCAGATAACAGACTAAGGGGCTAAATATTGATTGAGCCCCCAGCCCTCATGATATATTCGACTTGAGATTGCCACCATGCTTCTTCTCCAGAGTTGAAGTAAAACGAAAAGCAAAAACAAAAAAGCATAATAATGAAAATTGATGCTGGACTGAATAAAGTGGTCTAAAAATAATACTGTTTAGCCATTTTCACAAAAATTCTGTATTATAATACATTTTTGTCAACCTCTTGATTGACTATATATATCACCATGATTTCACCTATTTTATATCTATCATGTTTCCTCGAAAATAAGTCCGAGCCTGAATTTTAAAAATGATCTTAATATAAGCCCTCTCCTTAAAGTAGGACGTAGCCGATAGATCGAAAAAAATTTTCTTTCACGCGTTATTAAATGATTAATAATCTATGTTTAGCAGCTATTTTAAATAAAAACGTATTATTTATAAGTAAATGGATATCGGTTTTCATATTTTGTAATTGAAAATCTCGTACTCTAGTGTTATTTTTCAAAAAAATTGAAATAAGACCCATTCTTATTATTGGGGAAACATGGTATACTTGAACTCAATGCGGATTGCATGCTTAGTAGCATTAGGCACTTTTGATTTTTTTTTAAGGTGGTCATCAATTTGCCAGTGGACAGAGGAGAGAAGCGGTCAGTTAAATAAAGCATTACTATGTTGGAAGAAATTTAATTTATTTGTGGTTAGTATTACATATTGAAAATTAATCATATATTAAAATATCAGAAATTGAACATTTAATGGCAACATTGTTAGGCCCATACTAGACACATCTAGCACTGGAAATGGTCGGCCAGTTAAGTGGTCAAACAACTTCAGATAGTGAGCATTTGTAATTAATTCTGACCCTTCTGTTATTCCAGGTAGTACTCCTTTTCTAATGTATATTCACCTGATATAAATTAATTTGCACATATTTATCTTTCGTATTCTACCCTTTGCATTATCAGGATGAATTCAATGAAATTAATGAAGACATCAACGAGGCGTCTGTTACAGATGATCAAATACAGGAACTGGGTCAACAACTGAAAGAAACCCAGGAAGAAGGAAATATTTTATTGATGCTTTATCCTGATCAGGATGACGAACAGAGGAAAAAAATCAAGGTAATCTTTGTTTCTCTGCATTAAAACCATATAAATGCTCTTGTTACGGTATGGTTTGGCACTACCCTACTCAATTATTTACTACACTCTGGGTGGTACTCCTGTAGTATGCGAACCATGATGAGAGACACCGGAACGTAGTATGTGTACCATGTTAGGGTTAGGTCATAGTTTTATGCCAATTTTAGTTATTTTAGTTCTATTACGAGTTCGGGGAATAGCCATGCGACTCTCATAATATTTGTACCTGAAATTATGGCCTAACCCTAACCTGGGACACATACTACATTCCGGTGTCCGCCATCTTGATTCATATTCTACAAAAGTACCCTCTGGGTGAGCTGGTGGGTTCAGTATTCGATCCCGAGTTTTTTATGAAGATTTTCTTTCTACTAATAACTCAATCTCTTCAGTGTGAAATTTAGTAAAGTAAATCTTCCGAGGGTTTAAAATTGGTTTCCGCAATTCTTTGTGATATTTGAGACTTTTAGTTTTAGGATCGAAGTCTTTTATAGAGAAACGGAGAAAATTACTGTAAACGTAAAACTTTTGATTTAACTATTTCAGGATATTCTCGGCAAATTGGAAGTGCAATACAGCATGTTGAAGACGAATGCTTTGTTACAAAAATCTTCAACAGATAAATGTGATGACATGTTGAGAAGGTGTGTATTCATATATTTTTGGTCAGAGCAAAAGCATTCTGACGATAATGCATTTTTGGAAACTCTATGAAGAGAAAACCAAATCACTGCTTTCTTCATTTTCAGTTTTAATCTCATTGAACATAAATTGCTTTCTATCTGTTCCCAATGTAGAATGTATTTAATATTCTGTATTTGAAAATATTATTTTGATATGTATTTGGAATTGGCAAATTCTGATTTTAGCCAATTCTGGGGCGCCATTCGCTAAACTTCGTAAAAAGCCGGGTTTACGATCTCGTAACTGTGTCTCTCAGAATCGTGATAGCGAAATCTCGTTAAATGCGATTCACCAAAGACCTCGTAAGCACTTGACGCACGGTCACTAGCATTCTCTCGAAATCTTACGCACGGTCGCAGTTGAACAAAATGCACTGACTGATCACTCAGCCGTATCAGTTGTCGCCGCTTACGGTCGAGCGTCTTTCGCCTTCGCGGTAACCTATCGGCTTTCTCTGCTTCACCTTTGCAGCCTGCGTTTTGAAATTTTGTTCATATAGCAGTGGCGTAATCTATAGACTGACGGATAGGCTACATGGAATAAATGCTGAAGTTACACAGAGAGAGATTTATTGCCACAAAACAAATTACATATTGTGAACTATTTGTGTAACAGACAATAAAATCAGTGAGTTGCCAAAGCTTGTTAAGATTCCATATTTTTAATTTTTCATTGAGTCTATAGTCCTCTATTAAGGTCCTTTCATTTGCATCTAGCTAATTTTTTTCTTTCGGATACGACATGGAGAGATTGTTGGACTTTTCTTCTGCAAGCTTCAATATAGGTAGCCATTTGTGAATCGGTGTTCATAATACTGTAGGCCAGTGCTAGAATAAACAAAAAACAATGACTTCAACAACTGAACAATCTCTGAATCTCAACCCTAGTTTAATCTGTAAATGCGGCAGATATTCCACAGCTAAGTTAACGGCACTAGACTACATACACGCTTACCCGAGTAAGGCCCCTTGATACTATGCCAATTTTTACAAAGTATGCTAACGTCCCAACGAGCCTATTTTAATTTGAATCACTGCTGAGAGCAATCCGAACTGTTAACGAGGCGAAGATTGTTCTCGTTAGCTAGCGAGCTCTTCAGCGGTTAAAGAACTTTCGTGAATACCGATTCTCGATAAAATGTGAGAAGAAGGCACTTTACGAGACGTCTCATTTGGCGCCAAAAAAACTCTCTCGAATAATTTCTCTCGAATATTTACGAAGCTCTGTGAATACCATTTTTGCTTTTCACGAGAAAGTCGGTGCTTAACTAACACGTTAAGCGGTAACGAAGCTTTGTGAATGGGGCCCCTGATCACATAACATGGTTTATTTTTGTGACATATGTTTCCAAATAATATTATTTTCTCGATTTTTGATCTTTTTTTGTTTAAAACTTTTAATTCAAAAATTATGAACAGGGATTCCTTAAATATTTGTTATTATTTCATATTTATTCTTTTATATTATTTTGAAGGTTTTCTGCAAATCTTATTGATGTTCGATCTTTGATCAAAAAAATGGAAGATGTTGTTTGTTCACCTCAAACTAAAGCATTGAATGAGGATGCTCATATTGTATGTTGTTCATCTATTTACCTGTTTTAATAATTACAACAAATTAAATTTATAATAATTTGTCGCATGATCCAGAAATGAGTCTATCCCAGGGATGGGGTACCACTGACCTGCGGGTCAAAAAGTGACCCGTCATGTGACAAATTATCTCTAAAAGCGATGATAAAAGTGATTTATGACTAAAATTAACAAGTTAACTATGCTTTAGAAATTATGGTATACCAATATGCAATGCCAAACTAGGATAATAAAACATGTGGAAAAATACATCACTTTCTTATTGATTAAATATATGACACACATTTTTTCACATACTTTTATAATATGTGAACAATCAAATAAAAAAGGTTTGGTATTCCTGTTCTAACCTGAAATTTGTTTTCCAGGACGAAGTGGAAGAAGTTATATGTTCACTTGATAACATAGGACAAGATAAGGAAATGTGTAAAACGAAATTTGATGAATTGCATAACATTAATTCAAGAGTTGTAAAGTTATTGAAAGGTTGGAATGTGCTTTATTTTTTATTTTCAATCTTATAATAATAGATATTCAGTCAAATCATTATTTGTTTCAAGTTACCTTTCCCATTCAAGTCAAATTTAATTTGTGAATTTTTTTTTATTTAGGTAAAAATCAAACATTGTCTAAAATGTCTGATGATATAAAAGACGTTGATGTTAGTTGGAAGGAATTTAACGAACGATATGCTACGACATTTCATAATGTTAGACTAATTGCAAATGTCATCAATTATAAAGGATTGCACAGGTAATATAGTAAACTCAATTTTTGCTATTTTGAATATTATCTTTCAAATTTTGTATCGCATGATGAACCAGAAAATTCTTTTATTAATTTGATTAATTGTAGTTACAAAATTTGTGTTTTTTTTCAACATGATTATTTTTTATTATTTTTATTTTTTATTTTATTCAACTGAGTGGATGTTTTGAAGTCTGGATTTTTGAAAATTTTTTGTTTGAATTGGAAATAAAATACTGTGCAAGATCTAGTATTGACTGAAATTGGTTTTTGAGAAAGTTCCCAACTAAAATTCACTCAAAAAGCTAAAACTCACAAATTCACAATTTATTGAATAATAATAATTTTGACAATTTTTCTTTAAATTCACTTCTTTTCAATATAATTTAGTGAACTTCATAAAAAAGTGAATCAGAGTTCAGACTGGTTAACAGAAATGCATAATGATGGTTCGTCACCACAAGATGACGGCATCCATGATGAGATTGAAGCAAGAATTAAATCTGTGAGATCTTCTGGAAAGTTTTTAACAACATTTTGTGAGGTAAAGTCTTTGTAAAAGTTTATAACATCATCCATTTTTTAATGATTATTATCAACAATAACTTTTTCAAATTTACAGCAAAATCCAAGTGTACAACAATACTTGAAAGTGCCGGCAAATTCTGAAAAACTTGTTTCACTTCACAATGATTGTGATGAAATTTGTGAAAGATTGTCTGCATGGATGAATGAAGATGTGCAACAGGGTAAGAAATTAGAGTTTTTATTACCAATTCAGATAAGGGATGGTTTGGTGTAGGTTATTTTCATAAAATTCATTTTACAAATTTATTTCTTGTAAAATTAAATCTATTTGCAGAGGATTCTCCGCAATCTGATTTTGACATTGCTCTGATACATTTGAAGAATTGGTTGTCACAAGCTGAAAGAACGTTGGATTCTGAAACAATACAAGTATCCGATGAAAAAACAATGAAAGAAGAATATGCAAGGTGATTTTTGTTTTTGTCATGTGGACACATCCTCTAAACTAACGAAGGAATTTAAGCTTCAGTACTTTCAGGCAAAATGTTGATATGGAGTCTGGGATAATTTTCACCAGATTCCTAACTCCAAGGCCCGAGCCATCAAACAAAGTACCCTGATTCGAGGTTGACAAAAAATTTTGACTGCGACTTGTTTTTGTGATCTTTCACGTTTTGAAATACCGAACCCCACTGCCATGGTTTAAACCAGGGTGGTCCAAACCCAGGCCCGTGGGTCACATGGGGCCCGCCGCTTCATTATCTGTGGCCTGCGTCGCACTTGCGGGAGGCTAAACAAAAATCGCATTTGACGTTGACATTTTGTTACATCACTAATGCCACTGAATTGACTAGCACTAGTGTTGCGGCTAGCTGAGTTGAATAATGTGCTTGGGTAGTCTAAATTATTAATTGGTTTTCTATATTTTTAGTCGGGAATAAAAGGTTATCAAAATAGGCTTAATAGAAAACTAAAAATCGGATGAGAAATATATTAGCCTAGGTTGGATAATTAAATATTAATGTTATAGTCGAACAATATAATTCCTCTCGGATGTTTTAGTTCTGCCTATATGTTAGAAAATTTAGTAATTACCACTTTGTATCTCAAATTTGGTAACATTCGGTAATCAATCAATCTGCAGTTATTTTGTAAACATCAATTTGAAAATGAAGCTGACGAATTCAAACAGATTTTTGACTACGCATGGGCCGGAAAATACCACAATGCTTTCTAAATATGTCTGTAAGGAATTATCTCATTATGATACTTTCTCTGGTATGAAGTTATACACCAAATGTAGATACATATATAGTAAGTTATTAGTATATAGTATGGCATCACAAGTGAATAAGTTTGATTTGTATTGCGCTATTTAGTGTTTACCTATTCCTGGCAGTAGTGCGGCCCGCGAGACCGACAACTTTGGACCACCCTGGTTCAAACTATAGGTAGAAAAATTTTTTTCTGCGTACTTCAAGAGAAGACGCGAGATATTCGTTTAAACACTGACTTGGCTAATTTTGTAGACAGCATTGATAAAATTTCACATTGGTGGCTTAGAATTGTGGCAACAAGGTATGACGTTATCCATTGGTTCCAAGTATTTTTTATTTACTCGAAGGCAACAAAACTAGGTCTATCGATTGAACATTATCAATTTATGCTATTTTGCTTATCTACTGATAAATAAGATAAGTATTATAAGATAAATTTTTGAATTTTCTAGATACCAAGAATTGAGAGAAGCACTTTCTGTACAACAGAGCAATGTGGATTTTGTGATGAACACAAATGAACAAATAACATCAAAGTATGTTCAATTTACTACCTTACTAATAAATTATTATTTACATTTTACAACGATAAATTTGTTTTGATTTGTTTGAATCACTCTAATGCGAACCATTTTTACCGCTTTTGACTCATAGCTGCTGTGATGTGTAATTAGTGAGTAGTAATCAACTTTATGCTCTGACCTTCATTGATTCCCCTCTGATTCTAACAAAAAACTGCTGTAGCCACTTTAATTCATGTGAACCAGAGCTCCGAGAACAAAGAGCCGCAGGTTGCTGATTTATACTAATAAATGAGCAAAATCACATGCCTTCCAATCCAAATTCTTACAAATATTCAAAATATAAAATATACACAAAGCTAAGTTATGCTCTAGCGAAAGCGTGTACCGTGGTGATTAACCACTGGTGAATGACATTTATCTGTGTTATATCAAATGATAAATATACTGGGTTATTTTAGACGAACGCATGCTGAAGATCTTCGTTCTGTGAGAAAACGATGGGACGCAATCACCAAGTATGTGGAAGATAGAATTGTATCACTTGAAAAATGTATGGAACTACAGGCAGATTTCAAGGTATTTCTCATAAATTACCAAAGTTGTATTCGATGTCTGTATCCTGAAATAAACTTTATATCAACTTCTGTGTGTGTTTAAAACTGGGGAGTCTGTTAAAATGTATACCCAACTCCAACCTTATTCAACTCCCAACTCTGAGAAATCTAAACTTTTAAGAACTTTCGTCGCGTGTGATAATCTTTTGTTGAAATGCTTTGCCAACTTGGAAATTTCCAGTTTTTGAAGTGAAATTCTTCCTGACTGCCACGATTAGAAGTCTAAAATATACCACCAGACAAATTTATACTTTGACTCTGAGACGTTTGAAAATACGATTTCAACTTGAACGTTCATAAAAACATGCTTACTCTAAATCGACACCACAAAACTGGTTGCTGAGTTGCTGATAAACACAATTCGCATAAATTTCTCTGTGCTTGGAATCAGATAAACTCGTGGTTCGATAAGTATTTTTTTTGAATGCTCATCTCAATTTTTCACAGGAAATGCATGAAAATCTTTCAATCTGGCTTGACAAAGTTGACGAAGTATCATTAGTAAACGGGACAACGAATCCAAGCAAATTGTCAGAAGAATTAATTGCGAAAGAAAAGGAGTATCAAAAAATGAAAGTCTTTTCAAACGAATTATCAAACAAAGCAAATGAAGATTGTAAGAAATGTATGGCTGATCAGATGGAAGTGTTGTCCAAGCGTTGGACATCCGCTAAATCCGAAGTGAGTTTTGGACACAAAGTGTAAATATGGATCGTTTTGTTGAATTGTTGTAGTTTTGGGGAAAAAATCAATTATTTAATGATGGATAACGTCAATGCATCGATGGGTTATAATTTTTTTTTTTTCAAATTTCAAGTCCCACAGGGCCCGCTATTTCACCCTAAACTTTTACTGTTTTTTTTTTTAATGGAAAGTTTCTTTTTCCGTGTGAACATTAATTTTATAGTAAATGGAAATACTTTTAACCTTAGTGGCAATATACTTGAGCATTATTTTGGATGTGATACAATCTTGATAAACATAGTTCACAGACATCATGTCCGTTTGTACATCTCATTTGTTTACCGTCAGTATACCATTACATCATAACAATTTCTATATAATTCCAGCTATTAGAATTCACCACCTCATAGATTTTTCCTGGATAGTATGGATTTGAACCGCTTCAAATCTTGCGTTAATTGGCATTTACCAGTGCATAATTAACCACTATATTTCTATACAGTTTCAGTTTTAGTAGTTCTTGACATTACAGTGGTCTTCGATTTTCCCATTTACACTGATTGTTCATGTGGACTCTTCTTTGTAATTGGTACATAACAGCATCAAAATATTGTGACCATTCGTTTTCTGTTATTAGATTTCAAGAATGAATGATACTCAATCCAAAGATATGAGTTGGAACAACTTAGCAGCAGAAATGACCAAATTTTTGGAATGGATTACCCATGTTCGTGAAAATATAATTGAGACAGAGCCCAGCATACAGACTGTTGAGGATCTCAAAATACAGTGGGAAGAAATTCAGGTATTTTTCTGTTTTCTGTAGTTGGATTTGATGACCTAGTTTTAAATCGTTAGACTCAAGTATGTTGACATTGCAGGTTAGAATCCTTGGTTTCAAATCCCATGCCAGACAATGGGTAGACATGTCTAACTCCGAATTATTTCGATCCTTTCTTGTATCAGTGGTGCTTGTAACAGGGCCTTATTCGGAGTAAAAATGATAAACAAATTCTGATGCTGTTATTGTAATGAATTGTTAATTTTTGATATGTAAGTAGCTTTCCTAATATTATAGTTTATAAAAAGAATCTTCCCAGTTTCATGTTGTGTACTCATCTTCTATAAGCATGAAATATTATTCTAAGCTTTCCTTAGACTCCCACAGAGAGCAATATTTCATCCAAAAATTTTGTTGTTTGTCTATAATTTCGAGGCAAACTAGAAATTTTTTTTCCCATCATCCAGAAATTAGAATCTGAAATTGACCAACACGAAGTGAAAGTGAAAATACTTCACGATAAAGCAATGTCGTTATCTGCAAAATCAAGCATGCCAGATCACATTGAAGATCTTCTGTCTGATGTTAAAGATGGATGGAAACAGTTTAATCAAAGGATGAGCACAAAGAGAACTATATTACATGTAAGTGACACTAAGTTATAGAAACCTTGAGAGTCAGTTGCGGACAGCTTAGCTTTTGTAATTTTTAGTGAATGACAAGGTTGTTTAAGTGTTTCTCAATGAACTAATGGTGCTCGATGAGGAATCCTCTTATATTTCGCAAGGAGTCTAAGCAATCCTCTTGTGCATAATAACCCTCCACAAGATTTATGCCTACGAACGAACTTGCACAGGACAATCAGAGATGCGACAGCAGTGTGTTTCTATCACTTAGCATCATGCACCAACTGACGCTTGGAGGATGTCTCTTATAAAGAATGTCTGTATTTAATATAGGCATTATTTGATACTGAAATATAATTAATGTTTTTTTTTGAAGTGATTCGAAATAAAAAAAAGCCATTTTAAAATTTAAACTTTATTCAAGTTCAGTGTGTGGAAATGGATACAATTATAAAAAATTTTTATATCATTTGTTATGCATTGAAGTGAAATTGCAAAATTACAAATATATTTTATTTGGTCACAGGAACTCAATCTATTGTGGGAAGATATAGATGGTCTGTTTTATGCTGAAGAAAATGAAGTAGAAAAAATTGAACAAATTGTTGAAAAATTGAAAAATTCGGACAACATTTCAGAAATGAAACAAACTATCCAGGTAAATTAATGGTTTCTGTTTGATTATGATCTATCTTTTTTTTTTGAGAAATGATACCAGTTCATACAAGGTATAAATCTTAAGGTTTCGTAACGACACTGGTTCGGTGGCCCTGGTGCTTAGAAGGGTGAGCAGACATGCATGACTAAATAAATTATCTCCATATTTCAATAAAAATTCTTTCCTTGAATTAAAGTTCTATGAATGGAAATAAATGAGTGTTGAAAATAAAATGATGGGTGAAGCATTGGGTTCCACAGAAATTGGAAATTGATTGGGGCATTGTGGTAAAAAACGATATTTTTCAACAATAAACATAACAATAGCTCAACAGCAACCGATAGTTGATAATAATATTAATTGTAAATGTTCAATTTTGTATGGTAAACAGTTATACCTAAGTAAATGAAAGGAAAAAACAGGTTTTAAATATCATTACCGGTGATAAACCTTGTGTATTTTTTTTCGCTGAGTGCAGCCAAACAGATTTTTTTGTTTTTTTTTCTATTTAGGATTTTGAAAATCAAATGGAGGAATCGCAATTTGTACGATTGAAAGATCAAGTCGATCAAATGTCTCAAACTATGTTAGATGGTGATATTTTATGTGATGTTATACTAGGAAGATCAGAAGCCATTGAAACCAGATGGAATGAGGTAAAGTATGGCTAGAAGTTAATTAAATACCTGAATGTATTTCTAATAAAGCCAATAATACCAAGAAAATGGTAAATATAATATAGTGGTTTTCTTGATATTTGCCACTTTCGACGGAGGAAAGTTTTGCCTTCGACACCAGATTGAGGGAAAGTTATAGAGAGAAAATCTCATTTTGACCACAGAACCATTTTTTAATTATCTGCTGAGAAAGCTTAGTCGGCATTTTTAGTTTTCTACCCAAGATGCGACTCTGATTTTCACCACTATTAGTCTGAAGTTCTGACTACAAAGTTTTTAAAAATACAACCTCGGCAACGGCCCCAATACAGGGTTTTGTTCTGAGCAAACGGTGTCAAACCGTCATATTTTATATATAAGGAAATATGAGCCTAATTACTAATCTCATTTTTTCAGGCAACATCATCAGGATGGAAAGGAATTGAATCATTTGATGAAATGCAGCAACCATATGACTCTGCATCAGACGCAGTTGAAAACGCTAAAATTTTGTTAAATGACTTGCACTCTGTCACTAATTCATTTTATGAAAATTGGCATAACCTTCCAAGGTATGATAATAGGAATTTTTTGGTTTCGTAAATTCTTTCCAATGTTACTTCATTGCTTCGTAACTATTCCAATGCTATGGACATGTCTGATTTTCCTGAAAGTTATAGATTTTAAATGAATACCGAATATACAACATACTTTTTTTTTCTTTTATGTTCTGTATGCATATAATGCAAGAGTGAAGATAACTTGATTAAATGATTCAAGAGTCTTGCTGCACACAAACACAAGTATATTTCTAAAAAAGTTTCTTGTGACCAATGTCAAGACTTCCTTTTAATCTGAAATTTTTTTCATGTTTTGTGTCGAAAATTACCACTTAACTTGCTAAATATGAATTTGCAAAAAAACTTTCGAACTTTTGTTTGAACTCATCCTTTGGTTTAGACTTCCCCAATTTTGGCACTGTTTATCATTTTATAAAATCTTGTTCAGTAAAACGGAATTGGAAACAGCAAGAAGTAAGGTAGATTCTTCTGTCAATTTATTAAACAATTCTGCCAGTGGGTTGAAACGTCTCCTATTGTATTCACAACTTGAAGAAATCGAGAACTTATCTAAAGATTGTGGAGAAACTTCGGTTAGTATTTTTCAATATGTCTTTCCACTTATAACATGCCTCTTCATAAGCACTTACATATACCCAAACTGCTACTATTTATGAAAGGATTTGCAATCTTACCAGTGTGGTGGTGAGAATCCGAGATCTTTAATATCTAGGACTAGAACCTATAAATTTCCTGATTACACTAAGAAGGAAAAAAATTTATTTAACACTAAAACTTTTGTTTGTGTATGATTGTACCCAAAACTTCTTCAGTAATCTAGGATGCTTTGCTCGTAAGAGTTCTCTCTCCTCCAAATGACCTGGCTTCGTTTTTTTGGGTCAACTTGTACGTATAGTTCTTTACTTCATGAAGTCAATATTTAATTGAGAAAATGTGAAATTTGGCGAAAAATCACTATCGTTCTCTGAATCGTATTAAAAAAAACTCTCCATTTCATTTAAACTTAAATGTTCAGATAATTTCCTAGAAAGAAACAATGAACACCATGTCACTCTACTTTAACAATACTTTTTGTAACACCATACATACAATCACCGTTCCTGATTTTATTTTAGAAATCACTGGAATCTACGAAGAACGATTTCGAAAAATGTTCAACGTACGTTGATTTCAAAAACAATTTAGAAGAGGCATTTGAAAGTTTGGGACAATTGACCGGTCACATGCAAGATCTCGATGACCTGAAACCTTGCAAATTCTCACAGATGCAAGATAGACTACAAAAATATGTGGTGAGTAATAGTGTAAAAATATGTTAGTTGTAAGCGATTGACATTACATTATATACAGGGATACAATTTACATATTGATCCTGGGGGAGAGGAAAGCGATAAGATGGCCTAATCATTTTCATAATTGACTGAAAATACTCTTGCACAAGGATGAAAAATTGATTTTTATATTCCCACTATATTATTTTTGATTTTTATCAATTCTTCAATATGTATCCTATAATATTGTTTTTATTTTTGTTTTTTTTTATTACTATGTCTCACAACCTTTCTCCAAACAATCCCATGAATAAGCAAACGATGATATTTAGGGAGTTATGTTTTGGAAAGACCGTTTCCAGTTATGTTTTCAACGACTTACATTGTTTTCTAATTTTCAACAGCATCTCTACTCATCAGTCAGCGAGGTCAAAGGCCGTGTGGAATCTTTAATTAAACAAGGAAGAGAATTTACCCGAAATCTAGAACAGCAGGAAGATGCGCCGACTCGTGTTTTCAAAGAATACATGGATGAGGACATTACATTGCTTAAAGGGAGATTCAATTCTCTAGGTAGGTGGAGTTATATTTTTCAGAGAAATCGAAACGTAGATTCTCAATTTAGCTCCAAATTAACAATTTACGACCATCATAAATTTATCGTTTGAAGGGATTTTTCAGCTCCAGTTAAAAATTTTGATTGCTGACTCTGAAATTTCTTTCCATGCTAAGTTTGGGTGGTTGAGAAAAGGGAATTTCGTGAGTTTTTAATTTCGAATTATCTCCCAAGTCAAGTCTCTAAAGTAGTTATTTGAGTTTATTTCAATGAATCAAGTCAATTTGCAACTCTGAAAAAGTTTACTTGAGTGTGAGTAGCTAGAGTGTTTTGCAACTGACTGGCTATGATGAATTTAAAAATTTTACTTACAAACTCTAACTTTGCATGCCTAACTACTCACTCTCTACCTACTCAAGGTACTCTGAGATATCTGACTATGATGAATTTAAAAATTTTACTTACAAACTCTAACTTTGCATGCCTAACTACTCACTCTCTACCTACTCAAGGTACTCTGGGATATATTTATTACTCCAAAAATTGAGTTGATTGCTCAAATCTTTTGCAACATTGCCAACTATTGTGAATTTGAAAATATGCCTTAAACTCTAATTTCATACTCCATATATCTGATTACTCACTCACTCTCCACTCAAACTACTCACTCAACCTGTGATATATTTATTATCCCAAGAATTCTTTCATTCTTTATATTTATTTCTCACTTGTCTTCAGGAAAGAATGTTACACTTACAAAAAATTCATTGGAAAGCTCAATGAAGACAGTTGCAAAGTTTGAAGAAGAAATGGCGTCAATATCTGAATGGACTTGGAACATGAAAAATCAAGTTAAAAGTCGATCTATATTTAAGAATGGTGAATTGACTGACGAAGATATGAGAGAGCAAGAAATTTGGATTGGAGATGTTAAGGTATGTAATATTTTGAACTGTCAGAGTCAGATTTTTTATGTTTTTGGAGCGCTGGTTCTAACTATTGTAGGACTTTGGTATATCTTAGCTTTTATCGCCATCATTTCTTTCCTAGTGTAGTAAAACCTAATGTTATGGAATAAAATATGCCAAGTAGTGTTTTTCCCACATCCTAAATGTAAAATCTGACAGTCACTAATCTGAGTGACAAACGGTGATTAATGACCTTATAGTTTTGCCAATATGGCGAAACCAGAGGAACGATACCAGACGAGACAATGACAGCGTTTATTGGACCATGCATTCTCATCAATTTTAATTCACTGTTTTTCCACTGCTCGTGTTACTGAGTTGTTCAGTATGATTATTACCTTCGTTAACACTAAGTTTTTGTGGGATTTGATATGCTTCCACCGAAAAAAAAGCATGACTTTATCAGATTTTGCCAAATAAAATTGCCAAAATAACTAACATAAGTGAGAATTATTAGCCAGTTAAGAAACATGGTAAGACCTTTATACAATACAATCCATCTCAACCAGAATAAAAAAAAATTGGGATGATTCTGTCTAACTCAGTGGTTCCCAACCTTTTTCGACATCTACCTCCATTTTTTTTTTCATTCCATTGTTTGTTTCCCTCAAAGAATTTTAGCTGGTGATATACGTGGCACTCTGACTTCCACATACAGAGATTCAATAGTTTGTAATGTGTCTATGAATATGTAATACTATAACGCTAAATAATATTTGTGGAGCCACACCAAATGCAAAGTAATATTTTCTTATTTCCGCTCCAAGAACATTAAAACTCCTTCATGGGAAAACGCTGGACTCTAACTGAAACTGCTGAAGAAACTTTTTCACATACTATAGCACTGAGTAGATTCTCGAATAGTTTCGAAGAGGAATTAAATTATTTGATATTTCTAATTTAGGAGGATCTTGCGGACCAAGAAACTCTCCTGCAATCTGCTCAAGTACTCCTCGATTCACTAGAGAAAACGTTTGATGTGAGTGAGGGTGAAGAAATTTATAAACAACAAAGAAATCGTTGTGATAACTTTATCCAATGTCTTGAAGATTACGAATCCACGCTTAAGGTAAACTATTTTATGTGAAACTGTATGTGCATGTGTTTGTATGTTGCATGTAGGTTGATTGAGGTACAGCTGGTGGCCCGTTTTGCTAAGCTTCAGGAATATGCTCGCCATAGAACCTCTGATTACCTAGTGTGAGTTTGCCGGTTCGTATCCTATGCGGGATAATTATATGCAATAGGATTGCTGGACTCCTCACTGTCGTAGGGTGGTACTTGTAACCGCTAGTCTGTTACGCCCTTCTCCACCATCATGTCTATACATCTGAAAGAAATGACTGTCTAACTAATGCCATACCTAACTGCTAACCGGACAAGAGGCTGTGGTTCGCCATATGATAAAATCGCCTCATCGGCTTTCTTCTCACCTGGGATGGAAATGATCTTATCCTTTGGAGTTTGAGAATCCCTGGTTATGAGCCCAATTATGTTGGTATTGGCAGATTGAGGATCTGTGTTTCGAAATCAAGTTCACCACTTCCACAATGGTGTAATAAATCGGGTAGGCAATCTGGAACCAGAAAGATTTTGATCTTCCCCAAAATAGTTGCTTTGGTATTTTCTTGTACATAGACTTGTTTAGGTGGATTCGTCATTTTTCTTATTCAATTTAATTTTTTTTAGGAATGCAAAAATCATTACCCTGAGTATCGATCATCTATGCAGAGGGTTTTAATCTGGTTGAAAACCACAGATGAAACAATAAATACATTAAATCAACGGCCCAGTCATGAACAAGTACAAGTTCACAAGGTTTGTTTTTGTTGTTTGCTGTTAAACTTAATTAGGAAAATATTACTTTGTTGTTTGATCAGCCAAACCAGTCATGAGTGTGTTCTAAGGTGAGGTTTAATGTGTCGATTGTTTATGGTCGGAATGTGGAATATATCACACACACTGCGGAAATATGTATAGACCCATCATTGCATAAAGTTTGCCGACTACTGGCTTAGCAGAAGCTCCAAGAAAAATAGCCCTTTTTTAAATTCAATAATTCTTTAAAATAAATTATTTTTTCAGAGACTGATTGAAGAATGTGATGAAATGGCTTCAGTGGTTGAGAATATTCAAATTAAAACTAATATTATGTTGAAAGCTGGGGATGATGCCAGAATACCAGTAAGTTTAAACTTATTAAAAAATTCTGCCTAATGTTATATTAAAGTTTGTGCCTTGTCAATTCAATTTATCATATTGCTTGCAAGACACAATACAATGGATATTTCCCTGACTCAGGAAAAATTCTTCCTATACTTTACTAAAGCAAAATTTTTGGTACCTATTTTGGTTTTGAGAAATGTTGTCTATAAATTGCCATCACTTTGATTCGAAATATTCAACCATCTGCCATTTAAAAGTACGGGTAGGAAAGTTTAGCCTACTCTATCACAGCTATTTCTGAACTAATTTTTGATTACTGTAATTGAAAACAAAACTTTTAGGAAGACTGAATAATCATTGAGTTATTTGATTTATACGTAAATTTTTGAAACACAACCAAAAATCAACAAATAGCTTGCAAAATCACAAAAATGAGGTTATGTTTACAACCATGTCTGAAATTGGCCTGGGTGACAAAACGTCACTTTTTGCATTTTGCTGATTAGCCAATGTTATGGAAGTAAACGAGAAGAGCGATACTCGCGGAAACATCTATTGATTTCATATTATCAAGTTTTATTTTATTTCATTTAATCCCTTATTCCCTCATTTAATCCCTTATTTCGACTATTCATGTAATAAACGAAAATCTTATTTTCTCAGATCAAAGATGAATTTGTTAAGTTATTAGACGAATGGGATTCAGTGGAAAAAAAGATAAACAAATTCACAACTCAGATAAAACAATCAAATAGGTTCGTACCTGAAATATCATTTATTGTACTGAAAGACCCAAAATCTGCAAAAAATCTGCCTCATCAAGTTAACTTAGCTGTTGGTATGTCAGTGCAATAGAATTAGGACTCGGACGTTATATAAGCTCGAATTTTCTATCATAGTTTATTCGTAAATTTGGAGTTTGACTATTGAACTTTTGCAAACATTGGTATCATATGAGATTTTTTATTTACTCATTTGCTTTGGAAATTATTCTAAGGAAGATATCCACTCCGATTAATGTAGTTACCATAATTTTATGATACTGCAATCTTGTTACTATTCAGTATATCTCATTTTCAATTTGTCGTGAACTACAAGTCTTGCGTGGGATTTAGCATTTATGTGTGCTAACGCTCTACTATAAATCTATACAGTTTTAGTAGCTTTTGGCATTCTGGTGGCTGCCTATGAATTCCTTCACAGATGAGTCTCTTTTACTTCTGAATAAGTGTTGGGGAACTTGCTTGAGCACATTCTCTTAAAATAAAACTTTGCCTTATAAACAAAGAAGCGATGAAGTGAACGATAAAAACAGTATAAAATTTTTTTTTTGAGTGTACCTATTTATTGCTGGTCTGTGCTCTTATTAACTTTCTATATTACTCCTAAAATTTACTTTTCAGAAATACTTTTGTCCACGAAACGACTGGTAATTCACACATATTCATTCAGTTTTTGTTGATTTCACCCATTTCGTTTTATTTTGTCTCTGTTTTGGGTTGAAAAACTTTATTTTGCCAGCAATTATATTATGTTGTATTTTTATAGATTGCTATATCTGGATACCTACATACTGTTACGATTTTTGGTAATATGTGATAAACAAGCAATGCAAACAGCACTCAAGTATATGCATTCTTAGGTTGTGGCATTTCATCTTGTGTATTCTATGTCCGCTAAACTTCAACTCACCAAAATAGATGGTGAAAATCTTCAAACTACTTTTTTGATCAACAAAATTTTGCAGTATAGCAAACTAGCATTTTTTTGCAGTTTTCAAGACAAAATGATTGCCATGTCTTGGTTCAAATTTCTGTTTGAGGCTAGTGGAGTGTTTTTATTTAGGTGACTTGAGTGTTTGAGTAGGTGACTCGAGTTGAGTCAGTCACTTGAGTGTCCTCAAAACAGGCATGGATAAGTTATATGATTGATTGGATTTCGTTTAATGTATGAAATTTATGTTCATTTGTCTCATCACCCTCTGTTTGATGTTTTGTCTGTCTGTGGGTTGTTTGTTGGTTATTGGAATCATTTGGTATTTGTTTTGTAAATATCTTTTCGTTTGTCTTAAATTCATTTCAAATATCAGCTATTTGTTATTTTATAGTAATACTGTTTATAGTAATTATATTCCAACCGCTTCTTTTCAGGAGATTTTCAGAATAAAGTTTTGAACGTCCCATGTGAAAATGTACAAATTACAAATAAAATTACAAAAATGGTGTGCAACCTTTATAAAAATACAAGCAGAGTCTATATTTTGACAGGATTGACTTGACATTTCAATTTATATTATTATATTGCTTACAAATTCTAGGTCGAGATCTTCTTCTAGTGAAAGTTCGTCAACTTCGTCATCAGATTCGTCCTCTTCAAATTCATCGTTATCGTCAGATGAAAATGATAATGACAATATAGATCAAAATACTTTAATTCTTACTAACCCTGTGCTAAATGTAAGTTTATTTTAATTTTGATTCATGTTTCAAGCACACGGCATTAATCTACAATTGCATTTACTAAAACAAAATTTTTGAATATTAAGCAAGGTTGTCCGAAGCGAATATTCAATTGTGTAAATGGCTAAATGCGGAAAAGCTTAATTATGGCGCAGAATTTTTGCAGTAAATGACAGCACCGGATATACCATAGTCCAGGGATGGCGAACCACTGACCCACCACGTTTTATTCGTGACCCGCCAAGGCACGAATAAAATACAATGCTAATATAACAGTGATAAAAATTGATCAAACCGGCCTTAAATTAATTTAACAATAACTGAACTATTATAATGTACCGTCAGTTTGGTAGCCATGGCTGCGATCGCTCATACTCAAATTGGTAATTTTCGGGTCGGTATGGTAATTTTCAAAACTCCTAATCTGGATGCCGTGTATGCACTCTGCATCACTGTTTAACGTTATTCAGCTATTGGCTCTGAGATCGTTTATGACATAACAATGCACTTGATCTGTCTATTTCTCGCAACATCTCGTCTCTTTCGGAGGTTCATTTGCAGACTGTTTTACGGGTTATACGAGAACCAGATGCCACTTTGCAGTTTATTAGTTTCTCGCCTACAATGCGGTTGAGAAAACAAAATCTTACAGACTTGAAATAAAAACCTAGAAATCTGAAATAACACAAAATGCCCTAATGTGGTTGAAAGCTGATCGAAAAATATAACACTATCAGAATGGAATTTCCTCCAAACCCTTGCAACCGTAAAATAATTTGCCGCATCATCCTAAACGTTTTCGTTAACTCATATGCGTGTTTTCGTACTCTAATTTCATAAAATCGAGAGCCATAAAAAGTCCCTGATAAAAGTGCTGCATAAATAAAGCCCAAAACTACACCAAGAGAAGATAAGATTTGTTTCGGAAGTTTCCTATAGATATAAACATTGATTATATATCTGTGACCCACTCCATTCTGTTCCGCTATAAAAATATATTTTTTGACCCATTTATTGAAAAAGGTTCGCCATCCCTGCCATAGTCCATCGAAAGTTGAGATTGTTTATGTATCCAGTTCAGCATGCACATGTGATGGCAGTTGGCTAGCAGCTCACATACTATTCTTTGCTTTCTTGATATATTTTACCTGTGATGTGAAAAATTTTGGTTTGCATACTCAAATACCATCAATGTCTTGGTCATGGCTTTCAGACGAAAAAATCTGCCAAATCAATTTAAATTTATACCTTGTCTTCAGGATAAATCTCTTGATAAAGACTTGCAACCTGATAGTTTTTTAATGACGTCGGGAACAAGATTGCGATCAATTCAAAGCAGCAAATCTTCATCTTCAAGTGATGAAGAAAGTATAACAATTAAGGTACTGAATAACTTACATCTGAATTATTCAAATTGTATCTTATGGCAAAGTACAGTGGGCATATTTAGAGTATAGCTTAGATGGTATTTCCTGAAAATGGTATAAATCTCCCAGTAAAAGGAGACTAATGGCCCATTTGACGTTTTTGCGAGTGCTACAGTTGATGTTTTTATGATATCAGTATGGTATTTGTCATGAGAATTCCCCAGTTTTTATTTAAGGACAATATTCTACAATAATCTATTAGTAATCTTTCTTAATATCAGGTTCTCATGGAATAGCAGTTTTCTAATAATAAAACTGTTCCTGAAATTTTCCTGTAGAATTTGACAAAAGTAGTAATGAGCATTGATAATTTGGCTGAATTCCTCATCCAAAAAATCACCCAGAATATTCTTCTCTGAGTGAGACCCATGGAATATTCCACCCAGACAAAATTCAACTCAAACTCAACTAAGAGACTTTTCGAGTGCATTTTTTACGGAGGGAATTCCTATTACTATTATTGCACTTGGACATGCTCAGGTCATCGACTCGACTTGAGTTTGACTCGAGTGACTATTTAACAAAGACTTGAAGTAGGTAATCTAGATGGAATAACTCGAACTTGCCATCAAATATTAATCAGTGGGACGCTGTGATTGGCATGACCTGGACTCTCAGATGACCTATTACTCGAGTTGACGCATGATTCGGGGTTCAGAGACTTTTACCCAATGGTTATTTATAATATGATTACTATTTGTTTTTAACAACATCACCGTTACCATTAGCAACCCGAAATAAAAGTTGTCGAAGTTGTTGTCGACGAAGAAGATCGCAAAACAGATGAAGAGAGAACTGCTTTTACTGATCCACCATTTTATATTGAGTCTTTGAACAAGCTTCTCCATAAATTAGCGGATATTGAATTGATGCTCGCACATCCTGATCTCAATTCAACTTTATCTGATAAATTGGAATCTCAAATGACATTGCTTCAGGTATTGAGAATATTTTTGTAATATTTATCTGTTCAGAGTTAGTGATGGTGAAGTATTTGACTACTGGGACGTTTACAATGTTGAGGTCATTATCGTAAATTTTAATGCATATAGATGTCTTTTTAGCAAGGCTTATTATCAAAGTGGTTTGATGCCGACTGGCATGCTCTAATGACTGAAAATCTCAAATGACATTGCTTCAGGTATTGAGAATATTTTCGTAATATTTATCTGTTCAGAGTTAGAGATGGTAAAGTATTTAACTACTGGGACCTTTACAATGTTGACGTCATTATCGAAAACTTTGGGTTTGAATCCTATGCTAATCACAATACCAGTCTACAATAAGTTGGATAGGCAATGTCAAGCAATTTTTCTTGTAATTCTAAGCTCCTCAAAATTATTTAAAACAATAATTAAAGCCGATTTGACATATAGAGTCGTAAGTTAGTCTCATTTTACTGGACTAACCAAGACTTGAACTGAAGATCTCTAGCTTGGTTCATGTTTTTTATCATGATGACTTAACTTCAAAAATTAAACTCACAATTTTTTTTTGTTAAATTTTCAGAAAATTAAACAATCTCTTGATGATGAGACGAGTACGGTTGCCAAAACACTGGAAGCGCAGAAAGAATGTAGCGAACTGGCGAGTAACGATGAAAATATTGTCATTGGAAAACTAATAATGACGTTAAAATATGAATGGGAAAAAATTAAAAAGGATTTCTCTGAAAAGCAGAGGTAAAAATTAATACAATTTTGTTGAATTAATCATTCACCTTTTTGCAAAAACAAGCTTTTCAATAGACTCATCATAATGTGTCAGCAACGCATTTGGCATTGCATTGATATACCTTCCGAACGGTTCACTTCGTCATAAGCCGTCTTATCATCGACTTGCTTTTATTTGTAAAGAATATGAAAATCGTGTACTGATCGTATTTATGAATGTTGAAAAAACATTATTTCAAATTTTAAGAGCCCACGCAGATAAAGAAAAACTTTGGACTGAATTTTTGAACGATACTAATGACGTACAACAATGTATTTCTCATTTAAACGCATCTTTGTCGAGCATCAATGACACAACAAGCACTGATGATCAGCAAGAGGCTGTTACAGTAAGAAACTTTTTTTCTTGAATATTTGTTCTCAAGATGTTAAATATTGTCCAGTTTGCCTTCTTTTCAGTATAATATTAGTAATTTGATTTATGTGTCTTAAGTATTTGAGCTAGGGTTTCCGTAACTCTGCTCTCAACCCACTTGAGGACTCCGAACAGTTGACTGGGCACTGTGTGCAAACGCATTCCCCATGTACCATACCATTCACGATAAAAAACAGTAATTTAAAGTGAATTGAATGTGATAACATAATACTGATGGCACTGATAATAATTGATGGAAACGCACTATTTTTTTTAAATTTTGTAAACATCTATAATATTATATATTTCAGCAAATAAAAGAAGACATGAATCGATATCGCCCGAGTGTAAAACGATTAACAAAAAATCACATGTATCTTATCGATATGTCTATGTTATTACCTGATAGTTCAGCAGCATCTAAAGCCACCAAACTTGAAAATGATTGGGAAAGGATTGTCAAGGAAACGAAGGATATTGAGAAAAGGTGGGGATATTGGTGTTAGGGATTGAGCTTGTGGAGCCAGAGTTTTGTATGAATTTATTCATATTGAATTCGGAGCTGAAATCATATTTTTAAACTTCTGGGGAGTCGGAAGTTCAAGTCTGAGTCCGAATTACATACTCCTATTTTGGGTCATAATTGAAGTCGAAGTCCGATGGAAACTAAAAAAAGCAGCGGACAATTGAAGAAGGCTTGTTTTTTAAAGTCCGGAGCTGGATCTGGTAAAAAAAAATTTTTTAAACCAGAAGGAGCCTTTAAAACAATATAGCATTATGGTGTTGCATTACGCATTGGTAAATAGCAATTGGTATGAGGCTTAAAACATTTTGATAAATAAACGAATATTATAATCACGTAAAAATCCAAAAATTTTCATTTTTTAATTCAACGGAATATCTACTTCAGGCACGAAGAAATGAAGAAATTAATGATGGATGCAATGCAAGTAACAACATGGATCGCGAACAAAGAAGAACGAGTTAAAGATGAAAATAACATGCCAGATATGGAAGGAATTGTAGTACGATATTACACACTTTTCTTCCATTTTTATGGTTTCTATTTTTGCTTTGAAAAAAGCTTTGGAAAGGGCATTTATTGGGTTGTGATCTTATTTGTGCATTGTGTTACAGCTCTACATCTTTAAAATATATAGTTTATTTTCAATTTTCGCGTGTCATTATCTTTTGAATATTCTTCTTTCAAGGTCCGAATCGATGGCTTCCTCAGTGAAAACAAACGTATATCACGCGAAGAACAATTTGCTTTAGAAGAATTGAGAGATACAATTTATGCCACCAAAACAGCTATATCAGAGGTAAATAATTTCGATATATTTTAAAAGTAACAATATAGGTTCATTGTAGGTCTATCATGCCTGTCTCCCTTTAGTTTGATCGTCCCGTTTTTTTTTTTCATTATTCAATAAAGGCAAATATATAACTTTCGTAAATTTGTATGAATTATGTCAATTTTAGTGAGGCTTTATCAAACCGTTTTGGCAAAATTGGCATCCTCAAATGTCTGAAATAATACAGTGTATTAACATTTTTTTCTTACAAATATGTGTCGAAATTCAAAAGTGGCTTAGGTCTTCGAAACAGTTATTTTGCGTCTAAGGTGGTGGCTGCTAATTTTCTTTTTACCACTCCTTTAAATGGTGGTTAGACCATATTAATTTTCAAACTATTTTTATTGTCACAGAAAACAACTGAAAAAGAAGAAAGTGAAGTTATCAAAGAAACGAAAATAGTTACTGAAGAAAATCAAACTTCTGCAGCCACAGAAGAGAAAGCTCCATCAGGTTTAATTTTTTGCAATATTACAATCATAAACAAGAAAATGGAGTTCTAGGATTTAGCTCAAAAATTGTGTCAGCAGCCGTACTTTGTGGAATAAACATAGAATGAGGGTTAGGATTCCAGCAAAATTTTAACAAAAAGTTTAGGGGATTGACCAAAATCTGTTCCATTATTATCTTTTTTTTTAATTGAATTTGTGATATATGACTTTGATACAGTAAGAACAGTTAGACTCTGACACCTCATCCCTGTCATATACATCAAATCAACAATTTGCAGTTCTCACATTTTTCTTTTTTTCAGAAACGGAAGAAGCACAAGACTCTTCTGATGTAAAAGGTGTTAGATACAGAGCACATGCGTTGAGAAAAAGTCTCAAATCTTTATCAGAGAAACTTGATTCTATCGTAAGTTTTTCAACGTCATTTCCTAATTCAACTCATTAAATATACATCGACTTGTTGAACATTACTCGTTTTAAATTTTATAGCCAGTTACAGATAATAGACACTGGGCCAGAGCTCAAAACTCAATATGGAAAATTGTGAATAAAAAACTGCCTATTTATATGAGAAACGTTATTTTCATTGATATTTTCGACGAAAATTATTATCTATGGGCCGGATGAAACACTTTGGTGGGCCGGATCTGGGCCGCAGGCTGTGTATTCATAATAGTGGATTATTTGGTTCCAATTTCCAATATATTCGATATTCGATTCATTTTTGACATTTCTTGTTTTATGATTTTAGTAACAGTATTTATTATTCACAGATTGTACTTGTCGGTGATACAGAAGATATGTCGAAATCAGAAATTCAGATTCGTAATTTAATGCATTCTGTTATTGAACGTGAACCAAAGTTAACGCAACTTCAAGACGAATATGAGGAGGAAGATAACGAAGACAAAAAATCTAAAGAATTATTTGATGGTACGTACCTTCACAACTATTGCTACACAATTTTGCTTGTGTGAACATCAATAGGGCTTTTTCGACATAGGAGACTAACTTCATATACTTATGCGAGTGGTGGTGGAACCCTATTTGTATAATGTTAGGATGTTGTACCAAGTATAAAGAAGATTCTTCAATGTGAGTTTTCATGTTTGGCATTTTTGCGACTTTACTTTGAACAAGGCCAAGAATTCAATATTACGACTCCCGAATACAGGGATTTAAAAAGTTGTCCCTGTCTCCAACTCCAACACCATTGAAAACTTTCAAATCTCCAACCCTAGCTTTGATCTATTCTTTAAAATAAAACTAATTTTTATGGTAGAATGCAAGACTACATTCACAAAATTAGCAACAGAAACGGAAAGTCGACTTGCAGTTTTGTCATCAATGCAAAAAGACTTGAAACAATGGCAAGACGTTTATGATGAAACAAAGGCAATGTTAACTGGTATTCAAGAAAATATGGAAGATAATTCTGAGACAAATCAAACTATTGATTCATTGGAAGCACAGAAGACACTTTATAATGTGAGTTGACATGCTTGAGTGATTTTTTTGATCATGCAGAATTTTTTTTTGAGATCGAGTTTTTGATATATTGGGATTTTTTTGTTTATTTTATTTTTTTTGAACTAGAGTAAAAGCTAGAGCAGAAATAAAATTTTAATAACTTGAGATCTCTCAGATAATCACTTCCTTCCTGGGTTCATAACCTCTAATTTTGAAACCAATTAGATCCAACCTTCAAAATTACTAGCTTCTTACCTACCAGTAGGTGCATACAAAGAGCGTTTTTGGAGTAAGAGTATGAAATCACGCTAAAAGTACATAAAATTTTTTTTAACTGAATCTTATACAATATCAGTTACTAATTTCAGGTTTGGAAGTTCCATGCATATTAGTAAATACTTGTAAAGAGCTTTGTTTGGAGGCATGAAAGCACTTTAAAATGCTTCTCAACTCCAATTATTTATTTCGCATTTTAGACACATTTATCATCGCTTCATGCTGTTGAGTTGGCCGTCGAGACAACTTGTAATTTATCATCAAATATTGTTGAAAAGTATACAAACGATAACTGTAACAGCGTTAATTTCTATACAACGGATTTAAAGAACTTGTATCAACAATTACAGAACGAGTAAGTACTAATCTTTACTATATTATTCTGTCAAAATGTCACCTGTTATTGGAAAAACAGAGTGACCAAAATCAGAAAATTCACCATACTTTTACATGATGAAATTTTTTTTTTTATCTTGGGGGGGTATCTTAAAAATGTTATGTCCAACTTGTCTCGCTTATTGTATGAATTTCACTTCATATGCTTACTTTTATCTTCTGACCTGAGTATCATATCCACCCTAACACACAAAATAGGATGACCCACTTCATATGCTTACTTAACCATTTGCCCCAAAATTTATTTCTACCTCATTCAGAACAGAAGAAGAAAGGGTAAAAGTCTGGGGAATGCAACCTTTAAAACAGGAAGGCTAGATACAAATAACTGGGTGAAACTGCGGGCCGCACCTTTGTTTAATGTAGGCTTTCTAATAGTTGCAACAAAAATTTGGGTTATTGATCCTATGACATGCACAAGCTCAGGTATAGGCCTATGCAAAGGAATTGGTATTATTCACATGTACATATCTCACATCATTCAAAATAGGCACTTCTTCACAGGCCGCACAATTTTCCCTCTGGGTCTACAGAGCTGTGTGTCATTGTAACACTAATATTTTTATGTACAAAACTAAAATAAAAGGTTATTTTCTTTTATAATTGTCATTTTTTACTATTTCAGTGCAAAAACAAAAATGGAAAACATCGATGAAACTTTGACGAATTTACGACAACTATCTATCGATGTTGAAACGTTCGTTACATGGGAAAGCGATATTTCAGATAATTTAACAAATTTACAAGAAAATTGCAAAGATCCCGCATTAGTCGATGATGAAGTTTACAAATCATCTTTGGAAGAAAAATTGAAGGTGATAAATTTAGAAATTCTTGCAAAATATTTGGGGATGACCAAAACCAAATAATCTACTTTTTCGAGTACATTCTACGGCAGTGGTTCTCAAAAGGTGGGATGTGTTCCACAAGGAGGCTGTAGACAATTTTTTGAGGGGACGTGATGCTAATTAATAATGAAAATATTTGTTAGATTTGATCTTGCCCGCCTTATTTGTTCCTCAAACTTTTCATTTATTTCATTATTTACGTTTCATCCACATATTTTCAATGTGTTTTTAAACTAAGCATACTTTCACCTTACTATCTGTTATTTGCAGCTTATTGTTAGCTAGTTATTTTTGAGGGGGAACGCGAAACTTGTCTCATTCTAAAAAGGAGGCGCGGCTTAAAAAGTTTGAGAAGTGCAGTTCTAGAATAATAACATTTTGGATTTGGAATATCAGATGTATTTTGAAATAGATCATGTTCAATAAAAGATACGTAGCTTTCAATGTTTATTTATTAGTTTGCATTCAAAAATAGGCAGAAATGTTACTATATACAATATATTGGTTCTCCATCATTACAGTTTTCAAAATTAAATCATTCGTGCATTATTTCAATTGCTTAAAATGATGCTTTTTAAAAAAAAATTTTAAAATCAACAATTTAAAGTATTGAATAAAGTTTATTTTCAATTGATTCCAATGTTCCATTCATTTTTTCGACATCCGCGTCAATTATAAACAGTGCTTGGTTCGAAGGTAGATTGAATTTTGGTCCATCCCAAATTTATACTTTTGGGGAGTTTCATAATGTTTTTCACTTGGCTAAACATGAATCGTTATTGGAATATAGAATTGAAGCTTGACCATCTCTAATCATTTCTTGGGCAACAGACGAATGATATCAGATAATTTTATGCTTGTTTAACAACGCAGTGTATAATGAGGCAGACCATGAGCCCAAAATATAGTTTCAGACTCGAGACAACAGATACATTCTTGCTAAACTTTAGCTCGTCCAAATATGATCGACCATACCATAATGGCATTGATCATCTTTTACATTCTTGCTATGTTGTAGCTTGGCCAAATGTGATTGACCATGCCATAAAGGCATTGTTCATCTTTGATTTATACTTGGCAATCAAAACAATTGAGTCAGTTAAACCTTCACCCTCAATGCTGAAAATCAATCAAAACAAACCTCCCAGTAACCTTTTCGGCTGTCTCTCTCATCGACTATAATTTGTTACCAAACAAGACCCCACTTTGATTGTTTTTCTGTTTCAATTTCGGGGTCCAACGATTTACTATAGGAAACGGATGTACCGGAAACCCATACCTGTAATCCTATCACCCAGTGTTTTCACCCTTTTCTCCTAAATCAAACGAGAGACAATTGACACCTTTATTTGTGTGAATCACTTTGCCAAATGTAATTAACAGAATTAGTAGCTTTGACCACTTAGCAATCAGTGCATTATCTAATTGACTTTAATAGCGTAAGGTGGTTAGTAGCTTATGTGCATTGAAGATTCAGTGTTGTATAGTGGTTAGACTTGAAGAATTGACTTGATGTTTGTAACAATCTATCTGGAAAAGTAAGGTATTCTAGATTTTTCTATTGCATTTAATTTTTTTTAACATTCTAACAAGTTGATGAATGTGTTTGTTGTGAAATCATGCATATTTTGAATTTTAAGACTTAAATTGTGACTTTACTGCAAAATAGGGGGAGTTTACTGAACTCGCTTCATTTTCATTTTGACTACCATAAAGGTGACTTTTTCAAAGCATATTATATTTTGATTTGTCTTAAATTAAATAGTTTCAGTCAGTCCTTGCTAATAGTTGAACTTGTGGACAAATATTTTTTGATGTTTTTTTTCCTGCTCTTTTAGTAATTAAAAAGTCATCGAGGAGAAAGATTTCAAATTTCAAATGGTAAAAGTCATAGAATTGTATTAATGGTGTCAAATTTCAATGAGTTAAATCACGAAGTAAACAATTTGATTTTTTCTATGAGATCAGAATCTCCACAAAAAATAATAAATTTGGTTATTGAATCTTTTCAAAATCACCATTCTGGATCGTTGTAAATTTTTCTTTTATATATTTTTTATGTTGTTGATTTAAATTGAGTTTTTAATTCCGCGAAGTTCAGAAATTTCATTGTCTTCAATTTTCTATTCCAACTCAATCTGAATTTTTTTATATGACCAACGATTTTCAAATCTATTATGCCTTGATTGGACGATTTGAGCTACATTCAACAACAATAATTTGTTATAATACTTACCAGGTTTTGCAATTTTTCTCATATACTACTCAATCAATAACCATATTCAAAAATATTTTAGAATATCTTTGGATGAAGATACTTTGGTTTTGGCCACGATTTGAGCTACATTCAACAACAATAATTTGTTATAATACTTACCAGGTTTTGCAATTTTTCTCATATACTACTCAATCAATAACCATATTCAAAAATATTTTAGAATATCTTTGGATGAAGATACTTTGGTTTTGGCCATCCCTGGTTTCAAAGTGGTTTTACGACTTAAATTACACTGCAAACATTTGTCCATCTTATTTGTAAGAGGTCACTTTACTATGGTCAATCCTCATTAATCTTCCGTCTTGTTTACTTGCTCTCTTTGCCAATGAGTTTAGAGAAGTAAAAGACCTTACAGAAGTCTTAGTGGTAGGCTGTGAATAGGTTAACTTTAGTTTTTGGTCAGATGTTGGGATAACTCTGTATTTTTTCATTTTGAAATATTGGGCGAGGGTGAGAGAAGACCAGAGTGAAATACGCTATTTTGATTAAATTCTGAAATTTTCCAAGCTAGTTATTTAAGAGCGAGACATGTTTAATTCAGAAATTGTTTTATTTGGTGAATGTACAATGTAGTTGAATTTGATAATGTAGCAAAATAAAAACCTCAAACTTTTATTGGTTTGCTATTTTGTATTGTATTCCGAGTGAAAGAAAATGTGTTTTTCTGACTGCCACATAGTTGATGAAAAATTCCAGTTAGTTAAAAGCAGTTACATTGTGTTTCAATTTTTGTTATTTAAGATTGTTTTAATTTTTTATGACTTTGGAATTGAATACTAATAAGTTAAGTTACATTCTATGTATTGATATTTACCGCTGGTTGAGTATTACTAGTTACTACCAAAGATGAGTTTTGAAAATAATTTTTTTGAATATACTGGAATAGATGATTCGACATTGAGTTTTGTATCATAATTATACAAATAGTTATATTTTCATACAGTCTAATTTTGAAGGTGTACAATTGTCAAAGTATCATTGTGTTGGCTGTGTTATTAAAAACAATTCGTTAATTAAAGTAACACATCTAAATTCATTTTTATAGAAATCTCTTACTTAATATTTACTTTCTATATTTCTTATTCTAGTCTTACCAAGAAGATTTTGATTCACACGAAACCATGTTTCATCGGTTAGCCGACACTGGTGCTCAGAAAATGTATAGTGAGGACACAGTTATGTCTGACAGATTGAAAGATATGGCTGTAAAATGGAAACATATCACCTGGCAACTAGCACAAATACAGTAAGTGTATCTTGATTTTTTTTACTTTCATTTTCAAATACATGCAGACGAAGTAAAAAAGTGAAATGTGATGTCGTAATAAAAATTTGCTGTAAATGTTACTGAAATATGACATCATAATACCATTTTTTGAACCATTCACATACTTCAACTCCGTTCAAGGCTATGTCTGAGTACTGATACACATTGAATTACTATTTTGGAAAGACCCAAATCTCTACAGTTTATCATGGGCTATCCAAACTATCATCATCCTTGGGGTTAAATGATGGGGTTTCAATGGGAATATTTACGTGTGACGCCAGCATGGATCCAGTGCCCCACTTGGCTAAAAATGACGAGGCTAAAATTGGAAAAAATGATGGGACTGTGGACTAATTAATTTATTGTAACCGTATTCTAATTATGGTGGAGGTGTCAGAAATAGACTGAATCAGGGGTGTGCACTGTGCAACTTATTTTGTCGGTTGGCCTTAAAACTTCTGACATCGAGCTTGTCTGCCCAAGTTTTTGTATATACAAACAAATATACCAAACTTTGGAATTCACGACCATTTTGGACCTGAACGGAATATTATACTGGAATAATATTTTAATGATACTTCACCATACTGAAAATTTTACTTCCATCGCTCTGTAAAACTTTGTAATTACTTGCAATTTCATTAGTATATTTCCCAATCTTGCCAACCCTAACTCAGAGTGTTATATTGATCTTTATTTACATGTGAATTACAGTTCATTTCACTTTTTATTTGATAAAGAATCCTGTGAAGTCAGGAAAGAGAAATTCACAGTTTGGTATTAAGTGCTAATTGCATTCCAGGGTCAACCTCCACGCTTCAGTGCTTGATTAGTTCAGTTAAACACAGTGAAATTAGTTGAATGACAATATCTAAGTTAGTTAGATTGAAGAGAGCTTAATAGGTGATAAATCAGGACCTTATGGATTAAAGGAGGCACTTTATAAAGTTATAGATAGTTTAGAATTTTATTTTCTGTTGCTATAATTGGCCATATTATTTTTGCAAAATTCAATTGTGCCTCATGTGTGGTAAAGCTATTTTTTAATTTCAGAATTGCATCAAATATTTATAGGATATGGAGTTTACTCATCAATATTTTTGCCTGATAATGGTTGTTTCGTTAGGGTTGTTGTTGTTGTTGTCATGAAAACGCATTTTCCACTTGTGTAATGGAACAATTATTTCAAATTTCCAGTACTCAAAAATGGAAGTCGTTAGAAGGCCATTACCTTTTTTGTGTGGGCCCCAGTATTTCACCCTTAATTTTATTGTTTTTTACGTTCATAGGACAACTTAGGTAACATTTGGCGGGATTTTAGCTGACATTGAGATAGTCGTTTGACTTTCGTGTACATATGTTCGAGCATTTCTCTCTTGTTCCAAATTGAATTATTTGAAACAATATTTGTAACTGAGGCAGAGCGATAATAACAAGAGGCATTAAGTATATATATCTTTTTGTGGGTCTGCCAATTTTAAATGAGGTTTTCCCAAATGTATATTACTTTAAATGCCATACATCCCATAATAGTTCCTACTATAGGTCATACTGTATTGAATACCACAGTGATGAAAGCTATTCTCTGGGGAGAGCATGCAGTGTATCATAGTTATGTCGGAGTTTAATTGGAACTGTAAAAAGTATTGTTGTTTAGCGGAAGGATCAGGTCAAAAGTGAGATAGTTGGATGTAAGAGTGAGTGAATGGTTAGATTTAGATAGTTGTTTGTAGTTTATGGCTCAACATAGCAGTTGTACCAGCTTAGGGTTCAGGTTGTGCGCCATCTTGGTGCACATACTTCGGGAGCGGCGTTTTTTTTTTTGTTCTGAATTGTCTGACCAATTTATTATTTACTTTATTTACTATTTTAATTTATTTATTTTTTCTCATAAAAATTAGACAAAGACTAGAAATGAATGTTGAAAAATGGAGAAGTTTGATTTCCGTTATGCAAGGATTATTCGATTGGTTGAAAGTAAAAGAAGAAGAATTAGTTGGATATTTTCTTCAACTTTCTGGAGATCTTCAACAATTACAGCAACAACAGTCAGACCAAACGGTAATATTGCTAATTTTCCTAGAAATTCTGAAATTTTTTGACTGCCTGGACTGGCGGGCCAAGTAAGTTTGGCGGAAAAATTACATTTTATGAACAATATTTACAGTGTCACAAAAGCAAAAGCTAAAACATCAAGATTTGGTTCAAGTTTGGTTGTGCAAGCATCACGCGAGCCAGATTGAATTACCCAACGGGCCGGATTTGGCCCATGTCAGATTTATAATATGAATTATGTTTATTTTTATTTTTTTTAGTTGTTTGCGATGGAAATCAAAGCTAAAGAACTTCTGATCAAAACGACATTGCTGACTTCTTCGGATATTTTAACGAAACACAACAAAGCAAAACCTCCGAAAATTAATGGGCATAGTAAAATGGTTAATGGGTGGGTGCAATTTTTTCGATTGTTGTATAAACTGAATATTTATAATATTTTTTTTAGATATTATACATCATTACATATACGATAATAAAACATCTTTCAAAATCTTGGATATAAATCTGACCTTTTCTACTTGATTTAATACAACCAAATACTCTCTACAGCACTCAGCAGTATCAACTTGATGAAGAGGCAAGTAAAGTATTGGAAAATCTTCAACAATTACACAACGAATTAGAAGAAAAGTGGACAAAAGTTAATTCTAATTTGGAAGAATGGAAAACTAAGATTGAGACTCTCCTACCGGTATGTCCTATTAATTATAGAGATTGGTTAATGGTTTTGTATCTCTGCCATGATACATATTATGACATCACACAGAAGACAGAATTTCAGCAAAGTGTCAACTTAATTTTTGTTTTTGAAAAATTATTCTGTCTCGCTGAAAATTTTTATATCGCCATGCCAACAAAAAAGTTATTCGATAAAATGTTACTCAGTATATTTTGCCATTTTTTTCCAAATTTTTCTGAAGTCTAAAATGTTAATTTATAGCACTTTACAAATCGCTAGATATCAGTGGTTGCTTGGACAGAGCTTTGTTCGGAGCAATTGGCTTGCATAAAAAAAAAATTATTCATCGCTATAGATTTTTACCTGCATAATGATGTCTTTTTATCAATTTAATATACTAAAAAATATCAGTATATATAATAGCTTTCTAAAACTTTTTTTTCATGTTTTTTTAAATTTAGAAATTGCAATTAATATCTAAACAATTGGAAAAATGTGGAATAGTATTACAAAATGCGGAAGCTCAATACGAAAATTTCTCACTAGTTAGCGACCTTCCGAGTGAAGCCTTACAGGATCAGATAACGGAACTGAAACGATTTCAGACTGTTTCTATTCAAGATATCAGCGGGAAGGTATTATTTATCAATGCTGTCTTCCAATGAATTTGAGTTTATACATTTCAAATAGTATTTTAAAATTCAGAAATTCTATCATAAATTATCTATACATGACTTTCCTTCAAATTTTCCTGAGATATATATTTGTGATATCCTCAATTACTGTTGGAAAACTCTTTCTTCGACCAACCTATTTATTTTTGACAATAATGTATCTCATAGTAGGACTGATTCGTGTGACTGATGGCAATTTAATGTAATAATTCAATTTTGCCGATTGCATTTTTCCTTGGATATTAATGCTAACTTTTTATCAAGCTTCATAAAAGGACTTAGAATGTTAAAAAAACTACCTTGGTAACCATTGAAAATATAAAATAATAACTTTTTCTGTGTCTGTCGTCTGTCTTGTGTCCATTGGCATTGATAGCCTAAAAATAGTATGTAGGATTGGTTTGTTTTTGTGGTTGTCCATCGTTGTCATGTCTTTTTTGTGTCCGAGAAATAATATTCGGTTTCCAACTCTTTCTTTAACAATTTTTTAAGATGAATGAAATTGAAGAACACTTGAAATTTATTGATGAACAAAAAATTGAACTTTCGTCAGATGTTTTGAATCGTGCCGATGATGTAAGTGTTATATATTACAAAAAAAAGTTTTGTTTCTTTAAACTTTGTGATCGACAGTATGGATCTACCAAACTCTTATTTAGAAAACAGTTAGTTCGAGTTTGCGAAAGAGGCTATTCATGTTGAAAACTATTATCAAATAAGCAAGCTGTATTCATCCTAAGGTACAATCTGTTGGTCTTTCTCAAAACGATTTCATTCTGTCGAATTAATTACAATTATTACTTATATTTATTCATTATAAAAATGCAAATCACTATTTCTGTTAGTGATTCTACTAACAGCGAAATATAAACAATACTATTAGCACACTCTAAAATCCTAAAATTTTAACTAAAAATGTGAACAATAACTAACTAGGTTTATGCCACCTAATTTGACATCACAGGTTTGAGATTCTGTATTCAAACCTCATACATACTATTAAGAATCATTTATCATATGTGGCTGCATGTCTGAAGCCTTATTCAGAGAGAAGTTATTATAAAATTTTGATTGTTCGAATTTACAGTTGAGAATGAGGTGGAAGTTACTTCAGGTATCGACAGAAGAAAGAATGAAACAATTAGTGGAAGCTATGAGAGATTTCGGTCCAAATTCACAACTTTTCTTATCAAGTAAGAAATTTTTCGTGATAAATTTTGTTTGTTTCTAAATTTATTTAATCCGATTCAAATGACACTTTGTATGTAACATTTAGGGCTTTTATGTTAGCGACTTTCAACAAACATTAATGGAATATTGCCATCTGCTCAAACTCACTCATCCACTCCATACACCAGAGTGAAATTGAGTTTCACTCTCTCACCCATTCAAAAACTTCTTACGCAGTCATGCACTGAACAGCGACTTATATCACATTTTTGGTAATTTTCAGAGTGTAATAGTTTACTCAGGCCGTGTCTTTATATGCAGACGTTTTACACAAAACATGTCTGCATTCAAATAAAATTACTTTGTTTTTATCTTTCTAGATTCCGTTGATGATCCGTGGGAAAGAGCTGTGGCCAGTAATAATATACCATACTATATAAAGTGAGTATATAAATGGTTATCGTACACAATTTTTCCCATTCGATTATGTCTGTGTGATTGGAACACATATTTAATGTAATTACTTTAAAAGGACCATAAAATTAACATTTTTTATTTATATGTAATATCTCCCAATTTTGAGCTGAAAAATGTGTTCAACTTATTTTCTATTATTGAAAGTTTGCTTACCCAAAAGTCTGCTGTTCTATTTATTAATTTATGGGGAAACACTTTTCTTATGATATATGAAAACAATTCATCATTTTACACTTGTACGCAACTTTTTTAAGCGAACTCTGTGCTTAACTCTCAAGTCATACTGGTACCTTCATTGTCCATTACTCGTATTTTTAAATGCGATAACTAACAAAGATTTTTTTTTTTTTCAAGTCACAACAAGCAAAATACAGGTTGGGATCATCCGAAAATGATCGAGTTAATGCAATCTATGTTAGATTTAAATGATGTCAGATTTTCAGCTTATAGGACGGCAATGAAATTACGAAGATTGCAGAAAGGTCTTTGCTGTAAGTAAAAAAAAATGTTTTCTATGATTTCAAACGGATTTCTCTACTTTTTTCATTCCACTTGAACATAGCAAAAATTCAAATATCAAGTATGGCATAGCATACAGTACACAATTTAGATGGTTGACTAGATGTGTGTACGATGGCCTATTTCTACACGTTCTGTGCCTTATTATGAGCTATGTTTGATTATCCTAACTCTTCGATTTTTAGTGGATCTCCTCAAACTCCAGACGATAATCGAAGCTTTTGAGCAACACAATCTTAACGATGAAAATATCGGAATTCTACCTCTCATTGGATGTCTCACAACTGTATATAATATTCTTGAAAAACAATTTTGTACTCTCGTAAATGTACCATTATGCGTCGATATGTGCCTGAATTGGCTTTTAAATGTCTATGACACGTAAGATTTTTGATTACTGTATATTTTCATTGTATTTATTACCTGTGTTTACATGGTCATATGGTAATATATTAGGGATGGTAAAATGATCTCTTGAAAAATCAATTGGAAAAATAGTGCTGTAACGAGATCATGAGACCTCACTTGGAAGTGAAGGAGACTCATCATTAAGCTAAGTTATAAGAAACCACTGTAAAGCCACTGAAACTATAAAATGGTTGTGAATTTCATAAACAACAGCAATTTCTCATCCTAATCTTTTACTGTTATTTATTGAATAGTAAAATTCTGTGATTTCCATGAAGAGTTCACAGAAATTTCTATGATGAAATAAATCAAATTAATGGCAAAATGTTCTAGCTAATTTTTTGCACCGTCATTATTTATTGAAATACAATTTGAAATTACAATTTATTTTCAGTGGTCGAGGTGGTTTCATTCCAACCCTTTCATTCAAAGTTGGATTGGTTTGTTTATGCAAAGCACCATTGGAAGATAAACACAGATGTGAGTTTATTTATTTTTATTTTTGCTTGATCATTTTTAATGATAATAAATTAATAATCATTTCCAAAACATACTTGGAATGAACTGATCTGGTTTCTAGCTTTTATTCTATTACCTGGACAACTGAACATTTTTTATATTATTGTGTTGACTGCAATTTACTGATGCCTTGTTTGTTAGGACATATACACACACTCAATTTCAAGTTGATCCTCATGTTAAGATGTGTTAGCTTGTAAGCAGAAGATCAGACTAATAAACTCCTCAACAACTTCTAAAGTCAATTTAACATCTATTTCAGTTAATATTACAAATATTTTGACTCTATCAACACTGTATTTCAGTTACAAATCATTATGATAATTTTGACCCTTGTAATATCAAAAATGATACATAATTTTTATCGTTAATTAAATATTTTTATTTGTATATTTGGTAATAAAAGCAATCAACATCAATCTTCATTATAATTTTTTTAACAGATATATTCCGACAAATCTCAGCACACACAGGATTCAGTGATCATTTGCAACTTGGTAAACTCTTACACACATGTATGCAGATTCCATTCCAACTTGGTGAAGCATCAGCATTTGGTGGAAGCCAGGTTGAACCAAGTGTTAAAAGCTGTTTCAAACTGGTTAGTATGATTAATTTTTAAGTTAACAAAAGATGAGTAGTAGTATGCCAGGGCACTGTGCATTCTGTGATCTTTTAAATCCTACTTCCGAATTTAATCCCTCGGCTCGGGTTTCTCGACTCCTCGCCACTGCAGGGTGGTTCACGTAACCGCAGGCCGGTTTAGGCTTCCTCCACCATCAAGTCCATGCATCTGTAAAACAAATAACTAATCCCATAACCAACACGGACTGGTAACCGGACGAGCGGCTGTGGTTCGCCATTTGATTAAGCTGTTTAATCGGCTTTCCTCTCTCCTGGGATGAATATGTAAATCCTATCTTTCTTAAAATTGCATCTACCCAAACTCTCAAATCTGAGTTTCGCAAAAATTAACTTTACTCTAGTTGCCCATTCCAGGATCTCTCCGGCTTGGACTTCTACACTAGTGATAGAACCTTGGAATGCCAGACTTAGCCCTACAGTCTCGGCAATATAATCTTGGGGGCCAGGCAAATGATAAAATAGAACATTACCTGGCCATTTTATTCATTGTATTTGAAGCCAATAAAATAAGAAATATTCCTAAGTCACTTTTAATGAATGCTACAATTGATTATCGTACTCATTTTGTTTGTCACCGTGATTGTCATAAAAAATTATTTTCAATTACATTATTAAATTTTTTTATTTTCTCGATGTTAAACAGGCTGGAGACAGACCAGAAATTGACGCAGCACAATTTTTAGATTGGATGAAGTTAGAACCACAATCCTTAGTATGGCTTCCTGTACTTCATCGATTAGTTGCTGCAGAAACAGTCACACATCCTGCGAGATGTTCTATTTGCAGAGAATATCCAATTGTTGGATTTAGGTAAGTCTTTGTTGAAAGTAGAATAGCTGTTTTACTTATTTTGCTCCAAACAAAGCTTTGGACAAGAAGTCATTGATTCATAGGCAGATACTGTGGTTTTTCGGATAAACGAAACTGCGTTTAAGTTTTTTACTTACTACTAAAATTGGCACTTTATCGCGGGCCGAATGTGTCACGCGGGCCGCAGGCTGCAAACCCCTGGTGTAAATAATACCTATTTGTTATTCTTTTTCAGGTATCGTAGCCTTCGTCATTTCAGTTACGATATTTGTCAAAGTTGTTTTTTCTCTGGCCGAGTTGCAAGAGGATATAAGTTTTATTATCCGATGGTTGAATATTGCACACCAGTAAGTGTGGAATTGTTTATTTTATACCCTCTCTCAGTACATAGCTCTGGGCAAGTAAATAGAGTATACTAGGATTCATATTTCCTTTTTATTTCATATAATCGTGATTGATTGATTTGGGAATTTATTTTTTAGCAAAATTATGATATTTGTGCCAAATTTTGCAAAAATAATATTTTTACAAATGTTACAAAAAACTTTACTTTTTGCTATTTAAATCCTTGAATTATTTTAAAATTGCCACATTTTATCCAAACTAATTTCTTTTTCAACTTTTCCTCTCTACAGACGACTTCAAGTGAGAAACTGAGGGATTTCACAAAAGTTTTAAAAAACAAACTCCGACGGAAAAGGTTGCTGAAAAAATATCAAAAAATTGGGTAAATAAATTTGTTTGAAACTTTCGAACTTACTTACAAATTTACTCTTTTTCGTTAATTAAATAAATTTCTCATTAGATATCTTCCGGTACAATCAAGAGAAGACGGAGACACTCAACAATGGATGTCATCACCCGATAGTACTTTAAATAAATCAGGAGATATAAATACTTCACTTATATTATCGGCTTCGCAAGCTCACAGTGTTTTTACAGAGGATTCTCACACCAAGTTAGATAAATATGCAGAAAGGTAAAATGACGATGTGACAACTTAATTTGAAAAATGTACTACTGTTTGATTATGGCTGTTTTTTGTTATGTTTGAAAACTAGCATGCAGTAGTAGGGTATCTTTTATATTGGAATATTTTGCAATTCTAGATTTTTGTGCAACAAATAATGTCAATATCACCTCAAAATTAGAAATATATTGAGTTTTGACTTTAACCTGACTTTGGTATACATATCAGAATTATTTCAATTAGTAATTTTTTCTGATTCAATTTTTGTTGATAAAATCAAAATTTTATTCAACTCCCTAATTCTTCTATTTCCTAATATACACCATTCATATTATTTTTGTTCTTTTGCAGTCATTTGTTTAACAAAGATTTGGGAGAATCATTGAGAGGAACAAAGTGAGTTTTCAATGATTTATGATAAATATTCAATAACATGTCAGGCTTAAATGGGTTTGTGTATGTGACGTGTCTGCTGATGCAATTATAATAATAGAATGGTAAACATTGACCAAAATATAATGAACTTTGTTTCATTATCGTGTACTTCTATACATATATAGTGAGTTAAGTATTATACCACAGGTGGGCAAAATCGTAATCATTTGTTTTATTTTCAGTGATGAAGAACATAATTTGATATTGCAATACTGCCAAACAATGGGAGAAGTTACATCTTTAAGCACTCAAGGAGTAAGTTTTATTTTTCTAAAATGTAGTGAAAAAGGGAAGAGGGAGAAGTTAACCAAAAAAAAAATATTATACTAGATAGCGATCAGAGACCGCTGACTTATTGATCTGCAGTTTCGATTCCTTCCTTTGACTCAATAGTGACACCGCGTGTCCCGTTACTAATTAATTAATAACTCGCTAAATTTAGGCTTCTGGTCCGAGATATGCACATGCAAAATTTGGAGCAGATTTCTCGCTTTCGTAAGACATTGCATCACATACGAAAGTGAAACAAACAGACAAATACCTTTCCACATACTCACCGATCGATAAGTAATAATAAAAACATTCTTCGTAGTTTTATACACATGTGATCTTGAAAACAATGCTACCTACTTACAGTGGTTTTATTTTTATAATCATTTGACGAGATAGTGAGGTTACCAAGACAACCTGGTCAGTTCACCATTCCTTTTGGATATGGGAATAGTCAGATACTCATTCCATGTGTATTGATTTAGATAGCTTAAGAAATAATAACCAACCTAAGGGGTCATGAACCATCATGTGATGTTGAAAAATTTAACAGTCCTCTCGCACATAGTCGTACTTGAATAAATTTGAACCTGTTGTATGCTCCTCAATAGTAAAATGTGTTAAAACTACAACTTGTGTACTTCAGAGTCATCATGCCGATAATCCTGACTACCAAGGTCTGAATGGAGATGGTCTTGATCTTGATGCCGTCATTCAAGAATTTGAAGATGACCATTATCACCATAACCAATCACGTTTAATGTAAGATTCAATTAATCTCTATTTGTTTTATTATATGATATTGGCGGGGTTATGAAGTTCTCTGTGTTAAAGGAAAGGTTGCATGCACTCAGTGGCTTATCTCCAAGTGTAATGCCACTGGAATGGCAAGATCTTATGAAGCTAATAAAATTGTGATTGTGCATTATTATCTCAAATATCTGAAGTTTCTGGGTAAAACTTTGAAATTTAGTGGGTGAGTGTCTGACAGTATGAGTTTGACGGAGTATGACAGCTGAAAGCTTTTTTGGAGGATGAAGGACGGGGTTTTGGTTGAGTTCCATTACTTCGTAGTATTATATCCAACCAAGTCATGCATTGACGAGACATGTTTTATCAACGTCCCACATTTGGTGTATCCTTTCATGTATAATTCAATCAACAAATTTACTCGTTCAGTATGTTTGTAGAACATTCAAATTTTCTGGTTTGTGACATATATCTTACACCTGTGAGGCTCGGAAGAGGCAAAATTCCGCCATGATCGTACGTGAAACAGTGCTATCACCAGTAAATTTAAGAGTTGCTTATCCCAGTGAACCAAACTATTATCATAATTTCAATATCTAAATTCTTTTAACCAGGTCTCCACATAACACTGAATACATTGCAAAAGTCCAAATTACTCACGAAAATCAGGAATTGATTGAAGAGGCACAAAAACTTAATGAACACAAGGTTGGAAATTTTATTTTAATTCAAAATAAGCAAAATTGACAAAAATAAATATTAATTTGAATTCTTGAATACTAAACCTAACTCACACACACCTCTGGTTACTTAAGTTCCCAGCGAAGAAACAATCTAAGCATTTTTCAATGATATTATTTTTTGATTTTAGAATCGATTGGAAGGCAGAATGCAGATGTTAGTGGAACACAATCAACAGATTCAACAACAGTTAGGTCATATCAAATCAATAATTGTAAGTAAACAGTAATATTTTTATTTTGTCTTTTTTACTTTGGTGAGGTCGATGGGACCATCAACCTAATCTATTTCAGACTGATATCAGAGATAAATTCCAGATTAATTATATTCAAAATTTTTAAGTTTTTGATTTGAAATGTTGTCACTTTGCGTAACTGGAGTTTAAAAATTTTGGTTATTCCTGATATCATATGCGAAACATAGTAAATTGTTTATCATCTTATTTCTATTTTACAGGGCGAATCGAATTCAAATGATGGAGGTTCTCTCAGTCAGTCTTCTGTTGGTATGTGGTTGTATTTTTTTTATGATTCGGAGGCAAAATTTAGTTACCCTTGCTTAACTTTATTGTCTGAATCAAGAGACTTCAATTACTTTTCGTACAGAGACCCATTGATTTCAAAGACCAAGCTTTGCTGAATAGAGCACTCGAAAGTTGGTCTCGCTGTTCATCACATTTCTTATCATGCTGTTAAACAGTTGTAATATATACTTACCTGCCTTCAACTTATAATGGCTATTACATAGTCACACTTCCGTCTTATTAATGATCAAACTTTTCTCGTGTTACGAAAATCAAATGTCATTTCACTTTTGTTTATCTTTACAGAATGATTCTAGAAGCGACAGATCCATTTGAATTAGTGGTCAATAATCGATTACCTGCATTGAAGACCGCTTCATCAATACAATATAAACCTGCCAAACATCCACCGAATTGCCTTTTGTTACAGTTTTGCAAGAAATGAATATGCACATTACAACGATCAGTTTTAACTTAACTCAACAAGTTAAGTTTTAAAAAATAAACATTAAAAAAAAAAAATTTCGTACTATGACTAGTTTTTCTTTTATCGACTTCTCATAGTAATAAGTGTTCCAGTGTTTGATACAAATGTTTTATAGAAGTACAAAATTAGATGTAGATAATATAAAGCCGGGGTCCTCAACCTGTGGGGTTTCAAATTCTCTACAATGTGATTATTAATGTCAAGGTCCACCTCAAGGGTCGGTACTATACCCTGTGTTGTTTTGTGATTTGGGTAGATAGTCTGATGTTATTTTTGCTCTTAGTAAAACTAATAAGCTATTTTCGGGGTTGCAGTTGGAAAATTTGTTTTAAATTTCCAAGGTGAATTTATAAGCATAAAGTTTGGGAACCCTCGGTATAACGTAATCCTTTTCCAAATTTTTCTTTTCTGATTTTGACTATCAATGAACTTTATTGCATCAATACATTGTCCCTCATGGTTAGCGCATCCATTATATTAACAGATTTTTTCAGTCTCATTGTTAAAAATTTAATATTTACGAATATAATAACACATGATTTGACGTTGTTTTGGGTACCATGTCTTCAGTATAATTGTTTTGCCTGGTTTTGGGACCATATTTAAGCCATAATTGGCTTTTGAATTTACTATTTGTATTTATTGATGTTTTGTTTATAGTTGGAAAATCGTATATATACATCCAAGCATGGCAATTATTGGGTGATGCTTTCAAGGCACAATTTATGTATTGCCCATGCTCAAAAAGGATAATTCCTGCCTGGCTTCTAGCTTTATTTCAGATATTCAGGGATGAATTTGTGATCAAATTTGAATTTTTTTTTATACTTTTTTGGTGTTTTTTTATTCTAAAATAGTTTCTTTGATTGTAGTATATAAAAACCAAGCATGTTTCATGATAACTGATCATGCCTGGACAATCTTTAGTCATTGGCCATGCATGTTTGAGCGTATTCTAATACTCACTCCCTTGGCTATGTTGTATATATTGATAGTGATTTAGTTTTATTTCATTGTTATTAAAATATTAATCGCCCACAAAGTTTTATCTTCTACCTATGATTATTATTTGAAATTTACATAGTGTTAAAAACGGCCTTTTTAATATAATAAGATTTTATATAAGAGACAGATTTTCGCGTATTGCGATATAACTTTTGTATTTCGGAAAATGGTGTAATAAAATTATTCGTAAATAATATTTGATCTAAATTATTCGCAAGCGATGTTATAACACTTAACGACTGACTTTTGGTTTACATGCCTCCTTTTTTGGGAAAACTCGCAAGTCGCGAGATATCATTTAATGTAAAATGAAGCAAGGCACGTCTGTAAACAATTAAAGCTTGTTGCAATTAGATTATCGGAATATTGCTAGTAAGTCGGCACATATATTTATTAATATTATACGTTAGCTATTAGCAAATCAGTAAAACGCAAAAATGGTGCAATAACGAGTCTTCGCCGTGAGGTGTACTTCGCCGACTTCTTGTCCTGAACATGCCGATTGAGATAACAGTGCTTTGATGTTTACCGATTTTACGAGCAGACGCAAGTTATATTAAACGAGAGAGATTTCCACGCGAGAAAAAACGCTCGTCTTTAATTGATAAATTAGAAACCCGAAATACAAAAATTGGCGCTGGAGGGGCGGTAACCGAATCCCGTTTGATTCGAATACTTTGAGATTCAGATCCTCCGGATTCGGTATTCTATATTGCCCATCCCTACGGCCTCAATGGAATCAAAATACGAAAAAAATTGCCCTCAATTAAATAAAAAATTCAACAACACATTTCCCCACATTCAAATGGTTTAATTCCAGTATGGTGGGTGAAAACATACATTTACCATTGAGCTTTAAAAATGCATAGAAATGATAATAACCTGGCAAGAGACATAATCAATCATTCAACATTTATCCCTTCTTTTTATGTTTGTTGAGTAAGCTTTATAAATTTCAAGTATAATACAGGTCTCCTCTTCACCCTTTCCAACTTTTGGTCAAGAAAAACTTTAAACTGTGGCTCTCCATGGAACCGTTGTCAAACTGCCATATGTGTAAAAATAATGTGCCTTTTTTGATCAAAGCACCTTCAAATTGACTGCATTTGTAGGGACTTCACTTGTACTTTTTCAAAGGATTAATCTGTTGGTCTGTGGCCACTATCAAGTGTTTTGAGTTTATTTTGTACGGAGTTTTCAGGTAGGTGGTTGATACCCAGTTCAATTTGAATCAAATCCTGCTCTTCCGGTCTGTTTGCTTGTCTGAAACAATTTGCCATTTTTTGCCATTTTTCTTGGCTTCCTCTTATATATTTTGCTATTAACTTGGCATGTTCGTGGTTGTGACAAGCTTAGGTTCTTTCAAACCTTGAGCTGTGTTGGCACCTCGAACTGAACATCTCCATGTCACATTAAACTGATTGGAGCCTTTAAAAGTGTAGGAATAACCTCGGCTGTCGCACAACTTATCTTTTTCTTCTTTAGACCTGCAGTTGTGTATATTATATGTTGTTTCCTCCGCGGAGGAAGGTGATCTCGCTGAGACTGTGATACTCAAGCTTGCCATTAATTCTTCTGGCAAAGGTATCGATCGGCGAACATGTTGAAAGCAAACCAACATTATCTTGTGTTGTTGGTACGTATCCCAGACTTATGTTTGACTGGAATGGGAGTAAAGTTGGTTTAAACTTGCGCAGGGTGTATATTATGCAGAATTGTATATTATGCAGAATATCCAAAGCAAACTTAGATGCTTACCGGTCCGGATGGTACATCAGAAATGGAAGCTACTTATATTGGGGCGTCCAAATTAGGCTATATCTAATCGGCGAAATACCTTCCATTAAAAAATAGGAACAACAGAGAATCTTAGACAAAATGATCCAGGCTCCTGGGACGAAAAACTGGTTAAACTGTCCTCGAAATGGAACACTAATAGGAGTGTCCACTCGATTTGGGAATATTAACAACATCTTACCAGTAGTTATTGTATTCGAAGTTTCAAAACCTGTCTTAAAGATGGTTTTCATTTACGCCATTAAGTATTTCCACTATAAATGATGAAGAAATCGGAGGCAGAGACGAGTTGTTAGTGTCACACTCAGAAAAATCTTCTGGATCAAGAAACGCGGGCTCACCAATGTAAATAACAGGACAAACCAAGTTTTTAGGAGTCATATGTCGCACTGGTTTGATTCTATAATTCAAATTCGACACTTTATATAATCTTAAAACTTTGCTGATATTTCGCACTATAAATTTTTCCGTTTGTTTATCTGAAATTTTACTTTTGTCATTAGCAGCTTTACTTTCGGATTTTGCGGACGAAGATTTGTTTTTGAACTTTGCAGCACTTTTATATGGTTCAGCACAGGTTTTGAAATATTTAGGTTCAACACGGTCATTAGCCGTGTTCGATATCGGTTTTGGTATTACTTGAGCGGAACCAACACATGTGTATTTGGTCGTCAATTGCTTTAATACTGTGTCTTCATTGGATTTTCCTACTTTGTCGTTAGAATGTGTTGCGCCTGGAAAATGAAAATTTCAAAATCAACACATGAAAAAGGGAATCGTTTTAAATCGTTACTGCAACCCATAGTTTCATCTGTCAATTACAAAAACAAAATATACTAATTCTGAATCAAAACTGAAATAATCATTACACAGACTAGGTACAAGAACCCATACACAAGGGCAAATGTTGAATTTCATCAATTTTTTTGAAAAGTGCATTAAAGTAATTGTTTCGTATTTATATGTATCAAAGGACACTTTAATTTTATTGGACTGCATTCATTGCATGGAAAAAGTCAAAATTTCACCCAGGTTTTTGATGGTTTACTCTTAATGGCCTGAAATATTGATATAATTGACATTTTTTGTGAGAACTCGTAACAAAAAGTGTTTGATTGTTTGGTACAGTTATTTATTCCATTTCAAAAAGCACTGGACCTAAGTAATAGAAGATTAAGTATTTGCAATGCAACACGTCGATCGCGATTGCCACGTCCAGAGTGGACGATCCCATCTGATGTTGAGTGAGTTTAATAACATACATCAAAAAATTGCCTTGAATCAGCTTTATGATGAGGATGAGAGGGGGGGGGGGTATGAAAAATATATCCTGATATATATGATGGCTGACGTAAAACAGACATATTGAATTAATAAGTGTGTCTGACATTATGCCCCTCCCTTATGTTTAGCTCTGCGAGTACACATAAAAAATCATTATTACCTCCATTTCCATGTATATCCAAAGAAGACTTCGTAGCACCAGACTTGTTAGGTAATGTTTTCTTGAGTTCTTCACAAGCTGTTGGAAAACTATTTGAATTCACGCTAGGTTCTTTTAAAGCATGTTTCAATGCTTCGAGTTTCTCTGTAAAGCAAATTTTAGCATAAGCATGTAAAAAAAATAAATGACCTTAACCCAGAGGTCATGGAGCATAATGCAGCAGCATTGTATTGCTGCGTAGGATTAAAATATCCCGACTAGTTTTGCTTCATTGAATATTGGCACATATAAAAAATTGATGACACAATGTCCTAAAAATTTGAAACTTCTAGTAAGATTGTCCCTTTCTCATTATCACTTCAAAATTTATGTAATATTTCACAAATCAGCATTAAGTTGCTATTTCCTAAACAAAGCAATATAAAAAAGGGATCATAAATAAAAGTTCTCAAAAAAATTTTGGGCATAGCCGCATATAGGATAGAACAGTAGTTTCCAACCATTTTTCAAGCATTCCTGAATTTCTTAAAAATTAAATTTTGTGAAATCTTGTGATCCGAATATATTTTTAAATTCATGGCAAAGCTTCAGTTACACATAGCATGATGGATCATGACAAGTTTTGATGTTTCATATTAAAAACCACGCGACCCATTTTGGGTCATTCTCACACCTTGGAAAACACAGGAACATATGGCAGTGGCAGCACGGGGCTTTTAACATTCAAAAATAATTATATAAATATTAAACAGGATGAAATAAATGTGTAAGAATTTTTTAACTAGTTCAAACGCAATGAATGAGATGGTTCATTTAAACGTGGACGAGTAACTCAGGTATAATCAAATACCTTATCACAGTGAAAAATTTAACCAATCAAATAACAGTAGAAATTAGAATATTGCACGACTGAATATAAATTATATACACGTAATAGAGAAGTCACTCATTACGAATCAAAAAAGACTGACAAAAGATATCTGCTTTTACAATTTCAATTTGACATAGGAAAACTATAAATAGATACTTAATGACCGGTACCGGTATTGTTTCTATTGAAGAAAAAGTTAATATATATCCAAATGAAATTAGTTTGACATAAGTCAGTACGTAATTTTTCACGGAAGATATTTTTAAAATGAAAAACTAATAAGACAGGTTATAAGGATATACCTAACTAGATAGCGATGGGAGACCGCTTGCTTATCGATCTTCCGCATGTCTTTCTAAGTTTGTTCGGCCTTACTTTTTGCCTTTCTCGCCCTCTTTTTAACCTCTAAACTTTTTTTCTTCATCTTTGGCATAGTGTTAGGCTATATCAAAATATGTAGGAAACAGTAGCCAACTCCCCACGTCGTCGTCGAAATGCTTCTCGAGGAAATACTTTCGTGAAGAATTCTGCAGATCCGAACTGGATTGTTTCGATTTGTTTTCAGCCAATGGACCCCGACCTTTGACCTCCGAAAAATTCTTCCTACATTTTACGTCTCACCAATGACATTGGTCTCACGGTCTATAGAAAGTTAGTGCAGAAATAGCTGTGATAGACTAGGCTAAAATTCTTTACCGGTACTTTTAAAAAACAGATTGGTGTATGCGATGAATCATAATGAAGGTTTGAAACAAATACCCCATTTAACAGGCGCCAACTCGCGAAACCATTCTTAAAATTAGCCCCGAAAATTTTATAATGGTAAAGTATAGGAAGAATTTTTCGGGAGTCAAAGGTCGGGGAAAGGTCCATTTACCAATATACATAAACGCTCCACATCGCAGACAGGGCATTGAATCGTTATTCGTTAGCAGCAACGAAAGTTATGGAATCCCCCAAAACAGAAAAGTGCGGTTTCGCTTCCTTCGCTTTGACTCCATAGCGACACCGCGTGTCCCATCACACTAAATAATTAATAACTCTATAATTATTAGGGCTGGGCATTTCGAATCGAATATTCGAATCGAAGCGAATAGTAAATTATTCGAATCGGTTCAAAGCGAAATTTCGAATCGCCGCCATCTTGTTTTTTTTCCTTTTCGCCAATTGTCGAGGTAAATTTCTAATTTTTTTTTTATAGAAGTCATATTTTTCAACGCAATTCTGACATATGACTCATTTCTGTAGTGAGTTATTGATGAAAACGTATTTTTTACAGTGTGTGAACGCTCAGCAATCTGTCTGAGTGATATATTTTACGTTTCTAGTAATTTAGGTGTCTGGAGGACCAAATACAAGAAGACAGTTACATACAATTATATATCTCCCAAGTATTCGAGATTCGATTCGATTCGATAAAAATATTCGATTCGATTCTGAAATCATCAGGTATTCGAAAATGCCCAGCCCTACATATAAGTACGATATTCAAACTTTGCGCAAATAAATAATATTTGATCTGAATTTATCGCGAATAATCTTATAAAATTTAGGCCGCGAAATGATATAATGTAAAATGAAGCATGGTAATCGGAATATCGTCAATAAGTCGGCATCAATATTTATTATAAAATTCTAACTAAGTAGTAAAGTCGGATATTGTAAAAAAACGGTGAAATAACTAGTCTGATTATTAAATTATAAATCTGGAATTTTTATTTAATACGAAAGTCGTATTAATACGTTAATACGATTTTAAAAAGTCAACTATCGTTTCATAAATATCCGTATACTAGTGTTGGTAATGATAAAATTGATCGCGTGAAATTAGATGATAAAGGAAAATCAAAGCTAACACAAAAGATAAAAATCAGAATAAAATTAATTTGAATTCACTCCTTGATATTTGTCTTAAACATCTGTCGCCGGCGTGTAGTACTACTGCCGGGAATATGAAAACCAAACTTCGATGTCCCATTCGGAATAGAAGTGGATTCAATTGGTTGTTATGATAGGTTTAAATGTGTGAAAAAAATATCGCAATTACGGGGTCATTACGTAATCGATTTGGCCGTAATTACGGAATTGATTTTTGTCAATTACGTGCAAGCCTACTCATGCATGTCACAATACCATTTCTTTGGTGTTGGACTAGGTCTGGCCAAGTCATGACAAGATATAACAATATTATTATAGCTGTTCAACATTTTCATTAAAACAATAATGTGCAAGTGTGGAGTGTCCCAAGTTTTTGTCATCGAATACCACCAGTAGTAATTTTTAATATTTGGAGACTAAATGAGACTTGACTTGTTAAGGGAAGAGAATTCCAAAGTTTGGGTCCAGTAAATGACAAGGAATGCTGACTCACAGATTCACTCATGAAAGGTACGAATAAATCAGAACTACTTCTTCGGTTGGAGGTATTTTTGACAAGTATATCGTTAAAGCAATTGGGCAGCGCATTATTATGGAAGTCGTAAGCTAGGGATAATATTTCAAACTTCATCATATCTTCAACCTTAAGTATATTTAGTGATTTGAAGTAAGGGTCTACACTTTCACGTTTTCTTTTACCAAAAACTATTCTTAAAAAATTATTACAAATACTCTGCAGTTTTGAGACAAGTGTTCCATTACCATGAAGCCAGACTGAACAACAATATCGAATATGGCTAAGTAGTAATGATTGAAACATTGCTAGTAGAGCTGATTGATCAACACACTGGGATACTTTGGCAGAAACTGCTAGGTTTCTTTTTGTTTTACCAATAACATGCATTATTTGTGATTTTCATGACAGATTTTCATCAAAGATAACTCCTAAAATTTTTATTTCTTTCACTCTTTCAATTTCATTGCCATTGAGAAGTAGTTTTTTTGAACAACTCGCACTTTTTGCTTGCTTGGATGGAATAATACAAATTTAGTTTTGTTAGCATTAAGAGATAATTTATTAACCAACATCCAGCTATGAATGTTGGTTAGTTCTTGGTTTGCAACTGTAAATAGATCTTCAAGGTTTTTCCCATGAAGAATCAAGTCAGTGTCATCAGCAAACATGATCGACTCAGAGGATTTCGGACACCTGGACATGTCATTAATGTAAGCTAGAAAAAATAATGGGCCAAGTAAAGATCCTTTTGGAACTCCGTGCTTCATGACACAAATATTTGTAGAGAATGAGTTGTCATATTGCACAATTTGCTTCCTGTCTTGAAGGTAGCTCCTGATCCAACTGAATGGGACGCATCTAATTCCATAGTGATAGAACTTACTTAGGAAGGATGGAATGGTCAATAGTGTCAAAAGCTTTTGAGATATCAAGAAATATTCCAATTGCATGTTGTTTGCATTCAAACGCCTTGGTCAGTTTGTGTACCAAAACATTAGCAGCCATAGCAGTGGAGTGACATTGTTAGTTTCAAAGTAGTTTGACATTCTACTATACACCATATTCTTCGTTGATCTTCTGACGAATTTGATGATGATGGGGTTCTTCGGATATCTTGATTTTAATTTGTGAGTAATATCAATGTCAGTGTTCACAATAGGATGGTTGGGCTTAAGGCTGTCGTTGAGAGTTTTCACTACGAAGTCTCCGAACTTATGGTATTCAGTTTCTGGCACAGAACTACAGCCATGGAGAATCACACAGTTTCTTCGGCTGTATTGTTCCAAATCGTCCTGCTGCTTTTCACAAGTCTTCAGCCTGCTAATAATCTCCTGGATCTTGGAGGAGATTTGAGCCACGTCATTCTGGAACTTAATGATATCCTGGGACTGGTTGCATGGTCTTTAGAGGCAGACAATAGAGTTGCATGCGACAATAGCTCTTCTTGCTTGGCTTGGAGAGATGAGATAGCTGCCAGAATCTGGGTTTTGACTTCCTTGTTCATCTTGAAGTAACGTTAGTGCAGTAGTGTGATTGATTGCAAGGTGAAATTAGGTAGGTATGCAGATAGTATATCCAGTAAGATCCACGTACAAAAATAGTACAGAAGGTAGTAGGCTATCGTACTTTCAGTCTAACCAAAGATTACAATAACATCTGCAAACTTAATAACAGCAATAATCTGAAAACATGTGGGTGAAAACATATATTTAATACAGTATATGCATATATTCACCGAGCGCATCCCTCATGTCACAGTAAACTGATTGGACGACTTAAAAGTGCAAGACTCCCCTGGCTGTCGTACAAATTATCTATTCCCTTTTTTGGACGTGCCTTGGGGTATATTATACGTTGTTTCCTCCTTGGATTTCGTCGTGACCACGATACTCAAGCTCGATTCCACGAAGTTGAGATCGAACCAACATTATCTTGTATTGTTGGTGCGTTTCCCGGACTAAGAGTACAAGCCATTAAAAACGTGCAGGATGTATATTATGCAAAATATAAGTAGGTATCCAATGTAAACATAGAACCGGTCCCGTTGAAACATAAGAAATGGAAGCTACCGTACTTGTATTGAGGCGTCCAAATCCTGTCTGACAAATATGAACAGCAATTAAGTGAATCTTAGACAAAATAGTCCATGCTGCTGGGACAAAAAAACTGTCCGCAACATGGAACACTAAACGAAGAGGCCACCGTCCGCCGTATGATTAAGCCATTCCTGAATCCTAATTCAGGACATGATTTATCATCACCATTGATTGGTAAGGTAAGGAAAAACAACAAGGCAGCAGCTTAGTCGTACGAGTTATGACAGTCGTTCACAAGACATCAACTTGTCTTGTACAATTACATACAATCTTGCTTGCACCAATCATATAATAATAAGCATACCAAACTTCACATGGAAACATTTATTCGAGAACAAGGCAGTGGCATGGCAGTAGAAAATATGTGTGAAAATAAATTGAACAAGAAAAAGTAAGTGACAGAAAACCAAACATGCTTTACATGTTGACATAATATGACAAATTTTCAACCCCATTCGCAACTAACTCCATTAGTTACTACTAATTGAAATAACTTGTTAATAAAAGAAGAGAATCCAATAATTCTACATACAATGGTATACAACAAGTAAAAGCTGAAATAGAACAAATTACTTGAAAGTTTTTCCCCCATACTGTTCATGATAACTTCAACAATATAAATTTTGGAATTTTAATAAATGAGAACAACATACCATATGTATAAAAGCGACTATGCTCATGAAAAATTAGCCAAACAAAATTTTTCGGTTTGTCCGAAAATGAATCAACATTTCACAAAAAAAACACAATTTTATAGTGACATATGTCACTGCGCAACGAACGAATCAAGCCCACAAGTATAAGTATGGCAATAATTTTTATGGCCATTCCAATTAAGCTTATCAAAGTATGTCTATGGAAACGTGTATTTAATACAGTTCATGGATGTACTTTGCAGGCAGCACTAATGCCCAAAACCATAACAGGATAGAAATATGGAAAAATGTTATGAAATAATATTTTGAAGTTTTAAACGTAAAAAAAAGGATAAAAATGATAATAAAAAAGTAATAATATGAAAAGCCATCGCTTAACTTTTGCCCATCAGTCTTATATCAGTTGGGTAATCTTCATAAAGTTTAAGTATATAGATCTCCTTTTCACCCTTGTACTTCACCTCGAATTCTTGATCAAGAAAAGCTTTGAATGGTGGAATTACTCTCATAACTTCTCCCTGGTACCACTTACTTTCGCCATCATCCAACTGCCATCTGTGTAAAAATTTCGTGCCGTTTTTGAATAAAGCGCCTTCATCTTTACTGATGAATGATTTAGTGTTTGAAGATTTAGGAGAACAGACATCTTCAATTTTGCGACGTTTGTTCGAGACTTGTACGCTTTCATCACTCGCTGATCTCTTTGATGCTTTATTTGCTGGTTTTGTAGCAGTATTCTCAATTTTAGCAGTTTTTTTTAAATTTTTGTTACTATTTTTTTCGCATTTTTTTACTGCTTCAAGGACAGCTTCAGTAAGTCCTGCGTTTTTATCTTCTATGATAACGCCAGGACTTTTACAAAGTAACTTTTGATGTTTGCGGAATAATATCACGGATGAAAATATTTTTTTACATCCAGTACAACCTATGTTGGACTTTTGATCCTCCTTTCCTTTTAAATTCGGTATTTTTTGATCGGATATTTTAATAAGTTTCACTACTGGTTGCGTTGTTTTTGTAATTTCTACTTTCTTTGGTTCTGCGTCATTTTTTTTTGTGTTAAAATAACACGCAACTACAGTGGCATCGTATACAAAACCATCCTTCCATTTAGCAGCAACTTTGGTTCCTTTTTTCAGTTGAGACCAGGATTTTACTAGTTCGTCATCAAGAAACGTCAATTGTCGTAAACTTGTAATAAAATGTTTGACGCCATCTTCAAATGCGACTTCAACACCTTCTCGCAAAGGTGCAAACTTTGGAGGACTCGATGTCATATTTTCAGGTTTTGCAACCACAGTTTTTGTAATGTTTGCTTTACTCGCAGTCACAAATTTACTGATACTTACTTTTGCTTTATCATCAATACGTATGACTTGATTAGCTTGCGATGCTGAAACAATGATAGTTTTATTACACTGTGTCGTCTGAATGACAGCTCCAGTGTTGCCAGGTTTAATAGTGATAACCTGTGCAGACGGGAGATTTAGAGCAGGCAATGGGTGTATGGCAGTTTTAGGAACTTTTTGAGCGGATAGAGGACTTATAACAGGCAATGGCTTGATTGTAGGTTTGGCTGCACTAATATTGAGAGATTGGTTCGACTTTGATTTTGTTCTGATAGCTGGTGGTATTGTAAACGTCTTTACTTTGGATACAATGGAGGTTTCTGTGCTTGCAAGCACTGGTGAAGAAAATGTAATAGGAGATTTTGGTGCCACAACAACTGTTGGTTGCTTCGTTGGCGTCTGTTTGGCCTTCACTTTAACTTCATTTGAAATTTGCCTGGCATTAAATGAAATAAGCTTTTTCATTGCTGAGAATGGAACTGTAAATGTGCTATAATTTGCTCCTCCTAGTTTACTGGCTTGAATTGAATTCGATTGAGCCAAAGTGGCGGACGGAACAGTTCGTGCCACGATTTTATAGCCCTGGTTTGAGTTCGGTGTTACAGTATTTATAAGCACACTGGCAGGCTTGTAGTTCGGTACGCTCATTACCGGCAAGATCTCAGTTTTTGGAATGAAGGACGGCTGAGCAGCACTTGGAAAATGTAATGGCATCTTAATAGTGGTTATTGTTTTTGAAGTTTCATTTGGAATAAAAACCTGTTTCAATGAATCAATATCGTAAAGATTGTTTTCGTTTACGTCATTAAGTATTTCTTCTGTAAAAGATGAAGAAATCAGTGGCGAAGACGAGTTGTTAGCGTCACCATCACAAAAATCTTCAGGATCAACAAACGCGGGCTCACCAATGTAAATAACAGGACAAACCAAGTTTTTAGGAGTCATATGTCGCACTGGTTTGATTCTGTAATTTAAATTCGACACTTTATATAATTTTGAAACTTTGCTAATATTTCGCACTACAAATTTTTCTGTTCGTTTTTCTGCAATTTTGCTTTTGTCATTAGCAGCTTTACTTTCGGATTTTGCGGACAAGGATTTGGTTTTGAAATTTGCAGTACTTTCATATGGTTCAGCACAGGTTTTGAAATATTTTGGTTCAACACGGTCATTAGCTGCGGTCGATACAGGTCTTGTTATTAGTTGAGCAGAACCAACACGTGTGTATTTAGCAGTCAATTGCTTCAATCCTGTGTCTTCATTGGATTTTTCTACTTTGTCATTAGGATGTGTTGTGCCTGAAAAATTAAAACTTTAAAATAAATACACAAAATTGAAAAAATATCAATTTGCATTGATCAATAAGGCAATGACTAACCAAACTAGTGGTTAAATATGCTATCATCACAGTTTAAAAATCGTGGCTAGGGAACTACAAAAAAATTTGGTTTCTGTTTAATTAAGTTAGTTTTGGAACTATGCTGGTCGTTGAGGCTAAAGTGCTTGGGTCTAGCCCCAAGAGCTATCACTTCACCCAGGGTGTAATAAATTGAGAGCACATTGCTGGGTACTCCCGAAGTATGTGAACCAAGATGGCGGGACTAGCCAAGTGACTCCCTCAGTATTTGTACCTGGAATTATGGCCTAACCCTATCTCAGTACACATAATACGTTCTGGTGTCCGCCATCTTCGTTCACATACTTCCATAGTACCCAATTCTGAATCGGAATGATTCAAACCCTGCTAAATGCAGCAGTTGTTGCCAGGGGTTGATTAAAGTGAATGTAAAAAACATCCTATAAAAAAATAGAAATTGATGGCATTTCAAAGCAATGTACTTTAATTAGGAGAGGTGAAAATATTCTATGCTTCCCATGCAATTTAAAAAAAAACGAGTGATGACTGATGTGATTTGTTATAAAATTGACCATGAACTGAAAGTATTCAAGATTGACTTACCTGTTGTTGGTTCTGATTTTGTATCGTTACTGCAATCCGCAGTTTCCGAAGATTCATCTGTAATTTACAAAAAAATAAAATACTAATTTTATATCAAAATGGAAAACATCACACAGACTATTTACAAGAAGCAACACACGTGTGTAGAAGCTACAATTTGAAGAAAACTGAAATCTTTTATGTTCATCAATCATCACACATTGGGTAGTTGATGATCGGAGTTCACCATATCATTAAGCTATCTTAACATATTTTTTCAATCCTATACATAGCCAACGCAAATTTGGCAGTCTGGGTATCTAACCAGGTGAGGATTCAACTTCAAGCCCTGATTTTGGATTGCTTATGCTTCTGAGTATTATGGAATGATCATTGCATATGAAAACGATACTGTATTCGAAGTGACGTGATAATCTTTGCATTACCCGTGTGACAACCATCTAAATTAACAGTCTAATACAGGGGTGGGCAACTTCTCTAGTTGGATGGCCAGATGGGAAAAATGAAGTCCTCGGCGGGCCGGATCATTACAAAAAGTACTTCAGTGTCCAATCTTTGGTAAATGCTCTGCTCTGCTCAATCTCTGTTAAATGTTTTTCTCGTCACTCTGTCAACTTTACGATTCTTGGGATATTCCATGGTTAATAAAACTCAATATAAAATCTAATTTCTAAAATCGATTTATATTTAGAATCTAAATATAACTGATAACAGTAGTTGGGAATGTCCACAACGCGCTCTGCTTTGACCTTATATTGTTTATTCACCAAGACAATTGTTTATTTCACCAGCCCGCACTGACATTACGGTGAGAGTAGAGCGATCGGTAACTTTCAAGAATGATGCGTCGGACCACATTACAGAGTGTGGTTGGATACAGTCAGCGGGCCGGTCAAAAACTCTTTGCGGGCCGGATCCGGCCCACCCCTGGTCAAATATCTAGTTGTAGCTTGTGTGGAGCTTAATTTGGACAAACGAACGAATAATCAATACAAAATAAGTTACCTTTGATAACTGTGGTATCGTTTGTCTCCTTCTGGCTTTGATTGACCAAACCGTCCTTCCTGTCCTTCATCCCCTCAATCTCATATGTTTCTGTTGTAAAAAAAACAAAAATGAAAATACTGTAATCCAGGGGTGTGCAACTTTTAATATAGGGGGGCAAACTTGTTCTCTTTGTGGCGCATTTGGGCCCCGGTTTGCACACCCATGCTGTAATCGGTAGAAACTGCAATCAGTAGCTAATTGTAAAGAACCTTGTTCGGAGTCAAGGTCTGAAACGAAAAAATATTGAGACTCGTAGTTGAACACTTCAACAGCCAGAATACAAATGGACATCAGGAACATTGTGCAGTCTCAGCCTAAAAGCATCATCATAAGAAACCTGGACATTCCTTCCCAACAGTTCGGTGCTTTAAACAGCCTCATCCATGGAAACTCGTTTACATTAGTGGTTCAAGCCTCATTTCCCTTCGAGGAAGTGCTATTAAAAATCTTAATGAAGATCAATACTTCAACTATAGTATCTCTGATGTTAGGACTCCTCGCCGCTGTAGGGTGGTTCACGTAACCGCTGGTTGGTTACAGCCTCCTCCACCATCAAGTCCATACTTCTGAAAACAAATAACTAATCCCATACCCGACATGGAATGGTAACCGGACGAGAGGCCGTAGTTCGCCATATGGTTAAGCTGTCTTGTCGGCTTTCCTCTGCCCCTGGATAAATATGTGAATCCTATCCTATCCGAATTGTAAAAAAACAGTTACCTTCTGTATCAGCCATATGAACATCGGACTCCATGACGCCATTCTCAACAACTCTTTCGGTCTTCTTCGATTCTGGTTTTACATCTGAAATATTAAATATTGCACATTTCATCTCAGAGACAAAGTGCTTTGTGAATATCTCCTGAAGGTAACATGTTTTTATTGCACAAAAGGAGGGGGGAACATAACAATAAATTCTTACCTAAGCAATTCAAGAGAAATCTAATTTTATATGCAAATGGTTTATAAATTATTTATTCATTTAAAATTCATTTTACTGCACATCCCTTTCCAAGCTATTTTTATCATTCAACTACATATTACAAATTCTAATGAAATGCCGAAAAATTATTCAAATTGAATTTAATAATAAATTGTCAGAAATATTTAAGGATGAGAAGGCGATGACATGAAAAATAATATCCTGATATATTTGATGGCTAATTGATGTAAAACAGACACATTGAATTAATAAATGTCTGTGACATCATACCCTCCCTTGACTGTAGGTCCTTTCTCCCCTGACCAAGTCAATAACTTCCATTTAGACTCAAGTTAAAATAAAGGATTGAGTTCGAAATTGCCTCCATTACAAGCAAAAAAACAACCTGTCCTGTCTTTGCAGCTCTGTGAGTAACTATCAAAAAGGATCTTTACCTATATCCAAAGAAGACTTTGTAGCACTAGAATTCTTAAGTAATGTTTTCTTGAGTTCTTCACAAGCTGTTGGAAAACTATTTGAATTTATGTAAGGTTCTTTTGAATCATGTTTCAATTTAGCTACTGAATTATTTTTATCAATTTCAGCATCTGAGTGTTTTGAAACATCAATCGATTCAAGACTTGTTTTTTCTTTGTTTCCGTTGCCGTCTTCTTCAGTACATGCTTCAGGTTTATCTGTAAAGAAAATTTTAGCAAAAGCATGTAAAAAAGCAAGAAATAACTAACCTTAACCAAGGAAGTGATGAAGCATAACATAGCAGTATTGTACTGCCACGTAGGATAAAAATGTTCCGACCAGTTTCGCTTCATTAAATATTGGTAGTGAATGAGTTCAAATAGAAATAATGTAAACCACATATAAAAAATTAATGACACAAGTCACGGGATAGGCCACTCGGACACAAAGATAAGAAGGGAACAGCCTTAACTCCGTCTTGAAGATACTGAATAAAAATTTCAATTGTAGAAATTACTCATTCGCAGTATCACTTCAAATTTTTTGTACGGTAATTTTTCACAAATCAGCAATAAGTTGCTATTTCTCGAAAAAACGGATACCCTACCCTGATTTTATTTTAAATTAAATTTTGTGAAATCTTGTGACCCAAGAATACTTTTGAATTCATAGCTAACTTAACTTAGGCGTAAAACAGCCGAGTTTTGGTGTTTTATATAAAAAATCAAGCGCCTGAACTCTGGCCCACACTTTGGAAAACACTGGAACATATGGGCCTTTAACAAACGAAAATAAGTATTATAAGTATTATACAAAATGAAATGTGTCAACAATTTTTATCTTAGTTCAATCGCAATGAACAAAATGGCTCATGTAAACATGGAAAAGAACTCAGGTATAATCAAATACATTATTACATTGAAACATTCAATCAAATAAAAGGAGAAATTGGAGCAATTTCCGTCTGGGAGTATACACACATAATAGGGAAGTCACTCCTTACATATCAAAATAGCCTCACAAGAGATATTTGATTTTACAATTTTAATTTGACATAAGCAAACTATAAATAGATACCTAAGTATTGTTTCTATCAGACATTAAAGAAAAAGTTAATATATATTCAAATGAAATTTGTCAATAGAGCAGTTTGACGTAGTTTATTTTACACAAAAAGTATTTTTGACTGAACTTGTTGCAAGGGCAACATAAAGATACGATAAAGGGAGTAAACAAGGAGAAAGGACCATTAGTTCGACACACAATATCCCAGTACAAGATGTATGATTTTTAATATTTTTGGTTCTATTAAAGCAAACATTCAATTTCACTTACCCTTGCTTGCCACTAATACTGCTTCAGTTACTGATGTAGTATCTTTTTCATGTGATTCCATTTTTAACCCATTTTGATCACTCATGTTTTGAATAATGTGGAACCAAGGATATAAAATCAATCCCTGCAAATCAAAAAAAATTATCATTTTTTAGAATTTGTAATACTATAACAACTGTTCCAAAAGAATGCTTGGTATTTTTATCTTTGAAAAATATTTTTCGAGTCACATTTGAAATATTTAATAGATTGTTTCATGTAGCTTAATAGCAGATGCAATTTTATTTTCATGATCAAGTAATTAATTTTAGCTAGCAAGCTTTCTATATTGCAGTATTGAGTTACAGACATATTAATCTTTTGATATACCTGTTATACTAAGCGCAATCAGTTGAATTCGGTATTGGATGGCCCAAAGACTGTGAAACAGAAACTAGTCTACGACTACTACAGGTAAGAAGTGTGTACGTTCAACAAAAGTGTCTATACGTATATGCACCCGTACATTAAATACCTGAATACACTAATCATTAATACGAGGTAAAATGTGTTGCAACCAAAAGTTCACGTCACAGTTTGATTACTGGAAAATTGCATTTCAGCGCAGTGACTGCTTATTCGAAAAGTTACAGTAGATCGACTAATCGTTAAGGTTTGTTTATGTTGACAAAGAAAATCGAATAAAAATGCAGCCGAAATCTTAGACCGATTTGCATTCAAATTATAAAGCCCCACTGCCAGGAGACAGTTATGATAGTAAAAAGACTGAACAGAACTAGACAATTTTCTGATTTAAATACATTAATTTAGAAACATATATGAAGCCTATAGATAGACTAAAGAGTGAATTTTTTAGATAAAATAGGCAACAAATCCACTTCAATAAACTGATAAAAAACAAACTTACTCTTTGCTAATATTGCTTTGCCACTCTGCATTGGCTGAGCGGTGTACATTGCTGCCACTAGTAGTGTTGTGAGCTAAGTCACGTGACCATCGCCTAAGATAATTTGATGTGACGTAACACGTGTTGCAGATTCGATTTGTCTAGCATTCTGATGTGCCATTTTGCAGGCTCGTGATACTATGGCGCCGGGTGGAAAGGAAAGCTCCGTTCGCTCTGTGTCTTTGATGAAGTTATCAGTGCTGTGGTTCTCCATTCACTCAGTAATCATATTCGATTCCCCTATAAAGACATGCCAATTATTGTATTCCTATCTGTGCAACCTCGCGAACGAATGTGGACGCTCAGCGTTCGCCGGGTTACCAGATTCACCCCACAGCCGATCGAAGTACTACTGATAACGTGATATCCTCGAGGTTTGATTGCATCTCGTGTATTTGGCCCATCATATATGATATGATACAAACAAATAAGTATACTATACGTTCATTTTAATTCCATGATCAGCTGTAAAAAAACGTTAATAAAAACTAATGCAGACTATAAAATAATTGATGAAAGCAAATAAACGAAAACTGATTACAGATAAAATCAGAAAAAAAAAACTGTAAGTAAAGTTTGTAGCGTACAGAATTAAAGTTGGAAGGTTTCGCCCACCCAGTAACGATCTGCAGCGTACATCGAAATCATATTAAACATGAAAACCATTTGTTGAAGAAATGCTCCGGTCTGCGACTGAGATACCTTTGAAAGTCTTCTGAAGAAGCAAGCATTTAACATGATATAACGCTTTTTATTTGTGACAATACATACAGTGCCTTGTTTGGAGTGAAAGGCAGAAAAAAGATTTTTCGAGGACAACAAAGGTACGGACGTTATATGTTCATTTTTCAATAGTAATCGTGTTATTGGAAATTATAGACGGGAAAATGCAACATTTATACTTCTATTTAAAATATTTGCACATCACGTAGCAGTGATTACACTGTATTAAAATGGTTGCAAAGCAAGGAATGTTAATGAATGATTCGGATCGTTCATGCCACGAAGAATTCGATGGGATGTAGTTTGAAATAGAATCTAATGCAGGTAATCATTAGCGTATGAAAAAGAATTAACATATGAAATTAGGAATCGTGAAGATCCTAATCGTACATACAAGAAGGTTTCTCACAAAATACATGATTTAATTTAGGCTGTGCAACCTTTTTCACAGGCGGGCCAAATATCAATACCCGATTGAAACCGCGGGCCGCGCCTACATTCAATGCAGGCTTTCTATTAGTTGCATGCACAAAATAGTGTCTTTTTGTTATTGATCTCATGTCATCATTAGGGGTCTGTAATTCAAATATATTGTCACCCCAATTTAAGGGAATTCAGTGAGCAATTTGCTGCTTGATTCTTTTCCCGACTTCTTACATCCAAAATTGCTTAAATGGAAGTGCTAGCAATTCGATATGACGCCCATTTAAAAAAAATACATGTTACCGAAAAGTGTCATATTTGGAGCCATGACTTTTTTCAAATGTGGAAAATTATCTTGGTTGAGATGTTATCAGTAAAATACACCAAATTTCGTTTCCAAATTTTTTGCTCTCAAATCCTATTTGAGGTTAGATTTAGACAAAATCAACTGATGAGCTGGATCCAACACTCATTTAGCTTTTAAATCTTTTATTAATAATTTTTTTATTAACTGCTCTCCAGTTCCCTCCGCGGGCCGCACAATTTTCCCTTGCGGGCCGCATTTGGCTCGCGGGACGCACTTTGCACACCTGTTAAATCGTTAGGGTTGGTAACGTGCGATGCCAAAACACATTCCTCTAAAATAGCTACGGTAGATAATGAGCATTGTAGTCTATATTTTCTGGATTGCAAATTCTCTAGGTGTGCCAAAATGCCACACTGAAATCGTTATTTCTTGAGAATTAATTTGAAAATAGAATGTTTATACAATATTTATTTCAGGAGGGGAAATCATTGAAAATCATAGTTGTCCAATCACTTTCGTGGCATTTATGAAACCAAGTACTCAGCTTTGGCAACAAACGGTTTGATGAACAAATAAAATTAAACTGTTTGGTATGCCGGCATAATGCATTCTGAATAGTTAATATTTAGCCAGAGCTCTTTGTCAGTTATATAGAATTTCACCGCACGACAATGTACTACTAAACAAATAACTTGCAACGAACGACATAATGCACATAAGCAGATATCGTATCAATAATGCTGTTACTAGTCTTTCAGATAAACGCTCGTTAAACTTTCCTTCATATTTCAGAATAAATCTAGAAATGGTATAGTACTAGCATGATAGCATATCGATAAATAAATTGTTATCAGTGCGCTGCAGGAGTAGATATAAACACATCGAAGGATATGGAGAACGTCGTACTTGCTGACGTCACTACTACAAGTAATAATGATGGCGTCAAAAGCGATGTTGATAACGTGTTTGACGCAGTGGAGTCCCAAGGAGAAACCAATAAAGATGATATAAGGATCACCAAGGCAAATGTGCCAAAACAAAGAAACAAGAGTGTTTATGATAAAATACTGCATGAAGATATAGATGATTCCCACTTGGCTACAAGTGAAATATACAGTAAGTTCACTGATTTTAGAGAGGCTTAGTTCTATATTTACACAAACAAAAGTATTATTTTTTATTTCACCAGACCAATTTTTCGCTTCCGGTCGAGATTACGAGAGTGCGTTCGTAAATCACAAATACACAGAGCAAGAAAAAGAAGAATTACAAAAGTAAGTATTGCGCAACTCTCACCAGAGCAATAAGATACGCTCGCTACTGTACCAAGAATTAACATCGAGCTTAGAATGTTCATATAACTATGTTGAGATTTCTGTACTTCCGGCTTCAGGGTGGGTTCACGCATAATGTCAAGTCAGTACCAAAATCCTCTAGTCTAGATCCTAGATGTACACAAGTATATATGGAGGTACGGATTTATTGTCTTGCTATGCCCGCCCGAATTCTGCTCTATGCATTCCCTTCTGTCAATGTTGAATATAATTTGTGATTCAACGTATGCAAGACTTTTATTGAAATATATTTTTTTAACTTTCTGCAGATATGACAGTTTGGATTATCTTCCTCCATGGAGTGACGCTTACAAAGAATGGCTTAGGCAACAGCCAAGAAGGTGGGGTTTTGTTTTTATTCGCCTTTATCTACATCGATCAATTGTTTATTCAATTTTGGGAATATTTTACGGTACTAGGCATGCAGATTGGTGAGATGTAGAGCGACATAGTCTTACACGAGATAATTCGTGTTGTTTGGCAATTCGACAAAGTCAACAATATCATAGAGTCTAATCTTTAAACTTTTAACTATTATTTTCGTTTCAGGCTCGATTGGGATAGATGGGTGATGATGGGTCTCATCGGGTTTACTGTTGGGTTTGTCGGATTCTTGCTACATCAATTCATTGATTTGATATCGAATACTAAGTGGCAAACGGCAACAATATTATTAGAGGTAAAAGTATTATGTATAATTCGTTAATAAGGTAGAGGAAACGATCAAGTATTATGCCACATTGAAGAAAAGCCATACCTTATAAAAGTTGAAAGTCTAAACTGAATATAATTGATATCACGATTCTGAGATGTTTAATCTATTAGCCAAATATTCTGGTGAAATTATTCCACGATTTGAACACGATGAATAAGCTTTTATATTTCTTCAAAATAATTCTTTGCAACTTGAGTTTTATCAACTCGAAACAGTTTTTGTACATATTATAGGCATTGTTTTCGCAATTTTTCAACAAAAATTGTAAAAATTCCCGCGCCTACTACAATTTTACAGCTAATATTCTTTTTACAGCAAGGTCTAGGAGTAGCCTGGATATTTTCACTGGGATATAGTTTAGCATTTCTTCTACCAGGAGTTGCACTTGTTGTGGTAAGATTAATGTAGTTACACGTCACATCTAATTCAAATGTTATTAGAGGACTAGAATTTCAATAAAAGAGGTCTACTTCCATTGAGATAAATGTAAACGACAGCTATTGGCTATTTATTTTCAGGTTTTTCAGAACGACCGCTTAAATAGTTACTGAAAATTTCTTATAAAAAAATAATTTTACTGAAGTATAAATGTATTCTGTCATCAGCCTTATTGAAAATCTCATATGATTATTATTTACAGTGGTACAGGCCATCAGCAGCCGGGTCGGGAATTCCAGAGTTGATAGGATTCTTAAACGGAACAATTATTCGTCACATTTTCAACATTAGAACGATGGTTGTAAAATTTGTGTCGTGTGTTTGTGCAGTAGGAGCGGGAATGCCTGTTGGTCCTGAAGGTCCAATGATTCACTTGGGGTAAAGTACCAGTTTTGATTTATTTGAGTTTTAAATCTCAATGTTTATTGATTGACAAACTGATCATCTTCGAATGCGTTGCGGCAGCTGAGGGCCAGTTTCTGACTCCTTATGTGCAAAAAAATAAACTGGCGACTCTGTTTGTCAAATCACTTGCAGACTAGGGATTTCTCCTCGAAGATGAGGTTTAATATTGGACTATGATTTGCATGTAGTGGTGGCTGAATCACGGCCTTCAGTCAATGTGAAATTTGTGGATAACGTTTCAGATATATTTTTTGAGCTCTAAACGTGATGAAGGAGCCAGTTGTTAGTGATTTCGATATCAAAAAATCTCGGTCTGGACCGTCCATAAGAAGTCATAAAGGCATAAAAAAATTAAAACAACGTTTGGTGTCCGTGGATTTCGAGTTGGGAAAGAGAAATATATATGAAATAAGGCCTGATATCGAATCCCCATAGAATTTGCTTGTCCGATCTCTTATTTTTTTCATATTTTTAGCGGATTAATCGGTGCCGGATTGAGTCAGTTCAAGTCGGATTCATTGAATATCCGTCCTCAGTACTTTCAAAGATTTCGTAACTCCGAAGACAGGTATCTTTTTAGCAATTTGCACTAGTAATGAGGTGACTGTGCTGCTTAGTGCTTACCATGTTTAAATATATATCGTTTTTAAATATCTAGACGAAATTTCATTTCCGCTGGAGTAGCAGCGGGTGTCGCCTCAGCTTTTGGAGCTCCTGTTGGCGGCCTTCTATTTTCTATGGAAGAAGTTTCATCATTTTGGAACATGAAATTATCCTGGCAGACTTTTTTCTGTTGCATGGTCGCTACAATCACCACAGATCTGTTCAATTCTGCATTCAGTGCTTTCAGCTATCAAAACACATTTGGACTATTTACAGCAGAAGCAAATATACTCTTTCAGGTGAGAATTATATTAATTGGTGCGTTACATTGGTTAAATTTGAGTTTTTACTCGTTCCCAAAAATTATTTTTCGTTAATATATTGTGAGAACACTAACTTTTGAATTTAAACAATTGCTTATTTTGGGTGAATGTCTTTTATTTTTATTTATCAAAAACAAAGTTACAAAGTGGAGAATCACGAGATTTTCGAACATACAAAATATGAAAACCGATATCTATTTACTTACCTGTTAAAATAACTGTTAAACATAGCTTATCAATCATTTAAAACGTGTAGGAGAGATTTCTTGCTATCGACTAGGTCAAATAAAAAAGTCGCGATATCGAATAATAAAATCATTTTAAAATTTAAGATAGGTTTTATTTTCAGGGTAGGTCTTATTTTCGGGGAAACACGGTAAATAGCAAGATATCATCTTGTTTTTGTAAGACCGGAATCTTTGCGGTTTGACATAGCCAACCCAATTTGTTATACCCTGGTTGTCGTGGCCGGCATGGGAATTAAAAGTCGTGACCTTTAAGCTGTAATGCAGGCTACTTCACTTGAGATTTTTGCTTTCAGGTTGACTCAACGTTGTCTACGAACATAATAGCATTTCTGCCGAGTGCCATACTTGGATGTCTCGGGGGCATATTAGGAGCTCTTTTTACATTTTTGAACCTAAAAATTGCTCGAGCAAGAAGGGTTTTATTGAGTAAAATTCAAACGGTTTGGAAGAAAAAAGTTCTTCGTTGCGTCGAACCTTGCATTATTCTAGTAAGTAGTAGAGACTTATGGATATTATATTATTTAAAAAAAAATGAACCCATACTGTTAATACGCTAATGCCAATTTTGCCCAAAAGCTTGGTATGTACGACACTCATAATACGATACATTTTAATCGCTAATTACGATACCTTAATTAGCATATTTCGATCAGAAAAATCAAATTGTTTTTGTCGCCCGGTGCTTTCAAACATAGCCTATTTCATTTGGAGTTGTCCAGAGCACATGCCTAAGACCTACACCGTTTTTGATGTTTAGTAACGACCTCCAGATGATGCGATTTGCTGATCAATATAAAACACTTCGTGTAAAATCCGATGACAGGCAAACCACGCGACATTGCTCGTAGCCAATATATTATAAACTCCTTGATCATTTGCCCCCTTTTTCTCAAACACATTTGACACGTGGAATTCTGGAGCTGAATATCTCAGGAACTGTAATTTGACAGAATCGAAAATATCATAGCTAATTAATCGAACTTTATGTATGCGATTTGGTTTTGTTTCAAGTGTTTTTGTTTTGTTTTGCAGTTACTTATGGTGACAATTTCAACGTTACTTCCAGCTGCATTTCATTGCACGAAATATCAATGTTATGAGGAATCAAAACAGCAATCAACAATTATATCTAGCGAACAGTAAACTCATTTTTACTAATGCTTTTAGTAGATAATAGCTTTCAATGGAAATATTCAGATATCTTTTGTGTTATCTAAATAGCGCAATATAAATCGTTTTAATGGTAAATGCCATTGGTATACTCAAAATTGCTGGAGACAAACCCTCGTATTGTTATGGCAAATGAAGTAAAAGACACAATTGTTACGATACAGCTTCTATATTCTAAAGCCATCAATCCAACGTTATGTTTAGTCCCGAATGTCTCACTGTCACACTCGACGATAATATTCCACCAAGAACTGAGGATTCAGTAGAGAGATATACTTGTTCAAAGGGATACTACTGGGAAGCAGAAGATGTCACTGTATCCAACAAGTCCTACAATGAAGGTATTAAGTCTGTCTTCAATTTTTCATTAGTTATCTGTAACAAGGTGTTTTTTTCTACGAGGCCTCCCTCTGTCACACTTGTATTGCTGAAGTTGAACCAGGTCTATCTAGTTCAGGGTCGTCCAACCCGTGCCCACGGAAGCATTTCGAGTTGCCCGCGCTGTATTTTTCAGAATCGAATAATAAAAATCGGGCAAAATTATTTTTTGAGTGATGTAGTATACAAAGATGTGATGTAGTATACAAGGACGATTTGTTTGTTTCCTTAATTGCGCTCTGTCAGCCCTTTTAAACGAAGCATGAGTCCCATTTTGAATCCACCAACTAGGAGGAGGTACCGATACATAAAGGTGCCGTAGTCGCTTACACACTTGGTCTATTATGATATGACGTTATCGCAAAACAATCGAAGCCATTCTCAAATTGAGAATTTGTTAAGGATTGTATATTATTTATTGTATTCGGGTTTCCAATGTTTTACGTCCGGAAATAAAAGAAGTGTTTGCAAAAGTAGGCTGTCATGCAAGACAGACCAAAACTTGTGTTTAGAGCTTGAGAACTCAATAGCGAAAACATCAATTACAAAAGCGGGAAAATTTTCATCGCATTCCTTGGCACTTGACGAAAGCACTGACATCAAGGTTACTGATCAGTCAGCGATCTTCTATGGTACGAAAGTGGGTGATGATGAAATTACCGAATAGCTCACAGCCATTGTCCCTATTAATGGTACCGGTACGCATAGAGGATTGATATGTTGGAAGCTGTGATGAAAATGATCAAGCGGCTTGGCTTGTCTTTGACGAAACTTTCGGGAATCACCACTGATGGCGCCCCATCAATGGTTGGGAAACAACAGTTTTATTGCTCTAATAATTGTGAAAGTTTGGTATGAGGGTATTGTTTTTTCATGAACCTGTAGTCAGTGTAGAACAGTGGTTCTCAACCTGTGGTACGCGGAAGAGGATCGAGTGGTACGCGAGCAGCTTATAACTTATTGTAACAATTAACTTTTGAGTTGGCCAAAATATTCCGACAACGCTTTATCTTCCATACTGTATGTATTCGCTGAACGGCCTTTATGACTTTTTCCCCCCGGGCATCAATTTCCTTGTTTACTTCCGTATCCAGCAACAATCAGTGAACATTGCTTCGTTTTTGTAGTTTTGCATGTTATCTGTCAGTTTTCAGTTGCGTTTCAAAAAAAATTTGTGAATCAAATATCTTAATTGTCAATATGTCTTCAAAGGAGCATTACCGGTAATTTAATTGCTGTACTCAAAAATGAGTCTTGCAAATGCTGCGATAGACTAATCTAGACTAAGCTATCAGTGCCTGTAAGCGGCACATGGTTGATTAATTTTAATAAAAATGAGGGTTTTCAAACACGTAAACCAGCTTATAAGCGACAACACATCAAAACAATCTTGAGATAAGGATAAAATTTTTTGCAATAGTAAAGTATTATATAGGAAGAATTTGTCTGGGGTCAAGGGTCGGAGAAACGTCTTATCGGCCAGTCCAGTCTTTAGAGATCGCCCTCGCTTGCCATTGTCCACGAAGGAATCGAGATGGTCATGTTTTCGTCCGCCTTGCGAATTAGGTCACTGAGGATGTAGTGCCACATTATAAAATACTCCCATAGCGCGTGTCTTGTGCCATTGTTCCCCGCGCCAAAAAGGGAGGCTTTTTTAGTGGTACGCGGCCAGAGTAAAAAACAGTAAAGTGGTACGCGGTTAGTAAAAGGTTGAGAACCACTAGTGTAGAAAAACTAGCGCATAACTATCATGTTAAGTGGTCCGCGAGATTATTAGTAAACTACATGTGGCCCTTCGGCCAAAAAGGTTGGGCGACCCTGAATTCTCGTTAGTAATGTTTCAGCGCAAGACCGAAATTTTAATTGTATGTTAGATTTATCTTTATTGGGTATTTGTATTATTTGATCGGAAAAGAAATTTTACGCTAAGGTTCTCTACTCTTTGCTTGATCATAGAGAACAATATCTGATTGTATTTGGATTACTTTAAAAGTCGACAACCCTCTCCCAAACTGGGTTTTGACTGAAGTCGTCTACAGGCCTGGATTTCGTAACTAGAATCGCCCGTTCTTAATAACATCGTTTTCTTTATTCATCATATGATTATTTTTGCACTTAATGTTAACGACTTGAACCAAAGTGAGAATAGATCAGTTTGCGTCACGGCTTTGACGACAGTTTCTTCACCCCTTGAGAAATTCAATAACATTTACATTGCTGAATTTGTTATCAAATTTAATTTGCAATACCGTATTTGTTATATATTTTGATTGTCACAATTATATCATACCTTTCTGACGAATCCTTGTAAATGTACTATTGCAAAAACAAAAACCTTCTAAAATGACACATATTATAATTCTCATGCAGTTGCAACTTTACTGTTTGTAACCGGGGAACAAGCAATCAGACATTTGTTTTCTCGAGGAACTCATCATGAATTTTCAATACCAAGTCTAATCACTGTGTTGGTGTTTTATTATTTTCTCGCTTGTTGGGCAGCTGGAACCTCTATGTCTAGTGGACTTGTGGTACCCATGTTGTAAGTTGATGTTTCATTGCGTTTTTGTTAAGATCAAAGCAATGTCACGCGCACTCACAAAGAGACTTACGGGCGATCATTGAAATGGTCTGGAATAGTAGAATAGACTTTAACAGTTGTTTCCAATTCCTAATTAACCATCTAAAGCCCAATAACTTTAGATAACTATGGCCAAAATACTGATAAAAACTTCGAAGTATTCGTTTCATAAGTGATAGAATTTGCAATTTAGGACAATATTCAAAATAAGCCATAAACCAGTGGGTAGCGTATATTGTTTTGCAACTGGCATTATAATTTAATGGCGATTTTACCCGATATTGACAGATTAGTAATTATGATCATTTTATAAGGCCAATCGAATACCGAAATAAGCAGAAAATTAACGTGTATACAAAATAGTGATAAAAGCACACAACGAATTACACACAATTAACTTTTTAACCTGATTTATTGAACTTTTTTGCTTTTACCCTTATTTTTTTTTTTCAATTGAATCAACTTGAATGTGTTTCTGACAAGTATTGACTAATGTAGAGTTAATCTCGGCCCTCAAACACAATTGTTTTATGAAGTGTTCATTATTCAAAAATGGGACAATATCAAATCTTCTACAGGCTCATTGGTGGACTGTATGGTCGTATTATTGGACAAGCTATGGTTAACTGGTTCGGAATAAAGAATCCGTACGATGACAACGACCTGTATTGGGCGTGGATCGATCCTGGTGCATTTGCTCTTATCGGAGCAGCTTCGTTCTTTGGTGGCGTTTCAAGACTAACGATGTCTCTTACAGTTATTATGGTAATATTTCATAACATTGAATATTTTTCAAAAAGTTGTCTTTGTTATCAAAAGCTTTGTATCAACAACTGATCATTATTCAACTTAACATGAGTGAACGTTTTTATAATGTCATTCCATTGGGCGGTGGGGATTCTCCGTTAAAAAATTTTAAGCTCAAGACCCATGCCCACCACAACAAATATATTCCATACCAATGATAAAAGCTGGACAAAAAGTTCCAGTTCTTCACAGAACATAGTGGCCGTCTACATTGCATCACATCGCTGCCTACTTGTTAATACATTTTACTCCAATTTTTTTCCCCAAGTAATATGAACCAGTATTCCACTCCAAATGGTGTTAAATAGACATGGCAAAATAAGACAGCAACATCATTTTTAATCGAAAAGGTTTCATTTTCTGCGAGCACTAAAATGAAACTTTTAATTGGCGTAATTTGTTAAATCTCTAATATAAGCTGCGCCTGTTTGTTACACTTGCTGTCGGGGCCAACGCCCTTTTTTAAATCCCAAGTGACAATTTTGGGCACCAGCACGGAGACGCAATTTGAATCACCAGACCTTCAAGTTGGAGTTAGAGTTGAAAATAACACAAAAAACAGGTGAATAAACACCAAACCTTCTGTAGTCTTGTTTTACTCTATGGTAGTCGTGGACCGGAGTCGTTTTTTTGCCTAAGCTGTAAAACCAGAGTCGTAATTTTTGTCAGCGCGGATCCGGATTTAAACAGTATTATCGCTGAATGATAAAATTGATGTTTTATTGCAGATGGAAATAACAAATGACATCACTTTTCTTCTTCCATTAATGACCGCTATCATGTTTGCGAAATGGATAGGAGATTATTTTACTCACCCGTTTTATCACGCAAACTTGGAATTGAAATGTATACCTTTCCTCGATTCAGAGCCAGTAGTATACATGGATGGAACAAAGTTGTAAGCAGAGTTTTTATCACTAAATATTGCAAGCTCGATCATGCTGGAGTAAAGGTTACTAGATGTATAAAGAAGGAGTGGGAGAGAAAGATAAAAAGCAAATAGAATCATTTATGTCGGTCCAAATCCGATCTATAATATAATTTGTTTATAAATCAAGTTGATCAATACTTCGGGAGTACACAAAAATATACCACGGCGTTTCGTTAATATTCACAATATAATGAAGTTTCAGCCGATTTATGAATGTTTGTTATGCAAAGGATATTTATAATTTGACGTAAACTGTAAACATTTTTCATCGGATTAGGTTAAATCTAGAGCTCTTCAGTGCAAAAGACGTCATGACAAAATCAGTTAAAACTCTAACACCTGTAGAACCAGTGGAGCATGTTTGTCATTTATTGTTGGAAACAGAGCATGGAGGATTCCCGGTCTGCAAGCCTCCTATGAGTAATTCCAGCGGTGCACCAGTATACTACGGAATAATTACAAGGTATATCAACAGAATTCAAATCGACACTTGATTCTGCTATTTTATTCTTTACGTGTTTACAGGTCCGAAATAAAATCTTAAAACGTTGCAAAAATTTAAATCTTGCTGATTTCATTTTGGTCTAATTTTCAAATTAGGTACACACCGTGTCCAACAAGTATATCTCAATATTCAATTTTAGCATTTGGTTAACAGAATTGCAATGAGCAAACCAAAGTAAAGTGTTATTAATGAGATAATATTGTATGTTGTCTGGCATCAAGCACAGCCAAATTGCATTACATTGTGTATAATCAAAACAGTTCGCTATCGAATTTACCATTGTAGATTAGAATTGCTGATGTTGCTGCAAAATTCTGATATTTTCGTGAACACTTCTAAGGAGATAGCAGCAGATAACAGAGGAGTGAAATCCCAACTTGACTACCAAAAGGTAGGTTTTGTATTTATAATTATCCAACAGATATCTAACACAGACAATTCTCATTTTCCTGTAGATCACCCAAAAGTTATACAGTATTATCTCTATACATCTACATCGAGTATGGGGAGTCCAAATTTTTTGATTGAAACTAATATAGGTTTTAAATCCCAAATGTTTTTGTTGTTAATTTTGTATTTCGCTATTGGAGCCAAATTGAGACTGAATGTTCATCATTTCAGAATCGGTTTTTAAAACCTGATGATGCTGTAATACCACCTTAAATCTTCTTAAAATATTCTCCAGTTGTGATGTATTTCCTGTATCCAGGTTCACATTGACCGACTGCTCAACGGAAAACAAGTTTATCAAGTTTTAGAAAAATACTTAAAAGATGGAAATATGGCTGATATGAGTATTGATTTGGTAAGGCATTCTCAAGATGAGTTTTTAAAAATTTATTTTAATTTAACTGATTCGAAATACAATTCTTTCATTGCAGACCCCATATTTGAACCGTTCTTGTCCTACTATTCCGGATACATTTTCTCTTCATCGAACATACATAATATTTCGAACATTGGGACTCCGACATCTACCGGCCGTGAACGAAACCAATGAAGTAGTTGGAATAATAACAAGGTAACTACAAAAGGATCACTAAAGTACCAAGAGCTACTGAGAATATAAATAATTATTTGTGATAATAATCATAGTGTACAATTGCTTGTTAGTAAATACCGATTGCCGCGATACTCGCAGTAGTTCATGACAATATGATCAGGAAACAGCTATAAGATAGGAATTCCAAATACATGATTGAAGTTCTTGAAAAAAAAAAACTCTGGCCATAAACTTGTGGTGCACTGACAGGAAGTTAGTGACAGCCAGTCGAATATAAGGGCTAGAATTTTTTTTTAGAAAGACAAGTTCTGAATGTTCAGAAGGACACTGTCTAATATAATTTCAGTCAAATGTGACAATAAGGGGCATGTCAATATTTTCTGCTGCCTGGGGCGAATTTCTGATTATGGTGCTCCTTATACTTAACTTCAAAACTAATTTGGAGGGTAACCAAATTATAGATGTTTTTATACATGAGAATAAATAAAGTAAAGGCCAAGTAAGTGTGAAATATGTGTATTATTATTCAAATCATCAAATTAAGCTACAAACTCACCCCTATAACGTGCTGTCCGGGGAGGCTCCCCAAGTGGCGTATCTACTTAAAATGGCGCCCATGGCAAAGTCTAAAAATGCGCCCCCTTGATATGCGACCTACGTTATCATCTGAGTAAAAATACGAGTTTCAATTATTTCCAATTTGTAGTTATTTCTTTGAAACGTTTTATTATTAATACTTTTCGCCGTTTTGCGCCCCTGGTCAAACGGCGCCCATGGCACGAGTCATGGCTGCCACACCCTAGATACGCCACTGGGCCTCCCTCTAGACATGCCCCTGTCCCCAATGTATAGCAAGCAGTAAGTTGTTTTATACATTTTACAGAAAGGATCTGATGGGATTCAAACTTGAAGAACGGTTAAATCATATTGCCGAGCACGATAGAGAAGAGGCCGCCTACTTATCGAATACATCAACAGCTTAAAATCAGTTAATTAAACTATGAACTTATACAAATATACTTTTGTAAACCCTATCGCTTGAGGTTGTATATTTGAATATTTTCAGTGCAATATATATATATGAATTCATTTAGAACATATCAATCCTACCCATGGTGCAATATATATATATTAGTTTCATTTTTATCCAACTAGTCAAATAAAACTGGTACTCAACTACTCATTATGTTACAATTGAATACAAACTCGAGACTTTGTTTCACTCGTGATGGACGGCAAGTATTCCGACGACGAATCCGGGTAATAATATTTCAAGAAGGGATCGAACTCCCCCCCCCCCCCCCCTTTTTGGAATGTGTAAAAACGAGGACTAATAGGCGCGACTTGCCACGCGCCGAATAAGCGCATAAAACTTTATGGCTCCGGATGCCGTCAAGTAGAAGCGACGTGATCGTGACTTAATAAGGCGATTTATGGACCTTTCCCCGACTTTTGACCCCCGTAAATTTCTTCCTATACTTTACCACCGCAAAATTTTCGGTGCTTATTTAAAGAGTGGTTTTGCGAGTTGGCGCCTGTAAAACGGGGTATTTTGCTTCAAACCATTATTCTGATTCATAGCATTCAACAATCTGTTTTGTAAAAGTACCGGTGAAGAATTTTAGCCTAGTCTATTGCAGCTATTTCTACACTAATTTTTTATTACTGCAGTTAAACTGAAACTTCTAAGAAGACAAAGTGATCATTGAATTATTTGATTTACATTTAAATATCCGAAACAGAACTAAAAATTAACGAATAGATTTCAAAAACGGGAAAACGAGGTAATGTTCACGACGACGCCTGAAAATCAGTCTGAGCGGATGCGAAACCACGTCACTCTTTGCATCTTGCTGATTGGCCAATGTCCCGAAGTAAACAAAGAAGTCGATGCTCGGGGAAACATACATTCAGTCCGCGATTTCCATTTGATGCCCTTATTCCTGGCAAATCCTGACATATTCAGTTTCGATTTCTAGAAACATTCTGTATCACACATAGCAATTTTTAGAACATCAGTTCTCTTAGAAACTCGCGTTTTGCGGCCTCCGGCCAGACCACCTGTTGCTGTCAAACTTGGCAATTATAAATTTCGGCGCTCCGAAAGTCTTCGTACCAAGATGACGCACAACCTGAACCCTAACCTGGCACCCATACTATTTTCAGGTTGTGCGACATTTCGTACACACGTAAATTTCAGAAACCCCCCCTTTGAAAATTCCTGACTATGCCCCTGGTAACGATGGTCGCTGCAGCATCACCTTACACGCATAACCTACCTCCTTGTGAAATTGTGTCGTAGTTAGCTAATCTATTTTGAAGCAGCATTTCCATAATTTTTTTTCTATTTTATGCTCTCAATACGGCAATGTTGTCAAGCTATGTTTGCCAATTTGTAAGCTTGCTTTCTTCCCCACCGACTTTCGTTAATTCTGGGTCAGGTACAGCAAAATTGTCCGATATGTCCACGTGAATTCTGATAATTTCAGCCACAGAGTTACGATAGCTTTATAAATGACAGAAAGTAGTCAAGAGAGAGTTGTAGTGTGCTTTATAGTTGTGGAAATATGTAACGTACGTGCCAATTCGAAAAAACTGAAGGACTCTGTAATAATGACGCAGACTCGATGTCAATTCCGTTATCGGATTTGAATATTGGTTATTTCTATGTTTCAACAAATTGTTTCAGGCAGATATTTGATAAAGAAACTCAACACGAATTGAACCTCAAGGCAATGTTTACTTCTCGGGTACGAAATAGGTCGATTGTCATTTTGCCGAATTGCCAAATTTGTGATTTCAGCTCTTAAATTAAAAATAATAAAGTTTTAAACACGAACACATATTAGCACGGGCATTCATTTGTTGTCCTCAAGACCAAGTCAAAATAATCAACATGGCTGAAAAGTCTGCAGCGATGCGCTAATAATTGACGGTAGATGTCCTCACAAAACGAAATAAATAGCGTGACCATCTCCCAACATTATGGAAAACTGATATTTCCTTTTTCTGATTTGCCAGCCAAAGTATAATACAAAGTATTCCCAAAATTGAAACAAAACAAAAAATTTTCTGGTGAATTATGGCAATAAATACTAGCAATAATCTTGTCCTTTTTAAGAGCTGATAATTTTAAACAGGATTTCCTCGGGTTACGACGGTCGCGACTTACGCTGTTTCGAGGTTACGAACGCGCCCTCCATAACGCTGTTTAGAGGTTACGAACGCACTCCATAAAAAATAATACTGTACTGTAATATCCAAGCCCTTAAACTGGATCATTGTGATCAAGAAAATCAGTGCTTTAGGCTCATTGGTTTTCGGGAAATTTGGGAAAATTGCACTCTACGGACCTTCCACCCGAACATCGACTTCTTTGTTTACTTCGTTACATTGGCTAATCAGCAAGATGCAAAAAGTGACGTAACAATGCTCCCTTTTCGCATCCGCTCAAACATTTTTCCTACCCAGACAGATTTTCAAGCGTGGTCGTAAACATTACCTCGTTTTCGCGTTTTTAAACCATATTCGTTAGTTTTCAGTTGTGTTTCGGAAACTTTAATATAAATCAGATAATTCAATGATCACTTTGTCTTTCTAGGAGTTTTAATTTAATTGCAGTAATAAAAAATTAGTCTGGAAATAGCTGTGATAGACTAGGCTAAAAAATTTTACCGGTACTTTTAAAAAACAGATTGTTGTATGCGACGAATCATAATGATGGTTCGAAACAGGTACACCTCAATGGTTTCAAACCACCATTATTCTTGTGTAAGGCGGTAAGAAATCAATTATCAATTGCCATAAGGTATTGTTTCCCTAATTAGCAGGTAATCTATTACTAGGTGTGGAAGGTTGAACAGATAACTAAAGTTTAACACCAGTGGTCATGCAAAAAATAACCAGAATTCAATTGAATTCGCCATCTAGGAATACGCTCGCCCCCGTATCTCTGATCACCCTGGTAGTTTCACAGGTTCCAATCCCATGCGGGGATAGTTATGTGCGAGAGGATTGCAGCTCTCCTCCCACTGAGGGTGGTTCACACGACCGCTGATCGGTTACGACCATCCCCCACCATGCTTCTGAAAACGAATAACTGGCCCCCACCCCCCAGATAAATCCTATCCTAAAGGTGCTTGTACATTTGGGGCCATTTTACATGGGTTTTTTTAAAATATTTTTATTGTCAACCATCAAGCCCTAAATGACTTTTTAGAGTTCTATTCAGCTATATATGTTTAAAACACTTGCTTCTAATAATATTTTTTCTATGCGACAAAATTTCTATTGAACAACCTTGAACTTGCAAGATTTTGTGTCTAGTAGAGGGTTAATAATTATTCCTAATTAATTAATTTTTATTTCAACGTTTTCTTGTGTTATTTTCCAACAGAACACCAAAACCACTATTATAGCAAGAATGGTAACTCTAAAATTCATGATTGTATTTACAGAATTTTCAAGTTCAAGGCTTCAATTGACAATTTTGATGATGTCACACCTCTAATTATTTCTTCACAGTCCCCCTCAATTCGACGGAAATGCGCGTAGAAAGACGTAAACATTCTAATGCGCGCCTTTACGTGTGAAAATTACCATTAATTTTACATTTTTTTTTCACGTTTAAAATTTCTCTATACCTACTCCAAGTATGGTGCAGTCATATCATATTTTTCAATAAAATCACAGGGCCAGGGATGGAATGTATGACTGAAAGTACATGATAAACTAATACTAAGCCATTATAAGGGAGTTTATTGTTAGTTCATTTCCTGTCTGAATCACATCAACGATTTTAAATGTCGAAATCGATGATATTTATAGAACTGGCATTATCAGCAAATTTGGAATCCTATTTTCGTGAAATATACGACTCTACTATAGAACATTAACTGTAAAAGACCATTATTCCCTTTTAGAGTTGGACTAGGCATGAACTATACTGTGCATATGCCATCCGACATAGTATGATTTTAACTTATTCAATTGAGTTTTGTTTTTTTTGTGTGTTAATTTATTTTCAGTGTGTGTTACTTTAACTCAATTTCGTTGACAAAATGGTAATTTTATATTTTTTTAAAGGTTGTGACTGACTCGATGACCTAACGGTCGCTTCGTCACATCCTCGTCACAATGCCTTGAAAATAATTTTGAAATGTTGTATGTATACTATTTGACATTGTTGACGAAATAAAATACTACTACTACTACTACTTTCCCCGAGCATCGACTTCCTTGTTTACTTCGTGACATTGGCCGATCAGCAAGATGCAAAAAGTGACGTAACAATGCCCCCTTTTCACATCCGCTCAGACACTTTTCTCACTCAGACAGATTTTTAAGCGTGGTTGTAAACATTACCTCGTTTTTGAACTCTATTCGTTAGTTTTCAGTTGTGTTTCGGAAACTTAAATAAAAAATCAGATAATTCAATGATCACTCTGTCTTCCTAGGAGTTTTAATTTATTTGCAGTCATAAAAATTAGTGTAGAAATAGCTGTGATAGACTAGCCTGAAATTCTTTATCGGTACTTTTAAAAAACAGATTGTTGTGTGCGATGAATCATAATGATGGTTTGAAACACATACCCTATTTTACAGGCGCCAACTCGCAAAAGCACTCCTAAAATAGCACTGAAAATTTTGCAATGGTAAAGTATAGGAAGAATTTCCAGGGATCAAAGGTCGGGGAAAGGTCCATTTCTCTCGCTTTCTCGTCACACTCGCACCGATCCCAATATGCAGATATGAGAGAGATCGCTGACGTTAGTGGATAGGATAGGATTTACATATTTATCCCGGGGGAGCGGAAAGCCGATAAGACGGCCTATCCGTATGGCGAACCACGGTCTCTCGTCCGGTTACCATTCCAAGTCGGGTATGGGATTAGTTTTACTGTATTGTTTGTTTTCGGAAGCATGGACTTGGTGGTGGAGGAAGCCGTAACCGACCAGAGGTTACGTAAACCACCCAACGACGGCAAGGAGTCCAGCAATCCTCT